TAAGTTCAAATTATTTAGAATTTGTAGATGTTAATGCACATTAAAAAAAATCTTAAGTTCAAGTTCATAAATATTTTTGATTAATTCAAGAGTTTATAAAAACATTTAAAATATTATTTAATTTCTAATTTATAATCTGATTATTGTCTTCCACTATAACACAAATTATTAATTTAATTTTTCCATTATTTTATTTAATAATTTAGTTTTAGAAAATTTAGTATTTAATTTTAGAAAGAAAAATACTTTATTGTTTAAAACTCAACGCATTATTTAACACAAGGTTAAAAACTTTACATTATTTCTTAAATATGCATTTTTGTTTAGTAGCATTTAACATCTGGTTACAGATTTTGATTTCATCTTAAATAAATATCGAGAAATTTAACGAAAACTATTTTTTCTGCCTTTGAGTCGACCAAACTGGAGCTTAAAAAAATCTCGTTAGAGTTTCAAAACAATTCACGGCTGATTTGTTTTGTTTAGAATGTTATGTGTGCTTCTTAATGAGAATTTTCCCAAGGAAACGTGTTTTTTCCTTGGCTAATTAAAGCTAGATTTGTCGCAACATCGATGTTGCGACATCAATGAACAGTTAGCTTAAATAATTGTTTTAACACGGCTGGCAACTCTTGTAATTGTAATATTCTAACTCTGGTTGCTAAGCAACCAAACGACTTTTCTTGTTATTAATGTTTTTTTACTTATCATCTGTGTATATTAGTGGAAATAAAAGAATACAATCGCTATGAAACAACTGACCAGGGTGAGGGGGTGTTGCGACATCAATGAACAGTTAGCTTAAATAATTGTTTTAACACGGCTGGCAACTCTTGTAATTGTAATATTCTAACTCTGGCTGGTTACTAGTCAACCAAACGACTTTTTCTTGTTATTAATGTTTTTTTGTTTATCGTCTGCGTATGTCAGTGAAAATAAAAGAACACAATCGCTGTAAAAGCTCACAAGATTAACCAGACAAGTACTTGAAATAAACTACTTTTGGATTATTAGACAATTAATTAGGAAGCCTTTCCAATTTGTTGAGATAGGCAAAATATTGTTCGAACGCATTCTTTTAATAAAATTCTAGCAAACTAAACAACTTATGGTCTACAGCTCAATGACTCGTTTTTTTTTTTCTTTTTTTTACTTTGTTTGAAAAAGTCAGGGTAGAAAACAATTTTCGTTATCGATTATACATAAATACGTAAAGTATCTTTGTTACATAGATTCTTCTTTTCAAGACTGCCATGATATTTTTTAAAGCAAAAGTAAAGTAAATTTTAAGTAAATTTTATAAATAGGAAACTAAAACTTTAAAGTAAATTTTATAAATAGGAAAACTTATTATAACTCAAAAAAAGCTCACTATGAAAGAAAATAATATATGGCTCTCTAAATAATGTAATTTTAAATGCGTGTTTGATTCAAATTTAAAGTCAACTGGTTTAGTTATGAGATCAACCATCTTGAAAAATGAAACTTAGCGAAAAGCGATCCAGTACTGGGAGTAGTTAGATATTTTTCTTGCCCTTGAAACTTTGAGTACATAATTTCAAGTATTAAGTCACATTTTAACCTAACTTTATTAACTTTTTTAAAAATATCTTACGTTAGCCTTACTGCTTAAGTTAATTGGATGAAAATAGTAAAAGTATTTAAAAAAACACTCAGCTTTGAGAAAACGCCGTTTAAAATTTGCGAAGGCCTCTCTATAAAATCCATCTGTGTTTTAGATGTATGTTAATAAGTTATTAAATACATATCTGCTTCAATGTAATGTAATGTTCATTATTTATTAAAAATATTTGTGCTTCAATACGATGTACGCTTTATGTCCCACAGTTAATAAAATTATTTGTTTTTCAATGCGATATACGCTGTATATTCATTAATTATTAAATACATCTATGCTTTAGTGCGATGCTTTGCGCTCGGCGTTCTCGAATATTGACTTTGTCAAACTATGTAAAAAAGAAATGATTAAAAAAAGCTCTTTATTTTAAATGTTCACGCAAGAATACAATTAATAAAAAAAAATTATTAATTAATTTGAATCACCAGTTAGTAATTAAAATATTTTTAAATGGAAATAGTTAAAATATTCAATTCAGATGTTATTGTCTATCCTTAATACCTGTTTCGAAACAAATCATTTTAAAAATTAACTAGTGTGTCCTTGCTTTGCCGTTTCGTATGCAAGAAATTAAGCCTTAATAAAAAAATGACAAAGTTTATTCACGTATCGTTAAACTAAAAAATATACTTCTATTAAACAATGTAGCTCGAAGAGTGAAAGACATTTTCGCTATTGCTTAGCCACTTTTTGTACAAGAAACTCAGTCAAAATAAAATAGACAAAATTTATCCGCTTACTATTAAACTACAAAATATATTTGCATACCAAACAATGTAGCTTGAAAGGAAAATTACACTTTCTTTATCACTTAGCCTGGCTATGTAAAAGATATTTAGCCAAAATAAAATAGATAAAATGTATCCACTTATTGTTATTAGTATACAAAATATATTTGTATACAAAATAATGTAGCTCGAAGGGTAAATGACACTTTCGTTATTGTGTTTTGTAATATTAATCCTAAATAAAATAAACAAAATTTATCCACGTATTATTAAACTGCAAAATATTTTTGCATACAAAACAATGTATCTCGAAAGGAAAATAACACTTTCTTTATCACTTAGCCTGGCTGTGTTCAAGATGTTTAGCCAAAATAAAATAGTTAAAATTTATCCACGTATTATTATTAGTATACAAAATATATCTGTATACAAAACAATGTAGCTCGAAGGGTAAATGACACATCCGTTATTGATCAGCAGATTTATATACAAGGAATTTAGCCCAAATAAAATAGGCAAACAAAATTTATCCACCCATTATTAAGCTGAAAAATATATTCGTATACAAAACAATATAGCTCGAAGGGTAAATGTCATTTTTGTTATTGTTTAGACGTTTGTATACAAAATATTCACCCGAAATAAAGCAAATAAAATCTATTCAGGCATTATTATTACACAAAATATATTTGTATACAAAAAACAATATAGGTCGAAGGGCAACTGACACTTTCGTTATTGTGTTTTGTATACAAGATATTAATCCAAAATAAAATAAACGAAGTTTATCCACGTATTATTAAACTGCAAAATATATTTGTATACAAAGCAATGTAGCTCGAAGGGCGAATGACACTTACAAATTTTTTTCTCATAAATAACTTCTCGTTACTTTGAATGTTTTTGAAGAAAAAAAAATCACCATTCACCTGTTAGAGTAAACAAAAAAAAGTAATATTAAGTTCTGTGTATCAGCATCAACTAAACATAAATAGGAAGAAAATTTCAGATGTAACCAAAAAAACCAGACCACAATCCAATCGATAATCTATTTTTGATGAGATTTAAATTTATAGAAGATTTTTTTCATCCAAGGAATCTTAAGGAAAAACAAATGTCTTCCGCCTCACTAGTTAATGCAGAACATTAATGGGTGAAGAACAATAACTCCTTAAGATCTTCTTCCTTGACATTTCTCAACATGCCTTCTCATGATAATGGATTTAACGAATAGATAATGTTGATTGAAATTTAATGGGTGCTTCAACCAAGTTCCCTTTTCAATTAAACGCACCATCGACTTAGAAATTTTTTTTCCCCTTTCTTAAACCATCTATGCAATAAAATAGCATATTTTTCTCTGCGTGAGACACGATTTATAAGAGAGTTGTTATTAATAAAGTGGTTTCGCTTTGCTGAACAACCGTATATAACTAAATTACTTTTTTTTTCTAAGTCTGAAAATTTCGAGAACTGTTTCGAGATCTAGCATTGGTAGAAAGTTATCCATTTCTGTCTGTGCTCAGCTAGGAAAAAAATAATAAAGGTAAACACTGAAGATTGAAAAGTAAACAAATTAAGTAAACATCTTTTAATGTTAGCCAAGTGAAAATAGGTATACAAGTTATAATACAACAACTAAATGCCACAGATTACCATGTATTTATTCAGCTTAAAATAAATATTTAACTAACATAGTTTATAGTCTAGGAATGAAATCCAGAAATTTAAAATGATTGAAAAAATACTACATTTCAGCATTAAAATAATCTGAAAAAAATGGCTTTGAAAATGCTATACGTTAAAAAAAATTCTCGCTTAGTATTATATGAAATAATAAAACAAAATATGGATTACAGATGTTTTTAATATTTTTTGTTAAGTGTTCTTGACCCTTAAATCAAGAAACTTAAAATATGTTTAGTTGCTACTATACAAGTGTTGAAATTAAAAAAAATGTTTTTTTATGACAGTAGTATTTGTAAAACTAACAATAAATCCTTAAAACTGTTAGATATGTAGATTACTTCTAATATTGTAAAGTAAAACAAAATGATATATTAAATGGATGATTAACCGTATAAATTTAAACACTAACTGTATAAAATTCGTAATAAGACTTCCAAGGTATTAATTCTCATTTACTTTTATGTCTAAGCTTAGAAAACAGCCCATATAGTTAAGCTTAAAAGATTGCCTTGCATTTGTTATGTCTACTATATGACGTACTATTTACTATTCTATTTGCCATGCATTTACCTTTAGCCGAAAATTAAGGTATAAAGCTTGGCAGCCCTTACTCTTATTTGTGTCATAATGCGAATATCTTTACTTCGATTTATGTAATGGCTCAAGACATTTCAGAATTTAAAAAATGTGAGTGGTAAAATTTCTTATAAATTTAAATACAATGTCTGTAGTAAAACTTCCTAAAATATCAAGCCTGTTGACTCATTGTCTCGTAAACATAACAAAAGCGGAAAGTTACACTGGAGGATTTAAAGATTCCATTCCGGTTTCCGAGCCTGGCTATTCAGTTAGCCATCCAAGCAAATGGGTTATTTCTGTGTTTTCGCTCTTCCTGTAACAACTTTATCCGAAATGTTTTTCTTAAAACAATTTGTTTATTGCAGACCTTGGAGGAGAATGTTTCTCTGATGATGACTGTTTGCAAGCAACTCCAAACTCGGTGTGCCAGAAAAAAGGCAAACGTTCGAAAATCTGTCAGTGTTCTACAGGATACAAAGCATCGAAGAATGGAATGAAATGTGACATTGATATTTCAAGTCAAAGTAAGTCTGAAATTGCATATCTCAGGCAGAGCCTGATATGTTTGTAATCTGTGCAATCATCATCATCCTGGCCTTACAGCCTTTTTAGATTTTGGACCATTCTTTTCTGTTAACTACCTTTTTCCTGGAAGTAATTCTAAATCATTTTAGGCTACTTCTATCCATTCTTTCCTTTTAGTTCTAGGTCTACGACTAACTATTGACCCTCCTGGATTTTCATCTGACAATCCTTTTCCATCTAACTATCTTTTCCATCTAATAATCTTTCCCATCTAACAATCTTTTATCTAACAATCTTTTTCATCTAATAATCTTTTCCATCTAATAATCTTTCCCATCTAACAATCTTTTCCAGCTAACAATCTTTTCCATCTAATAATCCTTCCCATCTAACAATCTTTTCCATCTAACAATCTTTTCCATCTAATAATCTTTCCCATCTGACAATCTTTTTCATCTAATAGTCTTTCCCATCTAACAACCTCTTCCATCTAACAATCTTTTCCATCTAATAATCTTTCCCATCTAACAATCTTTTCCAGCTAACAATCTTTTCCATCTAACAATCTTTTCCATCTAACAATCTTTTCCATCCAATAATCTTTCCCATCTGACAATCTTTTTCATCTAATAATCTTTCCCATCTAACAATCTTTTTCATCTAATTATCTTTCCCATCTAACAATCTTTTCCATCTAATAATCTTTCCCATCTAACAATCTTTTTCATCTAACAATCTTTTCCATCGAATAATCTTTCCCATCTAACAATCTTTTTCATCTAATAATCTTTCCCATCTAATAATCTTTTCCATCTAATAATCATGCCGTCTAACAATCATTTCTGTAACAATCTATTAATCGAGTTATCGCTTTATAAATAAAAAAATTTAATTTTAAATTTTACATAGTTTACGTAGTTTTAATGATTAAGTAGTTAAGTCTTAATCATTTTTGTGAACATTTGTTTCCAGCACTGATCCAAATTCTTTTGTCTGACTTGCAGTAAAGCAAATTAAAATTACATTTAAATGTTAATTAATACGCATTTAAAACTTAGATGGGGAGTTTTAGGTCGGAAGCCATAAAGTTAAATATAAGCTTACATAAACGAAAATCATTAACAGAAGTTTTAAAAAAAAATTATTTATGATGATAAATAGAATTCAAAGATTGTAAAATGATAAAAAAATCCCTTCTTAAAGATAGATAGAATTCCAATATTTTGAATACAAAGGGGAAAAAAACTTTCTGAGAATAAAAATACAATTCTGCAGTGAAGAATTATTGAAAATCCTTCATGAAAATTAATTCCAAGATAAAAGAAATGGTGAAAAATGTTTTCTTGAAAATATATAAAATTTCGTAGATAGAGAATTACGTGTAACAAAACCTTCGCGAAAATAAACTAGAATTTCGATAGATAATAATTAAAAATACGTTCACAATGTAGGATTTCGAAATAATGAAAAATAACTTTATGAAACTAAGTCCAATTCTGCAGTAGAGAATAGTTATTTTTAATTCTCTATATCTAACAATGAAATAGTTACATACTCTTTACTACCTGAGATTAATAGTTTTTAATAATGAACAAAACATTTATTTTTCACGAACAGGTTCCGATTCATACAATTCAAGAAAAGATTTCAACTAGGCATTTAAAAATATCGATATTTAAATCCTGGGAAATTAGTACTCCTTCCTCAATGGTCAGAACATCACACAACCATGATTAAGCACCCAGTCCCACTTTCCAGGGTTCTATCTTAAAAATGTCATGGTTACTGTTTTGGAACATGTAATTGCATGTGCACTGCATTGTAATGTACGCGCAAAGAAATCTCTTTCCGTTTTCTGACGCGTTGTGACTACCTGACAGAGCATTTCCATCGTATTGGCAGAGCCTTTACCAACCCTGACTGTATTCAAATATTATTTTTAAAAATAGAATGCTATCAATATATTTCAGGGCGTCGAATTCCCACACGACACCAGCTCTCCATTGGCGATCAAGTATTTAAGACTGGCTAATAAGTTTAAAATGTTGAGAGGTAACAAGATTTGATGTTTAATTTAAGCTATGTATGTTTAGATTATCGTGCCTCAATCAAGCTGCGCATGGAAGAGTTTTGGAAATCAGCGGCATTTTTCTTCTATTTAAAACAACAGGTGCTGAAATTTTCTCTCAAAAAGTCATTCTGAAAATAAAAACTTTGTTTTGATTTGATGTTATTATTATCGCAATAATTATGTTACTATATTTTAGTTTCTACATTTTTTTTATCTTACGGTCACTAAACTTCTTACTACATCAGTTAACATTTTAAAAATTGTTCATATCTTTCATAAACGTAAAATAGTCGCGAACAAAACTTTTTGCCAGGCCAGTATCCTCAGAACTGAAATGTTATGCCCTGATATAACTAATCATATTTTCAACAATGTAATAGAATTATTATTTTTTTTTTAATTTTTGAAACAGTTCAAGCTACAAAAGCACCTCAAAAACCTGTATCACTTGGGAAGCCTTGTCTAACATCAAGCCAGTGTCAAGAAAGAGATCCCTACACTGAATGTATTAATGGAAAGTGTGAATGTATTCAGCGCACTCCTGAATGCAGTTCAACTAACACTCGTAAGTATCAGGGACAAAAGTTAAAACTTAATCCCTGCAGTTATTTTACTCGTATGATTATGTGCAGTCAGCAAAAGAAAAAAACAGATCACCATTATTATAACTTTTGAATGGTTGGTCGGATTTTCATTCTGTAAAGTGCTTTGCCAATGTCTCAACAAAAAAAAATCTCTTAAAGTGTGTAACAGTAGCGAAATAAGCTTATTTCGACCAAAAAACTAACTTTTACTGAAGAAACATACCTTTTTTTACATCATATTTGGACTTATCACCCCCAGGATCGGGACGGGGCTGACAAAGTTTCGAAAAGATGGTTTCAATAGTTTAACAGTTCAAAAATTTATTACTCTAATACTATTTTAATGTGTCATGCTTCCCTTCAAGGGCGCCGGCAGCGGGGTGCAAGAGGGTGCTTTATACCCTCTTTGGTATAATGTCCCCCCCCCCTGTTTTTTTTTTAACAATTAGAGATACAGAAAAACAATTTTGCTATAAAATTTTTTTATTAAAAATCCTTTTATTCAAAAGCAAATAATTAAGTAATTATTGATGCATAACAATTAAAAACTTGTTTAATCAAACAAGAATTGTTATCGTCTTGTTTGCTGTTGAAATCTGTTTATAACTTTTTCAATGAATTCTGAGTCATCTTTGATTCTTTTCTCATGCACACTGAGCATGCCACAAACTTGGCAGATACATAAAGCTATATTTTAAATTTCATTTAATAAAATATAAATAATATATTTTCTATTAGTTATTTTGTTTAACAAAGGCGTATTGCACAAACTGACTTCTCACAACTGTGAAACTTCATCAACACAATAAATACCAATGTTAAGCATGCACAAACACGTTAGCATACGAAACTACTGTTTGTAGTTATTTGTGTTTCAATGCCGGCGCCATCAATACAGTTTCTCGTGGCAAAATTTGCAAGTACAAGAAATTCGTACTTTTTTTCAATCTTGTTAACAATGAAGAAATGTATCTTGAAAAAAAATTAAGGGATGAAAATATATGTATTAACAAAACAAAATGTAATATAAAAATATTTAAAAAAAAAATTTTTTTGCGGTGGGGGCGGGGTTGTTTGTTAGAGGGTTGCACCCCCTTTTATATTATTCTGCCGGCGCCCTTGCTTCCCTTCATAGATTTTCAATAATTGGTTGAACCACAATAATTCTTTCACAAAAAGTTATAAGCTATACGTAAATCTGTTTTTACCAATGCGATTTTTATTTTTACCAATGCCATTTACATTCCATTTCAATGCCAAATGTTTTGTCTTTATAAGTTAGAACAGTTAGAATTTTCAGAAAATTGGTTTCGGATGTTATTTTTGCTTGTTAAATCGAATGCAAAAAAGTCCCGTCAGAAAAAGTGTGTTTTTTGTTTGTTTTGTTAAAATAAGCATATTTATCCACAGTTATAGTTAACTGTTATATATAATTTAAAATATTTCTTTGAGACACTACCGGAACACTTTCGAAAAATGTGAAAATCCATCCGACCGTTCAAAAGTCTTAAGGATGATTGGTTTTTTATTTCTGCTAACTGTATTTACAAAAGCGAAATATGATTTTACGAAACATCTTTATTTTGAAACTTAACATCTTAAAAGTATCCTATAATTTCACACTTCCAGAGTGCCTAAATGATACCTTTCAATGCACAAATGGGCAATGCATTTCCTGGTATTTCGTCTGCGATGGAGAACAAAATTGCGTGGATGGTACCGATGAAGAAAACTGCATTCCATTCAGTAAGTTGTTTTCATTTAAATTTTCATTGTTAAAAAAATAACAAATATTCACAACTAAGAATACAACTGAAATATTATTCCCAGTTTATTTAGTTTCGTCACAGACAGAAAAATTCTAACGCTGCTTTTTAAACTTTAACCTTAGATTGTCCTGCAGAGTCATTTATGTGCAATGACGGAACTTGCCTGTCAAGGTCAGCTGTGTGCAATGGACGATGGGAATGTCCTGATGGAAGCGACGAAGCTCGATGTTATACAGGTATTTAACTGATAAAACTGTTTTGATTTTTAAAAAAAACCGGGTTCATTGAGTAGAAATCGTTGAAAACCTGATCAAAAATAAACCTTATTAGTTTCACCTGCTTCAACTCGAATGAACGCGTTAGTTGGAAAAGTTAGTTTTTTTGGAAAAACTCCTTCCAACTTCCGCACTTCTTTTAATTAACTGAAACATTGGTTTCATTAAACAATATTGAAATTCGTCTGCGTTTTTCCTGTTTATAAAGTTCATTTAACTGGAAAAAACTAAGAGAAGATGACGTCATTTGAAGGTATTTTGCCTCAAATCATGCATTAGTAGATTGCCAATAGCAGCAAGAGTGAATAGAGAAAAAAACACATTCATTCCATAAACAACCAGAAAAAGCAAATATATGATAAGTAAAGGTTTTCTGTTCTAGTTTAACCTCATATGTTAAACTTATGTCTCTAAATGATGACGTATTCCATCACAATGTTAACCAATTGATACACAAACGTTAACAAGTGAAAACTGGGTTCAGTCGCGTAAAAACAATAAAGCTGTATAGTATCACGTGATAATTAAGATTTTACATCGAACCTTATAGGGCGTCTAATAATTTGGTCAGATATATTACAAGATCTTAGGTTGAACCACGTTTCTGTCCAAAATGAATCATGTATTGTGCAATCTAGTACAGGATAAATTAATTTAAAACTCTTAGTTTTTCCAAGCAACTGCGTCATCTGTTGGCGAAATTTGTAACTAATTCTGAAACTAGGAGAGAATAAACCGGTTTCCTAAGCAGAACGCAGCAAATAATTTTTTCCTAATTCGTTACATTTTTACTTAATTAAAATATTCATTAAATCATTACTTCAGCTGAGTTAGTTTTTAACTTAGCAACTGAGTTTTTCATACTTAATATTATAAATTTAATTTTATTAAACTTAGAGATTGAATGAAGATGAAAATATTATTCATTAAAATTAAATATACAGTCTACTTTCCTTAAAACGACTTTTATTATAGCAACTTATTCGTTACTGGTGAGCAAAATTGGCTACATGTGACGTAGAGCAATCGCAAAATCTGTAATCGCAAAATGAAAATGAGTTACAAATTGCTGATGAAAATGAAGATACCTAGTGAAGATACAGAAGATACCTAGAGAAATAGATGTTACCTCGAAAACATAAAAACTGTTGTGCTGTTATTTTTTTTAAAATTCTATCGAATGGCTCCAAACTCACACCACCCACTGAAGCCAGTGCTAACTGCAGAGATTGGGCTAAATTTGATGCCATTCAGAGATATTTCACTGTTTCTATTGGCTATCGAAATGGCTACAGGTGGCGTAGAGCAGAACTCTCTACCCATGGCAACACTTAGCATGCTTTTACCATTAGCGTGTGGAGAGTCATGAAAGAAGGAAGTACGTTAGTTTATGTCTTGATTTTCAAGCAAATTAAAAACTTTTAAGTTAGAAAACTATACGGAATTGAAAACTACATTGAACATAGTTCTAAAAGAAAACATCGTAGCAATTTTAAAAAAATATTTTTGACAAGTATAGGCGAAAAATATTAAGAAACCGGTTTTCTCCCCAGATGGCGCATTCGAGCATTGCAATAGCAATAAACAACTGCAATATTTTTAGTACATAAAGTAATATTTACTATTCCATAGACGCAATGCTATTTTATTACCCACCAAAACTTCTGAACTAAACCATTCATTTCAATACAGCAACATTTCATCGTTAAACGTGTTTCGTTATAAACAATTATTTTGTCAGTTTTCCAATATTTTTCAAAGTATGTATTATAATTATTCCTGTGTTTTTTTTTTATTTTTTATTATTAACATTAATATTCCTGTATTTTTTTTATTCCGTATTTAGTTATAATATTAAATTTACATTATTTTGTTTACACTCGCGATATAACAAATGTTTCAGCTTGGACTGCAGAGATCGTTATACATTGATATTTAAAATTAATTTTTCAGGAATTCCTTGTGATAAAAACTCTTTCCGATGTAAAAATGGTCAATGTTTACCTGCTTACGCTTTTTGCAACGCTGTCATTGATTGTTATGATGGATCAGATGAAAGTTTTGAATCCTGTGAGCGAGGTAAGTTTTGAAAACGAACTCTTTCTGTACTGAGTATAAACATTCTTTTTCTTTTACATCACGTTAGGTGGCCATTCACACTGCATGCGAAAAATTCGCATATGATTGAGAACCTCACTGGATAATTTTTCGCAGTTGATATACTTCAATCAGGTTTGCCGTCGTACGTGAATTCTTTCATGCAGTTAGGTATATAAATGTAACATAAATTTTTGTGTCTGCTTGGTAATTTCGCAGAAATATTTGACAGCTTGGAGTATAAAAATGCTCCCAATAATTCCTCAATGTTTAAATATTTAACAGTACTGGTATGATAGACCATTATAATTGTCTTAAGTAACATGAATCGGCTGTTAAAGTACAAAGCATTGATATTCCTAAGATAAAAATCTTCGTAATATCATGGTTCGAAAATAATAAAGAATATTTTCAAAATAATTTCTGTTGTAGTCATAAACTAAAAATAGAAGAAAAACAGCTTTGGAACAATCGCCGCTGTTATTTAGAAATTAAAAATTGTCTTCGGAACAGTTACTGCTATAGGTCAGAAAATAGCGAGAGAACAGTTTCAGATTTATCAGAAAATATTTGAATAAATCGAAGCAGTTTTACTATGAAAACCAATGAAAAGCATTAAAAAAATTAATTCAATTTGTAAAAAGAAGAAAAAAAGCAACAGCTTTAAAAGAGTTGAAACCATCGGTCCAAATATGAAGGTAGAAAATCATCGAAATTGTTGAAGCAGTTTCACAATGAAAACCAATAGAAAGCCTTAAAGAAATTAATTCAGTTTGTGAAAAGAAGAAAAAAAGCAACAGATTTAAAAGAGTTGAAACTATCGGTCCAAATATGAAGGCAGAAAATCATCGAAATTGTTGAAGCAGTTTCACTATGAAAACCAATAGAAAACCTTAAAGAAATTAATTCAGTTTGTAAAAAGAAGAAAAAAAGCAACAGATTTAAAAGAGTTGAAACTATCGGTCCAAATATGAAGGCAGAAAATCATCGAAATTGTTGAAGCAGTTTCACTATGAAAACCGATAGAAAACCTTAAAGAAATTAATTCAGTTCGTAAAAAGAAGAAAAAAAGCAAGAGATTTAAAAGAATTGAAACCATCGGTAAAAATATGAAGGTAGAAAATCATCGATGTTGTTAAAGTGCAGTTTCACTATGAAAACCATTAAAAAAATAAATTCAGGTTGTGAAAAAAGAAGAAAAAAACAACAGCTTTAAGAGAGTTGAAACCATCGGTCAAAATATGAAGATCGAAATTGTTGATGCTCTTGTCTGAGAAATAAGTAAGTAATGGCTTTGGGCGACTTACGACCTTGCATTACTATTTATCAGTAAATACCAATGAAACAATTGAGGTCATTAATTAGAAATCGAACAGCTTTTACTATTGCTCACAAAATAGCGACACTAAAAAACACGTGATGTCTGATATTACCAATATAATAAAGCATAATTTTTTCCTATTCAGTTAATTATTTAAAAAAGAATTGGTGCAAAACTAACAAAACTTGGACGTAAATAAATTATCTAAAGTTTATGAAATAATTAAACTAAATTTAAATATTGTCATTTACCATTTGAAATATACTTTAGGCACTTAATTTTATTGGTTTAAACGCGTCAATTCATACTTTTTGTATTCAAGAATTGCTGATTTATTATTCATATTACAAATTTTTTTGTGTTATTTTCTTAAGAGACAATAGAACTTTTGTTTTCACGTAATAAAGTTATTAGTATTCTCAACTCAACGAACATAAATAACGATTTCTCCTGAATGCAAATTACTTGACAAAAATAAAGCCAATAACAAAATGCAAAAGGGCAAGTATTCAATTGAACTTGCATCCGAGGAGGTTTAGTTTATCAGAAGACTAAAGGTTAGCTTGAAGAAGAAAATCCGCTTTGTTAGTCCACTTGCAAAACACTGTAATTACTTGTTTAGAAACACAAATATAGACCATCTATGATTATCTAATTAAACGTAGGCTTTAAAAATAATCTGTAAGAAATCTGGAAATAATTTCTCTTAAAATTGGCACTGTTTGCAAATTACTGCGGTAAAATACTTTCAATGCTCAAAGTGTGCCCTCATTCAAGGTCAATTGAAAAATAAATAATTAACCGATTTTTTACAAATAATCAACACAACACAAATCCATGCAGGTGAAAAAGCAAACAGCATGAGGATAAGAATGCATAAATAAAGGCATGTCAAGAGTCAGTATAAGTCAACCAATCAGGAGATCTTGAAGTTTCTCTTTGAAATACGAAACCTGAATGAATATGGAGCTACCCAAATTGAAATTTTTGATGGTTTTCCATTGATGGACCAACATAATCCTGATGGTAAACATCAATAATTCCACCATAAACCATTATATTTTTTGATATGAACCAACATAAGTAACCATCACCCCAATGTAGGAATTGGGTATACTATAGCCTACGTCACAGGTTGTGTTATTCCTACTAAATTTAACCCATGAACGGCATTTTCTGCGAGCCTAACTTCAAGCCACAAATAAACAAACGAAGTGTTTGATCGTTTAAATAGCTGCTCGCCAGATTTTATTGCATTATAAAGAAAAGTAATTGATATTCGATTTTTGATAAATAATTGATTTATGTGGATAGTGGCATAGAATTTAGCATTGTGCCATGGTAAATGTTATTCCTACTAAGTGGAAGTAGTTGTGTTTTTTTATATTATACCTCATTCGGATTGATTTATGATGGTCCAACATAAGAATAGCAACTTGTTTTGATGGTCTGTTCATTTTGAACCATCAGAAATTTCCATCATAGTCAACAAAAAAAACATTAACAAAAATGGTTTTGATGGTATATTCCTGCTAAAATAACAAAACGTTCCATTAAACCATCATGGAAATGTTCGGTTGGAACCATCACGAATCAGCAGGGATTGTTGGTTCATGAGAATCATACTTCTCTAGATGGTAAACCATCATAGTATTAAAGAAGCATTTTCCAACATGGAATGATAGAAGTTTGTTGGCATATCAAATACCATGAACGCATCATGCAAAATATTGGATGATGGTGACCAACAACTGATGTTGGACCATTATGAATCACATTGAAACCAACAAAAACCATCAAAATTTTTTTGATGGGACCATCAAGAATTTTGACTTGGGTATGAATAATGAAATTCCCCTTTTTAAGGGGAATGGGGGTGATTTGTGGGGGGGAATTGAATCTTCTCTAAATATGCAAGTGAGGCATTGTTTCCGATATATATTATTTAAGCCTTAATCGACTGAGAGTATACACAAGTAAATAGAACAAAGAGTTTAAAAGTTTTAATGTATAAAAAGTAATACTTTTAAATCGTACTTATGTACGTACTTTCCAGTGCTATTCAGGAACTATCTGAACATGTAAGGTATGTTTCTAATGCAACTCTTTATGCTAAATTTAATGAGATTGATTTCAAAAAGATCGGAGTAATAGTTTAGAATATATAAACGTCCTACGTACAAAAAGTACAATTTTGTGCTTTTTTTGTAAAATTTTGTACCATTTTAAGTATCTGATATCGCTGATTAAACAAGTGTGACATTGTATTCGATGTAGTTTTTTACGCTAAATTAAATAGAACTGATAATTTTTGTATACAAGCAGTTTCTTAACAGTTTTTCATAGTTTAATCCAGTGTTTCCCAAACTTATGACTTTTGTGTACCCTTTCTAAATTTTTCATAACACTGTGTACCACTAATAAAAAAATGAATGTATTTTTTTCTACAGAAAAAATTACACAAAAGTTAAAAATCACAACTGGCTGTTGATCCCACTAATTATTAACTGTTAACTCTGCAAAAAATAGCTAATAGAAAAATACGTAATCGTAAATTTTCATGGCTAGCTTTGTTTTTAAATAAAAGTTTTTGAAATTTTCGCTTGTTGCAAGATATTTCGCATAAGAACAAGTACCCCTGCAAAACTGTTCCCGTACCCCTGGGAGTACGCGTACCACACTTTGGGAAACACAGGTTTAATCAAAAAATAAACACGAATCTAGAGGAGTGATAGTTCAAAAGTTAAAATGAGTTTTTTGAATTAAAAAAAATGCTATTTTGAATTGTGCTTATTCTGAATAAAGCCCTTATAACTGCAAAACTATTAATCCCATTAACTCAAATTTTATCTCATTCATTTCAGTACAAAAATTTCATCGGAAAATGTACCTCACATGTTAAGATTAGCTGCTCGATAGCTAAGTCTTGTCAAAAGTAGTACTTTTTATGTATATAAAGCTTGAAACTACTCGTTCTACTGACTTGTGTGTAGTCTCATTCGATACAAGTTTTAAAAAAATATATAGAAACAATGCCTCACTTGTTTAGATAGTTATACCAAGTAATAGCTTATACCAAGTAATAAATAGGTCAAAGCTCAAATTTGTACTTTTTGTACACAAAAGCCTTACAACTTCTAAACTATTAATCCAATCATCTCGTGTAAGATCCCCACGGAATATGTATGATTCTGGTCCCCTTCTTTATCCAGAAAATCGGCCATTTAATTGCCATATATTCCACAATCGACCAGAACCCAACACAAAACAACTTCTTTGTGAAGATTTTTCAAAATACTTATAATAGTTTTCCAATCCTTAGTTCTTTGCAAGTCCGTGATTTTCGGAGAGATAATAGTCTGAATTGCAGACTTCGAGTCTGACAGAATATCGGCAATTGTCGAAGCTCTCGCACTAAGAAATTAGTTTTTACATGAGATGCCAACCTTATGGCCTCTACTTCTCTATTAAATGGTATGGCCAGAAACTAAATAGAATGCGAACAAGGCAGAGAAAATACCAGCTCCCAAATGTCCTTCTTTTGCGAATGGCGTTATTCATCCGTACAAATATGCAACCATTCCTGTTTTGGATTTTGTCATTATAGTCTTTCTTGTAAATGAAGTTTCAAAAAAAAAAAAAAGAAGGAAAAAAGAAATTTAAATACTTATTCATTATTATTAACATTGAGCGATACATATACTAATATGGTTGATTAAATTTCTAATATTAACAGGTGAGAACTGCCCAAGTAACAGTTTCCAATGCAACAACAGTAGGTGTAGATCAACAGCTATTTTATGCAGTGGCTTGGATGGATGCGGGGACAACAGCGATGAAGACAGATGCGAAGTTTGCCGTGAGTAATTTTACTTTTTTAATTTACTAAATTATCATTTTTATTTTATGTTTAATATAATTTAAATTTTAAGCAATTCACTTCTAAAATAAATTATTGAGCCGCGATGGCTCAGGGGATAGAGCGTTCGCCTTCCAATGCGGCAAACCGGGTTCAAATCCCAGTCGATACGAATTCCGCAACCGGCTTGTACCGACCACAATGCTGACGTGAAATATCCTCTGGTAGACGGATCATGGGTTAGAGTCCCCTTGTCGTCTGGCTAACCGTGGGAGGTTTTAGTGGTCATCCTCTCCGTGTAGCGCAAATACGGGTTAGCTCCATCAAAAAGTCCTCCCGCGAAGGCCAATTTCTCCCAATACTCGATCCAGGAGTTCCCTTGTCTTTTGGATTGGGTTCAAAATTACAAGCCTACGGAGTTGAAAACATTGGTAGTCGTAAGCCCATAAAAATTTGGTTCAACGACGGTTATAAAATAAAATAAATTATTGTTATAATAATAATAATAATAAAATTTAAAATACTTATACATTTAAAACACTTATACACTTAAACATATCTACAAGGCGCTTCATAATGATCATCTTGACTATAAATACGTTTTTGAATTTTAATAAAAAAAAAATTTTAAAAAAACTATGGACATTAGGGATGAAAAATTAAGAATGTTTTCAAATTCTGACCAATAACTTTGAGGTTAGAAAGAACAAAGGAGGTATTAAAATCATCTAAATCCCATTCATATTAAGATAAAGCTTAAAAGCGGTTCCCAGCAAAAGGTGAACTTATCACAGTGTACAGTTTATTTTAACACCTCTTTTTTTAAAAGGATTTTAAGAATATATATTAAAGGTAGTTATTACTGAACACGTTGTATATTAATCCCACGTTTCAATATTTTGACGTATTAGCTGCTATGTTAATCAACAAGTACCGATACTTCTCTCCCATTGAATCTGTGTCAGATCGTGTGGGTTAATCATCTGTACAGTACAGTTTACATTACAAAATAATTACGTTCATTCGAAATACATATATAATTTCCTCATTAAATGCTCTAACGAAAGATAAAATTTTTCTTTAAAAATTGCATTTTAATTCAACAAAAAAATCTGATCAATAAAAAAAAAATTCAAATTTTTTAAATTAAATTGAATAAAATGAAAAATAGATTATAGATTAGACTACTTCATAATCAAATGTTATTGTTAGATCGAAAATATAAATTTCTGCATTTTGTTTGGTAAAAATGGGATTTTCTGAACTCGCACAGAAATCATGAAAATAAGTAATATCAGAACAATAACGAACTTGTCGTTACTCCTCAGAGGTCAACTTCAGAACTCTTGGAATGCAAATTTTTTATTACAGATCAACAAAGTGCCCAGATTTAGCCTATAGGTGTTTGCAATATGTTTTACAGATTGCTCTGTAATCGCAAAATGAAAATGAGTTACAAATTGTTGATGAAAATGAAGATACCGAAGATACCTAGAGAAATAAATGTTAGCTCGAAAACATAAAAACTGTTGTGTTATTTTTAAAAAATTCTATCGAATGGCTCCAAACTCACACCACCCACTGATGCCAGTGCTAACTCCAGAGATTGGGCTCAGTTTGATGCCATATTTCACTGTTTCTATTGGCTATCGACATGTGACGTAGAGCAGAACTCTCTACCTATGGCAACACTTCACATGCTTTCACCATTAGCGTGAGGAGAGTCATAGAAGAAGGAAGTACGTTAGTTTATGTCTTGATTTTTCAAACAGATTAAAATCTTTTAAGTTAAGAAACTGTATGGAACTGAAAACTACATTATACATCCTTCTAAAAGAAAGCGTCGTGGAAATTTTAAAAAATATTTTTAACAATTAAATACGAAAAATATTAAAGGAAAAATATCGTAGTACATTCCTATACAACTGAAAAGAGGAAGAGAGGGAAGGAACCGGTTTTCCCTTCAGATGACGTATTCGAGCGTTGCGATAGCGAATACTTTTCAAATACCTTGTGTAAAAATAATTTTTAAAAATTCCAGTGTCATTCTTCTTTAATAAATTTTTTTATAAACTTAAATTTAGATATATTGCAAGAATAAATTCCTGATATCTAATGACTCGTCTATTTCCAGGTTGCCCAAAACCGGAATGAACAGTTGCCAACGCCTCAACTTAACTCGTCTTTCCAGTGTCACCAGTGTGTGCATTATTTATTAAACGTCAACCGAGAGGGCACAACTTGCCCCGAACTGTTACTATGAACATTCTATTTATTTTGTTTCACAAAAAAAGTAATAATTGAGATTTTTACTTCTCATCTCATTGACTTCATCTACATTTCGAACGAGGAGCTCAAATCCATCATTTCATGCCACTTCTTCAAAAGACTTCCTAGCAAAGTATCAAGCTCTGCGCCATCATATTCACTTTGAAGGGTTTTGGGGGGTTACAAAATTCAAATTCAGTGACATGCCCCTTCTTTGGATATCGCTTTCTTTTGTCTCACTTCAAAAGCCATTATTGTAAGGTTCCTACGCAATAGCATCGCTCTTTTCCATCAAGGACAGTGGTTAAATCAAATCTTGTAGGATAAACAAATTAATTAGGCTTGCCAATGCGAAATATACGAATTAAATTAATGTAACCAGGGGCTAGGTTTAACATCAAAGATTATGGGATCAGCAGCGAAGGCCACAACACAAATCCGTTCAACTAGGGATGGAAAACTGTTAAAAGTTAATCACAGATGGCGCCAGCGGTTAAAATCCCTAGTAATACTTTCGGGTTACAACTCTCGATTAAATTTAACGCTCAAGCATTTATAAAAATAAAAAAACGCCATTCAAAATAGCTATTGTACTTGTACCGTTTACAATATAACTTGTACTATATTTACCACTCAATTTAAAATCTATTTAAATTTAGCTGAAGACATAAAAACGGAAGATAACTAAACATGGCAACAATTAATTAATGATTATTTTTTTAATACGTTCACGCCGGGGTGACCCACCGGTGGGTCACGCTAGATTTTCTCATCTTGGCAGAGTACCGGAGTAAAAACTGGTAACAAATAAATTTCATTTTTTATTTTTTTTCCGGAAATAATAAAAATCCATAACCACCAATTGTTTTTAATGGATGCAATTTTCATATTGAATTGCTTCTTCGCCGTGATAAATTTCCTTACAGTGAATTGTTATTGTTGAGAATAGATTAACTCCTCCCGAATATTATCTAATATTGAAATAGTTCTTCTACTAGTATTTTCACTTTTCCCGGCATGAACGTGTTAATTTGATTTATTGTTCAAGACCTTTTAGAATTTATGCAGCGCAGAAAAATCTTATGAATAGTAAAATTTTGCACAAATTCATATTTCAACAAAAAAAAAAATCAATTACAGAACTTTCTAAAATACCTCTATCTAAATATTTCTTTCCAGTTTCAGAATGTCTTTATTTTATTACACTTAGTCCCTATCCATAAATTCGGTACATAAAAACCATACTAATTTACAAACTTGCTGCTAGCCTATTAAGTGTTAAATCGAACCTCATTTCCGTTGAAGTCGTTGTCTTTGGTTTAACGGAAATAAGATTCGGTTTTAATTTTAAAAAATAACTTTTTAACTTAACACTACGATATGGTTGCAGCAAATATGATTGTATTAAGGTTCAACAATTTCTAACAGTGTAGAGTAAAAATTACACTTACTGTCTTTACTCTAAAAGGAAGAATTTATTCTCTTAGACGAAAACTGACAGTCTATTCTCCTCATATTCCTTACTATAAGGAGATTAGATTTCTAAATATTATTTCATTTCACTGGTCACTAAAGTAATAGTTTTAGATAATCAGTGTGTCAAGATGAGTAAATTGAAGTTATAACTAAGCATGTGTTTTGTTGTGCAGTCTAAACATCAAGTGTAGTGTAAACCAAAGATTAACCATTTTCTACTCACAATGTTTAAAAACGGATCACCTAAATTGTAGTATAGGCAAACAAATATTGAATAACAAAATAAAATTTAAAAAAATAATAAATAACGAGTTTTACAGCTGAAATAAAATTCAAGCCTAGTTACATACTCTACTCGGATTCTAACTCTTGCTAATTACATTAAAACTAATCAATAAAAAGTGAAAGAATCACGCCTTTTGATTTTCATAGTTATAGTACCATAATCAAAAAATGTTTAAATCTAGCCCTGTAGTAGCACCTACTAAAGCTTAGTTTGTGAAGTAGATAATGAATTCGTAATTTTTGCATTGGAAAATATTACATTGTTCTGTTGGAAGAAAACACATCATCAGTGTGCTTAAGAAGATAAAATTTTTAGGCGTATTGGTAACTGACAATCAAATCCAATAAAACATTGTAAAGTTTGCATTTTCAATTGAAATAAATTTTTTGATGTGGAGTCTACTTACTGTGTTTTTCTCTTCATTTGATTTAATATGGAATTTTAAGTTCTTATAAAAGCAACTTCGACACTACTACAACAAGTCGACTACTTGCTACAACAAGTCGGTTGTCTAAACGGAACTTGCAGCTAAATCCTAGAATACGTTACACAGTGGATTTGGCGATATTTGGGAAGATATCTTTATGTTTTTATTATTATCAGATTACGATTTTCTGTGTTTTTGCCTACGCCCAATTTTTGGAAACAATCGTACAAACGTCATTTCGGCCTTAGCAACAATTCGGCGACCTACAAGTGCAACGCGTCATTTTTGGCGAAATTTTTCAAAATAACGCCAAGCGTGTAACGTATACTAGGATTTTACCTAACTTGCAAAGTTCTTAGGAATCTTACTCACAGGCAATCCAAATTATACCTGGCTTTTCGATTTTCCAGGGTTAAAATGGATTGCATTGAAAGACAATTTATACAGAACAACTGCCAACTTTTACGTTTTTTTTTCCAACGATAGCAAAAGGTATCCTTTAATCAGGGGGCGAAATTTCCAATCACCAGCTCTCCATTGGCGATCAATTATTTATGTATCAGGAGTAAACTACTATTTTTAAAATGTTGATATTTAAATTCTATATGACAATAGACTCATGTACTTAAATGAGCCTGCACGTAGAAGTGTTTTCAAAGCAAGCGACGAAATTTTCTTTTATTTAGAACAAAAACTGTTCCCCACTTTTCACCTACAGAGCCATTACTTTTAAAAACTTTGAAGTTTTAAGTCAATCTTATTTCGATTTAACCCCTTAACGATCGGTTAATTTTCAAGAAAACTGTCATAAAAGTGCCTATTTTTTTGGTTTTTGTACTTGTATTACGTTTTTGATTACTGCTGCAACTAGTTTAAAATAAACTAACTATCTACAATTACCTTAAAAATATCCTGGTACTGCCATCAGGTGTGTAAAATGAGAAATAAAATGTTTTCCGGGCAAAAGAAATGAATTAGTTTTATTCTTATTGGCGCGTTACTACTGAAAACTCCAGCCCGTCAATATCACGGGAGCAAGAAATAGCGGGAGAAATCTCCCCCCGTCATTTTAACGAGATGGAAAAGGGAGGGGTTAATATTATTATTATTATTGTTGTAAAAAATATTTTTCAGTTCTTAAGTTTCCACATTCTTCCCTCGGCAAAACATCTGAGGCCCTCATTGGACTGATATTCATGAATCTTGCCTCAAAAATGATTCAAAAGGTCATTATTTTATATATATAATTGATAGTCTGGTTGGTAGGGTACTCGGCCCATGTCCAAGAGTTCGTGGGTTCTATCACAGACCGGCCGTGCAGTAAATGGTGACTGATGCGCGTTAAATCTGTCGAGCCGCAGAGTCCTCCATGTTTCCATAACAAATCAATACCTTTAGGGGTACTGATCCAGGAGTTTCCTTGTCTTCTGGATTGGTTCAAAATTACAAGGCTACGGAATCGAGCATTAGTAGTAGTAAACCCATGAAATTGGGTCGGCTGCTCAACGACAGATATAAAAATAAAATATTTTACAGCTAGCCGCGATGGCTCAGGGGATAGAGCGTTCGCCTTCCAATGAGGCGAACCGGGTTCGAATCCCGGGAGATACGAATTCCGCACCCGGCTTGCACCGACCACAGTGTTGACGTGAAATATCCTCAATGGTAGACGGATCATGGGTTAGAGTCCCCCTACCGTCATGCTGACCGTCGGAGGTTCTAGTGGTCTTCCTCTCCATGTAACGCAAATGCGGGTTAGCTCCATCAAAAAGTCCACCACGAAGGCAAATTTCTTCCAATACTCGATCCACGACTTCCCTTGTCTTCTGGATCGGATTCAAAATTACAAGGCTACGGAGTTGAACATTAGTAGTCGTAAACCCATGAAATTGGGTCGGCTGTTAAACGACGGTTATAAAATATATATATAATATATATTTTACAGCCACTTTACAAACATTATCGGCCCTATATAAAATTGTCAGATTCACCTAATATTTTATATTCATTATTTAGCCAATAAAGGCTCTATATTAGCCAATATAGGCCCTATATAGACCACATTCTAGGGCGAATATTAAAAAATCTAGGCAACCCAATATTGGTCTCGCGGTGCATGTTCTTATAGGACCCATATTGAGCCAATTTTGAGCCCAACTGGAGCCATGGTGAAATTGCTGCTAGGGTTCAATGATTTTAGTCATTAAAAAGTTTTCCATACTACATCTGAAAACATTTAAAAAATAAAAAATTGTTCATATTTTTTATGAATATAAAATAGTGACGAGCACAAATTTTAGTCTGGATATTCTTTTTAGGTATGAAATATCATATCCTACTTTAATGCAAGCTCTTCATTCAGTTATGCTACATAAAATAATTTTTTTGCAAGGATTCTAAAAATATATATGTATAATTAAGACAATCATTACAAAACACTCTGCATTAAAGACTTAAAAATTTTAGCTAGGATACTTCTAAACGCTGGAAAAAGCAAACAAATTTCTGTAGTATAAACAAACTTGGGTGCTTGTGTAAATTCTTGCTGATCAGAAAAATTTGCGCAAATTCTCTGCCAAATTAAAAACAAATCATTTCATAATATAACCAGTGCCTATTTAATAGGAATTAAAACAAAATTTAGTTTAAAATATATTGAAATTAATGTTTTAGAACAGACGATTAAAAAATTTGTGGCATAGTTATTTTGCAAAAACTTTTATTTACAAGAAGTTTGAGGTTTTACTAAAAATGATCAAAGGAATTTTACACAAATACCCAAATTTGTTATTTCATTAATATTAGAAAAATTATCCCACAAAAGATGCAAAACTTATTAATGTCATTTGTAAATCAGTCACATCTGCCACTTTCGACATATCTTTCCATGAGTACTTTTAATGGCCCCTATTAATTTCAAGTCTTTTTTTTTTTTTCTAAATTTGAAAAATATTCCCATCATTTCTTACAAAAGGAGAATTTCAAAATAAAAATATGATGTTTTACTCCATGTTTTCTCTATGTAACATCAGTAACCTTTCATAATTTAACATATATAACCTTTGATTACATAATTTTCATAATTTCTAAACAAGCATTTATAATTTTGATCTATTTTTCTTATATGCATATATTAATATTAGGTTATTAAAAAATATCCCATATAATTTTTTCAAAAAAAATTTTTGAATATTCATCAAAGAAAAAAATAATAAAGCCTATCAAAGTGCAATGTGGAATTTTCCTATTATGTTTCATATCCCTTACTTTTCATATTCACTGTATTTATCCAATTTTATTGCAAATATTTCAATCTAATTAAGTACTTTTATGTAACTAGCAAAATCTTTTAATACTTATTTTAAGGCACTTTTTTTGCTATTATCAGTTCCATTTAAATAAATAATTCATTTTAGTTTTTAAATAATTCTAATTAATGATTTCATTTTTTTCAACGTTTTGAAACATTAGGCCAATAAACCATTTATCGTCTGTCTAAAACTATTTCCGTTTAATTTTAAAATCTTAGGCATAAAATAATGAATAATTTTAATCTGAAATCTTAACAATTTCCATTTAAATAAGAATTATTATTACAAATAAATATCGATGCAAAATTTTTAAAGTTAAAACTATGTAAATTTAAATCATGAAAATTTCACAAACATTTTTAATTTTATTCTGAAAATCTCAAGAATTTTTTTTTTCGGCCCGAGATTAAACATTCTAATATCTCTGCAGTAAAACAGCTTAAGTAAATCAACATGTTTCAGATGTTTTCTTACTGAGGAAACAAACTTTGCTTCAAATCATTCATTTAAAGCATATGATGTTCTAGATAATTTAGATAACATTTCTATGCCCCAAATAATCTGATTCTGATTAATCAAGATTGTATGGTAATTATTATAATTTTAGCAAACACGAATAATTTAAAAGCTGAAACAGAAATTAGCTCGGTCCAGTAAATTATAAGAATGAAAAAAGATACTTTTTATAACAATCAAACAAAATTTCAACGTTTATTATAAATGCTAAATTTTTCAATGCATATTTACAAATGATTATTCTAATGACTAGTAATGATTTTCACTATTTAATGAATAAGAACCCAGTTGCTGGGAGCATTGTAAGACAAAAATATTGGACAATGTAGCAGCAGAGAAAGACTTGCACCTATAATTAAAAAAAAGTAATTGTAACATACATTGTTAATTCCAACATTTCTCAAAATTTAATAAAACTATTAGGGTTCTGCTCCTTGCTTACTATCACTTGCCAAACCCCAAAGCTTCTGATGCAGTTCCTTCCACTTTGCCTTGCTCACTCAGTAGTCTTTAGACTACTTCATGTTACACTTTAATTCAAATATAACAGAGGTTCAATTGCTTACTTGCTTGTAGTTTTCTCGAAATCAGATTTTTTTCATGTTTTAGGCCATTATAAACAGAAATCTCATATTATTTTTAAAATAATTGCTCATAACTTTTCAAAAAATATATAACGTTTTCTAAAATAATGTTTAATATAATAGAAAATAATAACAATAATATTAGACAATATTATGGGAAATATGTATTTTTCTCACAATTTTGCAATTAGACACTATAATGCCAGCCATATATACTGTGAACTTGATATAACATCCATACAAATTCTGCATCTTTATACTTTCTTCCAATACATAAGGAGCACACTTTCATAACTACTTCGGTATGTCAAAAGAACTTTCAGACATGAACTCTTTACCAAATCAGGCATTAATTAATAAAAGCATATAATTTGTTTTTCTTTTAATTTGAAGAGAGTGTATTAAGTAATTTAAAAAAAAAACTAATTTAAAATTTGAATTTAATTAGGTTGAATGTATGAATTAATTTAAATTTTTGCTACATAAGCATTTGTAGAACATAAAACTTGTAAAATATTTAGAGGATAAAATACTAAAACAATAAAAAAAATATTAAAATTATTAGTTTAAAAAAAAATAAAATAAAAAAATAAGAAAGCTTTTATTTAAAAATACATTAAACACAATTCTTTGTTTAAAATAAACTGTTTAAAAATTCTGATTCATAATAAAATAAAAGTTTTAAATTATTCCTTATACTTATAATATTTAAAAAATTTTATTTTCCTCTTTTTAATTTGTACTAAAAATCAATGGAAATAAAAGACTGTTAAAGTAAAGCACTTCTACAACAGCCAGTTGTTAGCCGGGGGTAAAGGAGTTTAAGATTTCAAAAGAGAAGTAGAAAAACAGAAGTAAATCACCAGCTTTAAATAATTCGGAAAAGAATTGGAAACAATTAAGATAGGATGAAAACAATGATTGAATAAAGTTATTTAAGTTTTTTTTTTTTTTTATGGAAAACTTGATCTGTGTCTCATGTATTTTCAAGGTCAATCCTAAGATGACTAATAATTAAAAAAGTACTTACTTTCAGTGTTTTCAGCTATATATATCCAATGTGAAAGAAATGAGATCATTTCCTCTCTAGTTAATCCAACCGAGCATAACCCTCTCAAAAAGCAAGCCTAAAAGCAATAGTTAAAATAAAAGTTAAGAAAACTAAAAAAAAAAGTAACAAAGACATAATTTCCAACCTTTACTTATTTATTTTTTGTTCTCGCTTGATAACATCATTAAACTTAGTCAGGAACATTAAACCTGAGCAAGTCATACATTGTAACCTAGTGATTGGAAAATAATTTAGGAGAGTTAAAATATTTTTTTTATTTTTTATGATCCAACATGCCAAAAACCGAACTGAGATGGCTAAAAACTTGGTCAGGAATGTTAATCTTGACCAAGTCCTACATTGTGACCTATTGATCGGAAAATATTGATTTGAATGGTAGATATTATCTGAAAATTAAAATATTTATCTTTCTTTACTATCCAGTATCCCAAAAAACTGAAGTGAGAATCACTAATCCTGTTCAAACTAGATTATAAAACTATTCAAATTTTAAGCATATGAATGATTATGACTTAATTTTAGTGTCGTCAAAGCAGATATACAATCCTATTTGAAATAGAAAAATAAAACAAAATTTAATTTGAATAAATATAAATTTTTTTAAACATTTAATACACTACGATACATATTTTCTCTAAACACCGTAGTGTTTAGAGAAAATAAAATTTTGAGAATACAAATACTTCTTACGTGTTTCAGATCATGTAAAGTCATGTCATCAAAACCTTCCCTTGATATAGCCAAATCCATTTCACGAATGAAACCAGCATGTTTCCATAACCGCCATTGTAAACCAGGCAAAGCAGAGATTCTATGCATACGACATAAACTGTGCTGTGAATATAAAATATTAAATAATATTATATTGATAGCTAATTTTATTACCCATTAAATTCTAGTTTTTAAAAATCTAACCTGGAGAGGAATAGTTTCCCTGAATTAAAAGTACATAAATTTATTTCCAGTATTTAAAAATTTTATACTTTCATCATGTATGAAGCTCATCCAGAAAGCAAGTTTCCCTATTTTTTTTAAAAAAAGGAACTTTCAGGAACCTATTTATTGGCAACAAGTACAGCAATGCTTCAGCTATTTTTCACCATAGCCGCAACCAGAATTGAGACACTTGTTGCATCAACTTTTGTATCCCTTTGTCGTAGAACTCTGCCGCCTGTGAATGGAACCAGCATGTGACAGGCGTCTTCAGCTCTTCGTCATAGCCAAAACGCTCACCAGAGGAAAGAAATTTTTTGAGGTGTAAGAAAACTTAAAAATCGCTGGGAGCAAGATCATTCATTGTCATGGAGAAGCACAACACCTGCAGTAAGCATTCCACGACTCTTGTTTTGAATGGCATGTTGCAATTTCTTCAGTGTTTTCTCAATTCCAATTTCTTCAGTGTAGCGACAAGCGTTTACTGTTTGGATGGAAGTCAATGAGCAGAATGCCCTTTCTGACCCTTTTCGTGCCGACAGCGTCCTAAGCGTTGAATTTTGTGTTCGGGTGTCCGGTTTTTCCATTCACAGACGACAGAGGGATACAAAAGTTGATCCCATGATACGACAAGTGTCTCAATTCTGGTGGTGGCTATGTTGAGAAATAGCTGAAACATTGCTGTACTTGTTGCCAATAAATAGGTTCCTGAAAGTGGGAGTTCTTTTTTTAAAAAAAAATAAGGAAACTTACTTTCTGGATGAGTCTCGCACACAAAAAAATTATAATTTTAATTCGAATTTATCAATTAAAATCCATTAACTAAAATTCCAGTTAGAGCTTAATAATACTTAAATTTTACATCTTCCTTTATGAGATAAGTAGATTTAACAGTTATTCAACAATTTTAAAACCATAAAACAAATTTGTTATGTTAGAAACTGCTGTGTTTACATAGTTTGCAATTATTAACATAATTTTTTGATTGAGATCATTAAAACACATAAGATAATTTAAATAAAACATGGAGAAAAAACTTTTTTTCATAATAAAATTCATAGAAAATATCATAAAAAAACTTACTAAATGTTTTCTAGACATTGAGAAAATTCCATAAGGCTTATTTACAAACAATGGTTTTAGGCTTACAATTTCGTCTGTTGTTGGGTGTACACCACTGCCTAACTAAAAGCACAAAGAAAAATAATCCATAATTTTATAAATAAACAATGTTATAAAATTTTAACATTGTTTAATTATAAAATTATGGATAATTTATAATTAACAATGTTAAAATGTCATAATAACAACATAATAAATAATGCTGACAACAAAATTCAAATTGTTAAAAAAAAAATCAGTATCTTTTTCAAAAATAAAAATTAATATGCAGTTGTGTAGAAACACAGTTGATATTTCAGCAGTAAATTAAAAACAAGTTTTCATGCTGAAAAGTTAACTTCGCTACTTAAAAGCTACTTTACTATTTATATATCATTTATAATCATTTTTATAAAGTTTTAAATGAAATTTCCTATTATATATTTTAAGAATAGTACTGATTAGCTTTTTCATAATTAATGGATAATGAGCTTAACCAAATAAATAATTCAAAGGGGCTCTATGATCACGTTATTAAAGTGTTAATTAAATAAATTATAAAAACTTTGTAAGGAATTTCATTTATTTATTAAATTTAATAAATTCATGCATAAAGGAAAATTTGGAAAAACTAATACTTAAACACTTTTTTTTTGTTTTAATTTAAACTGTTGATTACCAATTGAATTTTATTTTACTTCGTATTTATAACTTTTGTAAAACGTGTATCTCTGAAAGTTTATTATTGCCTCTCCATCTCAACAAACATTTAACATTGTTTTGCTAAACTATTTTAAAAAGTAAAAACTAAATTCTATTTAATTAACAAAATGATGTTTTACCTTGTCTTAAAGCAGCTATTTTTTTTCTTTTTGCTTAAAAAATTACTTCAATGATTTTACCAATGAAATTGGAATTATTAAAAAACTTAATTTCTAAAGTAGTCTTAATTGTAATAATTGTAGATTAGAAGTGAAGGGCTACTTGCATGGCAGATTCATCAATGTAGGAAAGCATGCCTAACTATTTAGACAGACATATTGACAGCAATTATAATAATTTTTATATAAACATCAGTGTTCCACACACTAAATTTTTTATCAGTTGGCTTAGTAATATGTTCACTTAAATTAAGTACCTTTAAGCACTAGATTTCAATTAAAATTTAAGAATGCAAAACTGATTTGTTTTTGAAAAAAATATTTATTACATAATAATAATTATCAAAAATATATAGATAAACAAATTAAATAAAAACAATGGGGAAAACTTAACTGCCCATAGAATTAAATTTAAAATTTTTTTTTAAAAAGAAAATATTTTATAGAGTAAGATANATTGGCAAAACTATGTTATACTTTCATATGCAGTTGAGTAAAAACACAGTTGATGTTTCAGTAGTAAATTAAAAACAAGTTTTCGTGTTGAAAAGTTAACTTTGCCACTTAAAAGCTACTTATATTAAAAAAAACTATTTATATTCATCATTTGTATAAAGTTTTAAATGAAATTTCTTATTATATATTTTAAGAGTAGTACTGATTAGCTTTTTCATAATTAATAGATAATGAGCTTAACCAAATAAATAATTCAAAGAGGCTCTATGGTCACGTTAAAGTGTTAATTAACTAAATTATAAAAAATTTGTAAGGAATTTCATTTATTTATTAAATTTAAATAATTTATGCATAGTGGAAAATTTGGAAAAACTAATACTTAAATATCTTTTTTTTTTAATTTAAACTGTTGATTACCAATTGAATTTTATTTTATTTCGTATTTATAACTGTTGTAAAATGTGTACCTCCGAAAATTTATTATTGCCTCTCGATCTCAACAAACATTTAACATTGTTTTGCTAAACAATTTTAAAAAGTAAAAACTAAATTCTACTTAATCAACAAAATGATGTTTTACCTTGTCTTAAAGCAGCTATTTTTTTCTTTTATCTTAAAAAATTGCTTTAATGATTTTACCAATGAAATAGGAATTATTAAAAAACTTAATTTCTAAAGTAGTTTTAATTGTAATAATAGTAGATTAGAAGTGAAGGGCTACTTGCATGGCAAATTGATCAATGTAGGAAAGCATGCCTAACTATTTAGACAGACATATTGACAGCAATTATAATAATTTTTATATAAACATCAGTGTTCAACACAATAAATATTTTTCTCAGTTAGCTTAGTAATATGTTCACTTAAATTAAGTACCTTTAAGCACTAGATTTCAATCAAAATTTAAAAATGTAAAACTGATTTGTTTTTTAAAAAAAATATTTATTACATAATAATAATTATCAAAAATATATAGATAAACAAATTAAATAAAAACAATGGGGAAAACTTAACTGCCCATAGAATTAAATTTAAAATTTTTTTTTAAAAAGAAAATATTTTATAGAGTAAGATAAATGTAAGTTAAATACATTAATAAACGAAAATCTTTCAAGCATAAATAAGATTCAATATTTAGTAAGGAATATAACTATGATTTAGGGAATACATGTAAGAAATTTATAATGCGTACATTATAAGAGGTTTTACAAGTCTTAAATATTTTTCAGAGCTCTTAGAAAGCCAAAAAATATTTTAAACAAATTCAAAATTCGCTAGTTGTAATAATATTGCGGTAAAATATAAAAATTTTTGAAAGTAAGAAAGAAAGATATACAAAAAAAATGTCTAGCAATAACACTGCACAAATAAAGAGAGTCAAAAATAATTACTAATGGTCGAAAATCACATATTGTAACAATATTTTGTAATAAAAAAATTGAGATTTGTAAAACTAAGGAAATACAAAGCGATAACCACTGAAAAAACAACGGGAAAACTACATTAATTAAGATAGGTTGTGTGAAGAACTTTGTTGTGCAATTCAAAATTTCAGATTTTTTTTTTTTTTTTTACGAAGAAAAAAATTCAAATTTTTTTTTTATCACATTCAGGTGCTGCAGCAGATCGAACTTTGAGAGCTGGCGGGCTACAGGTTGAGCAACCCTATTAAACAGAGCTTTACTACATATACATACTACATATACATAAATTCTCAAATGTAGCATTTTCTTTAAAAAAAATGACTGGGTACACATAGTTTAAAAACAGGTACACATACTTAAAAATCATATATTTTAATATTAGATCATATCTTTTGGTATTGCTTATGTGTCGTATTAAATTATAATAATTAAACGAGAATTTTAAGAAAAGAAAATTTTACATGAGAAAAAAAATCTGACAAAAATATAATAATACTTTGATCATGAAATAAAATAAAAATTTCCTTCAATTTTATTGAAAAAAAATTTTAAGTCCTGAAAAATTGAGAATTTTGAAATTTTGTATTGTAAATTTTTTATTAAAAGAAATTGCTTTTTCGGTCAATAAAATACATACATTGAGTATAGGAATAAATACTATTACTAATTATAACAAGTGCAATAATTAAAATAAAATAAATGTAAGTTTACAGCTTTCAAAGTAATAAATAACTGTCAGCTTTCTGAAGTTAAAGCAGAAATGTTGAAGATAAAGAGTAGAAAAAAAAATTTTAGAATTGAATGATTAAATATTATAGGTTATTAAAATAAAATGAACATGGAAAGCTCATTTAAAATTATTTTAATGCAGAGCAATTATTTCAATAAGTAATAATTATAGTAATACCTTATAAAACAAAGCTTGACAATTCTCCTTGAGATTTATGTCTTTGATGTTATTAACTTGCGCTTGCAAATGTCGAAATACAGGTCTATAATTATAAAGTTTTTTACGTTGATACGTAATTGCAAAATCTAATTTTTGCTGTAAGCTCCAGAAATGAGATGAAAGGGTCTGTCTTGGAAATAAATATCTAAAAAAAAATAAAAAATTATGAGTTTAACAACCTAAGAAACATTTGAGCACTACATATCAAAATCTTCCAAGTTACAGAACTTATAAAAGAAATATTTCTACAACCATTAAAAAAAAATTGTCAAAGAGCACTGCTATAAAATTTTGGCAAAATTATGAATTTGGGGAGATTTTGAGAAAAATATGTCTTTCTTTTTTTATGCAGAAAGAAGCATCTAAAAATTGCAATAACCAATGTGCATAAATTTGCAGCACGTTAAAAATGTAAAAAAGCAATTGTGGTAAACATTCATTTAAAAAAATAATAAAGTGCTTGCAAATATCGAAATACAGGTCTATAATTATAAAGATTTTTACATTGATAAGTAACTTAAAAATCAAATTTTTGCTGTAAGCTCTAGAAATGGTCTGTCTTGGAAATAAATATCTAAAAAAAAAATTTTTTTTAAATTATGAGTTTAACAACCTAAGAAATATTTGAGCACTACGTATCAAAATCTTCCAAGTTACAAAAAATGAACTTATAAAAGAAATATTTCTACAATCAAGTCAAAGAACACTACTATAAAATTTTGGCAAAGATATGAATTTGGGGAGATTTTAAGAAAAAAATGTCTTTCTTTTTTTATGCAGAAAGGAGCAACTAAAAACGTTGTAAAAAAATGTAATTATAAAACAATCTTACATCACAGGTAAAATCACATAGTTAGCAAATGGGAGTGCAGCAAGTAATAAAACGGGTGCAACTTTTTTCAGATCTTTAGGAACCTAAAAGAAAATAAACTTCATACATAAAACAAAACAGCCTAAAAATAATATCAATACAAAATTTTAAAAGAAAAATTATAGCAAACGGAAAAAATCCAACAAATACAAGAACAAATTAAACAACCACTCAAAATTCTGCAGAAAGAAAATAAAGCAATAGAGGTGGGTGATATGATGTAAAAGAATAACTAATGTATGTATCTATTCTAAAATAGTAAAACTCAGCCTTAGCCAATTTTTTTCAGTTACTTGCTTTTTCTAAATTGTAACATTTGTACTATAAATATCTGTTTAAAAGTAACATATCTCATCCATGGCCTATTTTATCAATTTCTTTTTCTTGATGTATGTTATAGCTAATATGATGCAAAACAATATAAATATTTAATACAAACATCTGTTCCAAAGTAATAAATGCCTTTAACTTTAGATCAGATATTTATAGCCTACATACTTTGAAACAGACATGTATAGAGAAGCTTTAAATTTGGCCTATTTTATCAGGTGCTTATCTTTTATTGATTATAATATTAAATAAAAAAATAATACAAAATATAAATATTTATTTCAAAGTAATACATCTTCGACCAATTTTATGAAATGCTTCTTCATATTGGGATGAAGCACGTTAAAGCTAATATGATTTAAAACAGCATCTAATATAAATATCTGTTCCAAAGAAATAGATGCCTATAACTTTAAAAGAGATATTTATAAAATACATACTTTGAAGCAAATATTTGAGAGATATCTCAGCCTTGCTTGTCCTTTCTGGGTGTATATATACACAGTAGGAATCCGTTATCCGGAAATCAGAAAACCGGAAAACCAAAAAACCGGAACAAAATTCGATACATTTTCTCGCCATTTTTTTAAAAAAATTTTTTTTCCTTGTAAGATTTTACGATTTTTCTTTCCTTTTTTAAAGAGGTTTACCTTATCATCTTTTTAGAAATAATCATTAGTGTATTACTTAATCGTTTTTTCTTATTTTTAAGATTATTTCCAATTTTTTTTTTTTTTTAGATGGGTTTAACAATAAAAAAAACGGCTTTTTGTAGCGATTCAGAAAACCGGAAAAATCAGTTATCCGGAATAGCGATGGTCCCGACCGTTCCGGATAATCCGTTCCCTACTGTATATATATATATTTATATATATATCAGACTTGGCATGTTTTTAATTAATTATTTCTTTTAATTGAGTATGTTTTCAGACAGCACAATCAAATTGCAGCAGGTGATTAAAATTTTGAAACAAGTATCATACCACTTTCCAATTAGATACAATTATGTAATAAATCTAATACAACTGGTATAAAAAAATATTATTCATTACAAAACAGTAGTGAATTATGAGTAGAACACAGGAATATTGTATCTTATGGTAGATCTGACATCGTCCAGGCACAATTTTAGATTTTATCTACACTTAAACTGTGCAATGGCAAAAAAACTATATTACTTAACTAAATAGGAAATAAACCCAGGTGAAATGACTGAGAAAAAATTTATAACATACACTTAGAATAAACAAGTTTAACTAAAATACTATAATATATTCATAGACTGCCACAAAATTTGCAATTAAAATTTAAATAGTTTTTTAAAATGTTGCTTTTTAATTTAAATTGTCTTAATAAACAATTTTACCTGAAAATAAACTTCAAGTTCTTTTCTGTGCAAGTCTCTCACTGATTTGCCTTCACTTAATGATGATGAAATTCTTATATATTCTTTTATATCACTGTACAAAGTTTTGGTCCCTAGAAGTAGATACAGATATATAACTCATCTAGATAATTATGTGTTTACTTGATCTTTACATTTCACAAGTTAAAAATTATAATAAAAGTACTATAGTAGAGTGGCAAGGAGATACAAATAAATTTTCTAAAAAAAAATTACAAATTTAGAATTTTTTAACGTGTTTAGGCAATTTTGCTTTTTGATAACTAAACAAATAACTTTGTTTAGTTAACATAAAACAAAATTGTCAAAACACAGTAAAGAATTCTAAATTTATCCAGGCAGAAGAAAGTATGTTTATAGTAAAGTTATCCTTACCAAAATAAAATGAAAAATTATTGGCTATTCTGAACAAGGTCTATTCTGATCTTTCTTGAACAAGCTTGATAATAAAAATTCTAATTGTGTCCTATATAGACTATTTTTCAAGATATGAATTGAATATTTAAATATTACTAAAAGATTACTTTTTTAATCTATGAAAAGGTTGTGGAAGTTAGAAATTATACATATATGTAAAAAACTAGTCTACAGTAAACAAAACTGAAAAGACTATTCTGAGTACAAAGTCAAAAGCTAGAACCATGTTTATCTGAAGCAATTGAAACCAGATCTACTTTGGGATAATAAAAATATTAAGATTATGTAGATAGTTTAGATTACATAGAGGTGATTCCATCATTTATTAATCTCATATTTGCAGACTTTAAAGGCATATAACTCAGGTAAAAATATTTGAGCAGGTCTAATAATTTTTGACACGCTTAAAGAAATTTAAAAATTTTAAAAATTAAAAACTGAATTACATAATTCTTAAGTTTGCAAATATAATAGCTATGTAAAATATAATAGCTGGTAAATGTAAAATATAATAGCTGGTAATATGTAAAATATAATAGCTGGTATGAATTATATATCATAGGAATAGTAAAAATACATTCAAGATTTAGCAAAGAAAAACTTGTAATAAAGCTATTAATCAGTCCCGAATTTTTGGCAGTCCCAGGTGGTCACTCAGCTTGACTACCCCTAAGCACAGGCCAAATTGAACAACACCAGCAATAATAAAAATAAACAGGCGAAGCAACAAAATTTACGATTTAGCAAACCAAAGCCTTCAACATTACTGACAAAACATTTGTTAACTAAGATAAAATGATCCATTCCAAGTAGTCAAGCACTACGCAGAGTATTTTTTTTATTTAGAAAGTTGACTGCATTAAGGCGAATAAAAAATTAAAAATAAGAAACAAAAATTATGTATGCAAAAAAAAAAAACTGTTTACTGACTAATACCCTTCAAGACATTCAAATAAACATAAACATTTTAAACGTGGAGGGAAAAAATGGGGCTTATCATCAACCAAAATAAAACTAAAATTTTTAAAATTAATCCTAAGCAATTAAATGACATATTCTTAGAAAATAACAAACTAGAGGAGGCAAACAGTTTTACGAATCTCGGAAGTGTAATTTACAACAAAGAAGGTACTGATGAAGATAAACGAAATAGAATAAACAAAGCCTGAAGCAGTTACGCTATTCTCAATAAATTCTGTAAAAACATAACAAATTCAACACAAATTAGAATTTTCAATACAATGTTAAATCTGCCCTATTCTATGGATCTGAGACATGACACTCCAATAAAAATAACATGAAAAAACTTCAAGTACTTATTAACAACAGTTTAAGAAGAATCTAACGCATCAAGTGGTTCCATAAAATTTTTAACACAGAAATCCTTAGAAAAGCAAAACAGAAATGGATTGAACAGCAAATTAAAATACATTAAAAAAAACTACCAGAAAAATTTAATATACCAGAAATAATACCAAATTGTAATTACAAATACTAGAAAAATTTAAAGTAAAAAAAGTTTTTGATTGGAACTCTCAGGGCAATAAGAAAGGAGGAAGACCTAAAAATACTTGGCGCAGGACAATTTTAAATGAATTGATAACAATAGTAAAGACATGGAGAGAAACGAAATATCTAGCCACAAATAGAAGGAGATGGAGAGCTATAATAGAAGCCCTATGCTTCGATTCAGGTTGAAGAGGAATATATATATATGTAAAAAGAAAAACTTCAGAATCAATCTAAAAGAAGAGCTTAAAAGAAGTATTCCAGTTAAAGAAATTCAAATAATCGAGGTTCCAAATATTCCAAGCCTATTTTCTAATAAACAGCGAAATTTTTTTAAAAATTTTCTTTTATTTCCAATGAGCTGCACAATCGGTCTTGCCGATGAGCAGACCTAGTGTGTTCTCCAGAGGTGGTATCCACTCTTTCAGGACCACCACAATGGGTGAGATACCGTAGGTCATGTTAATTTGGACGTCTAGTTTCTGCCACACTAGATGGCAGCACCGAGACTCTATTTGGATGCTAAAGTGCACTAGGAAGACAGAGAAATTAAACTCCTTTAATTATTCATTATAAATTAAAATAAATAATAGTGCCTGAAAGCTTTTTCATTTTAATAGTTCATGACCATATTCAAATCTTCACAACACATTATTATCATATTAAAAAGCATTAAGAGACAATTTAATAAGACAAGGAACAAATATTACCAACAGAAAAAACCTGATAAATTTTAAAGGCTTGAGGAAATTTTGTTTCAAGTATTTTCTCATATCCTTGAACAAAAGCAAAACACTTCTGTACCAAAAATTCTTTAACACCGGTAAGTGGCTTGACATAACGACTGCCAGGCGTGATTTTTTTGCAGTAGTATCTGAAAGTAAATAAAATTTAAAAAATAGTAAAAGCAATAAATATTGGTGTTCTAGAACTAGATATTGACAAAAATTGGAATATACAAGAATGCTCAAATGTTGCAAATTATTATGAATTATTTGAAAACTAAATTAGCAAAATTTTTCAGAATAAAAGAAATGAAGAACTAAGTACAATATTGCTTTACTCTAAATTTATTCCAATGTGATGTTTTTGTAATTTTAGACAAGCCAATAAATGATATTCCAGAACTATACTTGAATATTATGTAGGTGAATACTAATATTTGTATTATAAATTTTAACTTTTCTATGGGTCCACCTTTATAAGCTCCGTGAACAATGAGGATTGATTTTGCCACATGAATATTATTAGGGTAGGGAAATCATATTAGGGTAGCTAAAAAATGGAGGACAGGCTTCTTATTTTAGAAATTATCTTATGTTTGTTCAAATCACTTTCACTCTTATCCATTTATCTCATAGTTGAGTGGAAAAGATTTCTGTATGAATACATATAGCAAAAAAAAAATTTAGAATTTTGGTAATCAGCAGACAATGGCACTTGAGATTAAAAAAAATAAATATCATACAACGGGATTAACTTGAAAGGCATGAAAATTTCAGTTCTAAAGGTAGTAGCCAGATTAAACTATTTTTACTAAGACTACTTTCACAAAAATGCGAACACTTTCTTAAACTTTTAACAGAACTTTTGGATGGCCAAAACCATGGGGGAAAAAATATAGAAACTGAAAATTATAAAATGACACAAAATATTATAATCTAGAGCAAATTTGGGAAGCTTGTTGAATACTCTTCACTCCTTAACTTCTTCAGCATCCAAGTCCATATCCAGCAAACACTTCACAGATATGAACTCAGAATTCTACTTACTTTAATAACACAAATGTCACTAGTTCATTTAAAAGATTTAGGTTTAATAACATGAAAGGTTTCTTTATATCTTCTTTTCAAAGTTTAAAGATCTTTCTTTGGTAGGAAAATTCAAGGTGTCAAAAACATGCAGAGGTGTTAACTCACTTGATGACATAAATAGTGCACATTTTATTAATCTTCCTCCAAAAGTTTGAAACTATTAATCACCATTTTATATATTCCTAAAGCAAACTCTGAAGACAGTATGGTAATTTGAAACACATGATGAATTTTTTTTACAACACAAAACATACTCACCAGCTCTAAATATTTTGTGGCCAATGCAAGCAGGTAAGTTGAAATTTTACCCTCTGCTACAACACGTAACCACTCCTGGGAAAACCACTAAACATTTTTCTTTTCTTTTTTTTAACATTTTTGCAAGTTAAAAAATTCTTTGGTGCCTAGGTGAAGATAATTGACACAAAAAGGTATTGATGCCAAAACATTCTCCTTAGGTGATTTGAGAAAGTGATGTGATTGCTATAACGATCTGACTTCCAAGTAAAATTGTGATAGTACCACTGTTTTCACTACAGAGTGAGAACCTCGCATATTTTTTTCTTTTCTCGCATTAAAAAATTATTACAGCGAGAAATTTGCGCATTCTATAAATCAATTTCAAAATTCGAGAATTTCTCGCATTACGCCATTTAGAATAAAATCCGTTTCACTTTTCTTCCTGGATCTTTCATTATTTTCAACATCCACCCCGTTATCTAGCTTCCCTATTTACCAGTATTGTTCAGAACTTTTTCGAACAACAGAACACTACCCCTCCGAACCACGGTACCCCTTCCAGAACACATTTCTCTGCTACCACGTGTTTACCATAGGTAAGGTTTCTTCATGTAAGACGTTAAAAATTTTTATGCACTAATGTAAGATGGACAAATACCTGGTAAAGGCAAAATCTATGATGATTCAGCAAATATCATATAATGATGCAGCAAAAATATTCAATGCTTTTAAAAAGTAGAGGACGTTAAAAATTTATTATAATTATAGAAAAGATTTTTTTTCAAATTTATTTGTGTTCCTTCAATTTTTAGAAATCTCACTTAACTTTTTGAAATCTCACCATGTTTTTGAGAAAGGGTGAGAAATTCTCACCCATTTTTTTTTCTATGATGAAAACACTGTAGTACAGTGAGAGAGATTTCCATATCGTGATCAGCTGTAGAATAATCGCCAAGTCTTGGAAACTTCCGAGCAGTGGCCCGCGAAAAACTAAGAAAAAACATCACAGAAAGAGATTAACTCGAAAAGTTTAACTTGCAGTCAACCACCGGCAAACATCTACTCTTTTTTTTTTATTTACAAATTTAAAATCTATTTGGCACCTTGGCGATTGTAATTTGAGCAACACATCACGATAAGGAAATATCCCTGTACAGATAAATGGATAAGAGTACAAAAGGGGTGAATCCCAGAAGATTGCAAATAGCTCATTAGAGCAGCTCTAGTACAACATCAACAACCAAAATCTCATTTAAAAGTGGAAACTTAACATTTATGTCATTATTTACTTTAGGCATAATTAAATTTCTAAGATTTTGATCTTTTAATAAATAACTATTCTATGTATACTTTTATAATATTATACTTTATTTAATAAAAAACACATTAAATGCCATTTAATTTATTTAAAATATATTTCAACAAGAACTTAAAAAGAATAACATAATTTTGTAACATTAAATCATTAATTTTGAAAAGAAGAAAAAAATAATCCTTGAAAAAGCAAAGGTAATTTTCCAAAAAGAAAATAATACCGTGATGTTATTATATGTCGCATCCTGAAATTAGTGCAAAGTAAAGGTGTCAGCTTCTTTAAAATATCGGTAGAATAGCCTGGTTAGTACATTATTTAACCAAATAATGTTAGTCTCTTTCTCTGTAATTAGTCCTCTGCTGACTTCTCTGATCTCGATTTGTTTCTGGCAATAAATCTATCAATTAAATATAAATTGATTGATTGCTAAAAATCTAAAACATTTACTTGTACTGCCAAAGAAGACTGGCATTTGTCATTAAATTTTACTGAGTAGTAGGTTCAAGTCAAAAATCAGTCTCCTTATTGGTATTTTTCTAACATAATTAGAAATCAAATAAAATGAAACATAAATATAGATACATTTCGGCCGCATTTAAATTCTAATTACGCCAAAATTAAGGCAATTGCATTACTGCCTCAAAGTTAAAATTAAATTTTGGTTGGGTAAACATGTTCAGATGAAATTCGAGTTCAAAATTCACAATCATTTGAGCTAAACATTCAAAATAAATTATTCACCTATTTCATTTAGTCTCCAGAGAATTATATTAGAAATTCTGCATTTTTAATGCAATGTTAATTTAATGTTTTTTTCTCCAGTATATGGCAGCAATAGGTATATAAACAAGATCACCGTGTTCAATTGATTTTGTGCGGAACTTAGCCCTGCCCAGTATTTAATTATTTTCTTACTTAGAGAATTTTTACAATTTATTAGTTTCTTTATACACAAATGAATCTCATATAAGTGTTCAGTTCAAATTTAACTTTAATTCATTATACTTAGAATCTTATTCTTTATTACCGTGTAAGCAAAGTGCCTGGAGCAAATTTGACATTTTCACAGAACTTGTCATTGATTTGTCTTAAACACAAAGAAAAATGTCTCAAATGCCTGGTAACGAAATTAGAATCAAAACTGTTTACAATGGTGGCGTAATGATAACTTATATAGAATATACAGTCACTCTTGAGGACTTCTGTAAAGAAATGAGAGAAATATGCAAGTTTAGTAACGATCAAGTATTTACCATTAAATGGATTGATGAAGAAGGAGATCCGTGTACAATATCTTCGCAGGCCGAACTAGATGAAGCTCTTCGTCTGTATGATGTAAATAAAGATTCAGAATTAACTGTACATGTATTCCCTAGTGTACCTCCCTTACCAGGAATGCCCTGCATCGGCGAAGATAAAAGTATTTATCGTCGTGGTGCCCACCGTTGGAGAAAACTTTATAAAGTCAATGGCCATTTATTTCAGGCAAAACGTTTCAACCGCAGGGCTTATTGTGCCTTTTGTGTCGATCGTATTTGGGGTTTAGGACGACAAGGTTTCAAATGTGTCAATTGTAAGCTCTTGGTCCATAAAAAATGCCACAAACTAATCAAGCTGCAGTGCCTCGTGGGATTAGAATCTGGTGGTAATGCTGCCAATCGTATGAGTAAATCCGATAAAATATCGTCAAACGGTGAATTAAATGAAAGTGGAAGTCAACTCTCGAGATCTGGAACACCAGCAGCTAAGAAAAGGCAAAACCAGATCATGGAACTAAGAGAAAGTCTGTCTCAAAATGAGCAAGTGTCTGTTCAAGATATTGATCAGGCTTCCAACGACATGGCTTTGTCAGGCTCCAGGCAGTTTACCCTTCACGATTTCGATTTGCTGAGAGTGATTGGAAGAGGCTCTTATGCTAAAGTTTTAATGGTTGAGCTTAAAACCACAAAGCAAATTTATGCCATGAAAATTATCAAGAAAGAGCTGGTTGCTATGGATGACGACATAGATTGGGTGCAAACGGAAAAACATGTTTTTGAAACGGCTTCTAACTACCCTTTTCTTGTTGGGTTACATTCCTGTTTTCAATCCCCAAGTAGGCTTTTCTTCATCATTGAATTTGTGCGGGGAGGAGATTTGATGTTTCATATGCAACGTCAGCGCAGATTGCCAGAGGAACATGCAAGATTTTACTCGGCAGAAATATCCTTGGCATTGAATTTTCTTCATGAAAGAGGTATAATTTACAGGGATTTAAAGTTGGATAATGTTCTTTTAGATCATGAAGGGCATATCAAGTTGACTGATTATGGAATGTGTAAGGAAGGTATTAGACCAGGAGATACAACTAGCACATTTTGCGGTACACCTAATTACATTGCTCCTGAAATTCTGCGGGGAGAAGATTACTCGTATGGAGTCGATTATTGGGCTTTGGGTGTTTTGCTCTATGAAATGCTTGCTGGGCGTTCACCATTTGATATTGTTGGCGCTGCAGAGAATCCTGATCAAAATACAGAGGATTTTCTTTTTCAAGTTATATTGGAGAAAACCATACGTATTCCAAGATCTATCTCTGTTAAAGCCCAATCTGTTTTAAAAGGATTTTTGAATAAAAATCCTGTTGAGCGTTTAGGATGTCACCCCCAATCTGGTTTTTCAGACATCACCTCACATGCCTTTTTCAAGAGCGTCGATTGGCAGCTGTTAGAAGCAAAGCAAGTGCCTCCTCCTTACAAACCTAAATTGGAAACCGATCGAGATCTGGAACATTTTGATCCTCAATTCACTAGCGAGCCTGTGCTTCTCACCCCCGATGATTCAAGTGAAATTGAGAAAATTGATCAGAGTGAATTTGAAGGTTTTGAATATGTCAACCCATTGCTAATGTCTCTGGAAGATTGTGTTTAGATTATTAAAATTCTGATAAATTGACTTAAATAATAAGCAAGGTGAAACTGATATTTTTAGATATTTATGTTTTGTGTTTGTTGATTTACACTTGTATATTTTGGCATCAAATTGAGCTTTAAATAAAAATCAAATGCTATGTACCCTATAAATAGCATAAAACATAAAGTAATAATGGGAGCTATGTTTACATCTACATTAAATGTTTTGGTGCAAAGTAGTACCAGTATTAACCTATATTCACATATTTTAATCAAGTAGTGGTTTCTTGAAGGAAAAAACAAGTTCAATGTGGAAACTATAATCATTCACTTTTTTTTTGTAGTTATGATAAAATAATCTGTGATTCAAATATCCATGTTTGATACATGTAGTGAATAAAGTTGTATTTGTAATTTTCACTTAAGTTTTATATTATCTATGCCTATTTTGCATATTAAAATATGTACATGCTGCTATTGTTTATATGGATCTTTAAAACTATTGTTATATGTATATTTTAGATTGAATTACAATTTATATTGCTGTTGACTACATTCCAATTTTTATGCTTGTGCTTTAGTTTATAAGTTTTACTTTTCAACCTCATGATAAAGTTAAACTCACAGTATTCAACCTTTTTTAGTGTAGGCAGAATTTGTATTTGTAGCATAGTTTGAAATTAAATTTAAAAATAGTCGATTGTTAAATTCTAAGAAAGTGAATTATAAAAGTATAAACTAATGAAGTAGCTTGTTTTACAATATTTCAAGTATAAATATAAATTTCAGTATTAGATGCTCTAATAACATTTAAGAATTGTTTTCTTATGATCTACTTATTAAAACTAAAATATGTCACCTTCTTACCTTAAAAAATATAACAAAGTTTGCATTAAAATCTTAACAAAGCAGAAATTTTACAAATATAGCTCATTGAAACTACCTACATTTCTTTCTGGTGTGTGAATTAACCTCTTTCTAACGTCACATACGGAGAAAAATAATACCTAACTTCCTTTAAATATCTTATATTTTCTGTGATTAATAAATCTTACCTACCTAATGCAATTCTTTAGTAATAATCTGTTTGCCATTGACTTCTATAGAGGTTTTAAAAAAACTTTCAAATGTGTGAAATTAAGTCTGCAATAATTACTTACTCATGCCAGAGATAACTGCAACCTTAATACTTTATTTTAAAATAACTCTTTCCGTTATAATTATATATAGAAACAGCTTCTTAGTCAAATTTTTATTCAGATTTAAAAGCACTAATTTAAATTAACATTTATTACAGCAGTTAAATTTTGATTAGTTTTGTTCAATAATTTTTTTGTAAATAAGAGGAGTCAATATGATACTTGACATTTATTTGAGATGCTTTTATACTATGTACTCAATACTCCTGCTCTGTATGTTTCCTATACAGTATTGTAGTACTTGAAAAATGTTTTGTGACTTATGGATAATTTAAAATACTTTGCCAGGTCAAGCTGATGAGTTGAGTACTGTGAGTTTAATTTGGACATACATAACCAACAAATATACGTAACTTTAAACTCACTAAGACATCTTATTTTTAAGTATGACTATTAAAATGGGAGTTTTACTAATAAACTATAATAAATAAATTTGGACTTGTTTTATGTTTACAATCAATTTCAAGAAATGTTATTTTAAGATTGCCTCAATATAATTGTCATCTTTTTCTTCTTTTTTTAATTTTCTGCCTTTTTATTGCTAAAGCACTTAATTGTCAAAGTATTGCTTGTATATATATATATCCCAAATTCTTATTTTTATAAGAATACATTTGTGTTTTGAACCCCTGAAAATAAGAATTACTAGTAATTTAATGTTTATATTTTTGATGTTAGTGCATAGATAATTCCAGTGATATTTACATATTTATACACAAAAAATGTAAAATGAAGTAATTTCTTTGGGTAATTTATTAAAGGTCTTGTTTCTTAAATTGTTTAATGTTATATTCAGGACGTGAAAAATTATATTGATAATTTTTTACATCATGATTTGATTACATTATTTTTACAATGATTTTCTCAGAGAAGAAACTGTTCCTTAACATTTAAAATATTTACCAATAATTCATTGAAAATAGTGAATACTATTTGAAGTGCCTTAAAATTTTGCATTCTTAAGTGATATAAGTTAAATACTTCTATGAATTTGCATGTAATTTTAAATTTGTATTAAGTGGGTTTTTGTGTGAATTTATATTACTTAAAAAAAAATTTCTCTGAACTAAAATGATTCATTTTAAGTCTAAATCATATTAGTATAAAAAAGATACATTATTTATTTGATGAAGATACATTCGATTTTTACTTGTTCAATGTTACTATGTATGGAAAACTGAGAAGTATTATATAACATGGTTTACATTCTAACTCATTACCTATTATTTTATTTCTTTGTTTTTAATTTTGCATTTAATTTTCTTCTATATGATTGCAATAAAACTTTTTATGATTAATTTGAGTAAAATTTATTTAAGATGCAATAAAAAATAATAAAACTTGGTAAATGATTGTAAATATGTGAAAGTTACTGAAGTTATTAATTTTGATTTAATTAATTTAGGAAACATTTTAAAATTTATATAATATGAAATTAATAATTGAGGCGCTGTATTAGTCTCTCTTACGAAAGAAAATATGTAAATGGCATGAGATTATTAATATATCAATGAAAAAGGCTTAAAAAGTATCTTTATATCAATAATGTTTTTGTTTTTTTTGTAGATATACTGCCAAAAAAGTAAATTTATTTTTAGTATTCTAACAACAAATTCAAAATCTAAAAAATGGACACTGTGTATCATCACTGTACATTTTTATCACTTATATTTATTTTGCTTAAAAAAAGTTTGCATTTCTTCATTAATCTGCTACTAATCAGTATATGTGATGTTTTACATAAAAAATTATTTCATTGCATAAGAAAACTTTTTCTTTCACTACTCAAGACCTTTTTAAAAATATGACCTATTATTTTCACTAAATTTTTAACATAAATCAATGATTTTAAAAAATCTGTTAAAATGTACTTTTTAATACTATTATCATTCACTGTCAATAAATTTAAAACCAATATTTCATGTTATTTTAAATATTGTAACTTCAAATATTTAATTATTCTAAATATTTAAAAAAAATTTATTTAAAATATTAGAAAATTAAATTAATTTTAGATGTCAAAAAAAAGGTAATAATCGATAAAGTTTAGGATAAGAAAATGTTGAAATAAATCTTTGTAATTCCTGAAAATATTTCATTATTATGCTGCTTACAGTTAGATATAGCAATAGATGGTTTATGAGCAATAAGTCTTTAAAAAAAAGGATTAATTTTTATTTAATACTATTTGACTTTTTATCGTTATTCAGTGTTAATGTTTTTGATAAAGAATGAAAAGATAAAAAAGTTTTTATCAGCTAATCTCACATATTTCCATTGTAATCACTTTCAATAAACTGATAAAATATCACAAATAGATTAAACATAATCTTTATTTTGGAAAACAAAACTAAAAGAATTTACCAGACTTGTTAGATTAATGAAAACATTTAGATAAACTTGTTGATATATACTTTTTTCCTTACTTTTTGGATTAAGGAATGCAATTCATTTAATAGTTTGTGTCAAAACTGATTTCTTTTTGATGCAACAGAAATATTGAAAAAGAAACAATACTCCTAATAGCTTTTTCCTATAATAATGTTATTGTAATTTATATTAATATTTGTTATTTTTTAAGTAGTTAGGTTTATTTGATATTATTAGTCAAACTTTTTGAACAGAAAAGATAATTTTTCTGCATTTCTTTATAAATAGAAGCATATTAAATGTCAAAAGATTTGAAGGATTCTATCAATTGTTGAATTTAATGACATTTTTTCAACAAATATGTTTTAAAAACCTTTTTAGAAAAGAAATGGATCAAATTTGAATTATGAAAGATATATTAGTTGTACAGTGTTTATTTCGATTTCGCCAACTGATATTTAAAAATTAAGTAGACACTTGAAAAAGAAAAAAATTTTTAAAAAAAACTATTCCACAAAAAAATCATTAAAAAGCAGAACCAGAAATAAAGTAAAATCATAACACAACTATGACAATGTAAGATAAAAAATATTTATTTACAAACAGTGAGGCACAAAAATCAGTAATTCTTGTAATGTTTCAACCTAGAAAACAGAGAATTATTTAGTAAAAAATCAACAAAATGTAAAAGTCATAAGTAGGAAATGGATTTTAAGGAGCAAAATATAATTAATTAGTTCAAAAAACTAAAAGGTTCAAAATTGGTTATAGTCATTATAAATTACATACAATTTATTACTAAGATAACTAAATTTTAATAAAAATTTACATAAAACAAATATGAAATAAGATTATGATGGGATAAACATAGCTGCTAACATGGATAGGAAAAAATACAGTAGATTTTACGAAATATAAATTTCCTGATAAGTATTGCAAAATATACTAAATATTTTACCTACAGGGATTTTTATTTTAATCAAAATACAAAAATTTTATTACACTATAAATGGTCTGCAATATTTTCCATTTATGATTGACAATAAATGTACTTAAATTCTTTTTATTATGTTAACTCATAATTTTGAATATTAATAAACAAGTAATTTATTATTGGTAGTTGAAAGATTTTTTTAAATTAGTTGAAAAAGGGAATTCTGAATAAAAATAAATTGAAAATAATAATATAAATAATAATAAAAATAAACTGAAAATAATTCAAATAAATAAATAAGTTTTAAACTGATAACTATAAATGAGGTTTGTTTCATTATGTATTAGTAATATTTGTTTAAATATTCAGGTGAGCAATAAATTGTGTAAAAATTCTATTTCAAAAGGGATTTTTTAAGGAAACTTATTCAGTTTTAGGGAATTTTCTAAAATATGCAAAAACCGGGAGAATTTTTATTAAATCAGTAGACCAGGAGAAACTGGCAAAATCCAGTAGTCTACTGGAAAATCCAGTAGAGTTGGCTGCTTTGGGTAAATCATTACTTGACTACAATTTTACAAAAGTAGATCTGAAAGTAAACATTAATGGTCTAGTTTTGCAATACTTTCAAATACTTATTTTCCTTTAATAGATGTTTAATTCGCATATACCAATTATTAACTTTCGACAGATTTTTTTTTTTCTATACAAAAATTTATAACAAAATTCACAGTATGGGAAAAATAACAGTAATACTTTGCACTAGGCCCTTAAATTTTTCTCTTAATTCTTAAAAAATTAATAACTTGTGTAAGTTTCTTCCTGGTGAGTTATAACATTTTTACATTTCTTTTACAACATTTTTGAAACATAGTATCTTAGAGACACTCCTTAATAAGTTATTTCTTGATAAAAAGATGAAAAATGCATAATTGCAACACAAATGGAAAAAATTATGTAGATTTTTTGATACACTATAAATAACAAGCAAATTAACAGGGCTACAAATGAAATATTCTCCCAAAAATATTTCATATGGATCCTTATCAATCAAAGGAATTACCAATTTAAGCTGACCGCGATACGTTTCCAGTTATGATTAGGTTAAATTAGAAATTAATTTCACTTTATGTTTTAAATTTATAATCAAATTTAGGTAGTTGAAATAAATTCTTGAATAATATAAATTTTTTAAAAAATATTTTAATAGATTTAAAAATGAAATAAATCCATAATTAGAGCTACTAAATATCAAATGATTTCTTTCTTAATACATTATCTAATCAAAATAGATTATCTCAGATTTAAAACTGGAAGAGGAGTAGCATTTTAAAATTTTGGCAAAAAGCATTTTTTTTTTTTTTTAATTTTTATCTTCCATTTGTTTAAATATTTTTTCCTGTCCTTTTTTAAATGTATTTTCCCTCCTTATAAAAATATTCTAGAGAATAAATTGTTCAGAACCCTTAATAAAACATTTTCCGCAAACTTAAGTTATTGCTTTGTTATTGAAGCACACCTTCCTTGTGAATTTTCGTTTTCAGATTTCAAAAGGGAGAAAGATTATTCCTTATTTTTCATCAATGTGTATGGAAAAAAAAATCTTTTGCTTTTAGTCTTGCTCTTTGTTTTATTAGGCAATTACTTTACTTTAAAAAGATAAATAAATGACATTGACTTGCTAGCAATATACTGCTTTGCTGGAGTGTTTCTGCTATTTTGGAGTCAAGGATATAAGAAACCAAAAATTACTAATCCACATTTCGAATGGTAGTAGTGATAAAAGCCTGTAGACCTAGAAGTGTGAAAGAGCCTCAAAATATCCAATAAACTCTAGAATATTAAAAGAACTTTTAACTTCTCTACATATATCCTATTCTTACTGGAGGTATTCAAATTCTAAAAACACACATTCATTTTGTCAAAAAGCTTCCTGGAATTTAACACCACATCACTGATTATAACAACTAAATATACAATGAATTTATAACAGCTGATATACAGGCAAGATGCATTATTATATTTATGAAAAGAGAAAATCTGCAACAAAATAATACTATAAAACAAATTAAAATGAATAATCCTAGAAAAAATAAATATACTGATATTTAATGACAGTACATTTATTTCAATAATATTTTAAGGAACAGTTTTAAGAAAAATATTTTTTGTAATTCTGGTTTCCATATAAAATGTGTATAGAACACTGTATCAAATTATTTTATATCACAGCTTAAAAGAAATATTAAAATAAAATATGAAGTACAATACATACCTGTATAGCAATGCATTCCCTGTATTATTTCCCATTGCCAAAAAACCACTGTTGGGTGAAATATCTAAGCTGTTTACATTTTTAATTCCTTTATAGTCTTCTCTGGCAGGGAAATTAGAAAAAACAGAAAGGCTGGGGACATGAACCTGTTAAAGAGAAAATTAAGCAAAGATATAAATTATTTAGCATAAAAACTAGTATATAAAAGGTATACTTCGATATGTGTACATTAAATAACTAAAACTTTAAATAATAGTTACATATTGTATTGATAGTTCTGTTCATATCAGTTAACTAAGAACTTGAATGAATACTCATTTTTTAGTACGGGGTAAATAATCAATAAATCGGTGTTACTTAACACCATGAAATCATGTGAAAATTGAAAGGCATATGCAGATATCATTAATAAAGCTTTAAAAATTATTCCATATATTTTATTTATTACTATTTGTTGGGCTTGATGGTAACTTTGCATCATTAGATTAAAAGAAACAACTTTTTAGAAGTTCAACTCATCAAAATAAAGATTAACTATGTTGAATATTATTTGGCAAGATGCTATTGCTCCAGATCAACTCTGTTGTGCAATAGAAAAATCAACGTAAGTTACAAAAATTTCAAAATAGTGATACTTATACATATTGCAAAAAATGTATTCAAACATCAATATTTTTATCAGTTTTCTGAATTTTTATTTTAGCATTGATACTATTAGTAAGGGAAACAAAATAGTTGTCAAATTGCTTTACTCGACATTTATCAGAAAGCACGTTTTTTTCAATATGATTTATAGAAAATATAGGGGGACTTTTACTCCAGATAAAGCTTTTTTCAGTAAAATAACTTATTAAAATTCTACAACTTCAAAATCACCAGCATTGCTTACATATGCACTCTCCTTTTCCTATAAAAATATCCAGCAATCTTGTTATTATAAATATAACCAGTGAAAACTCATATCCAGACAAAACTTGGCAAACAGCCAATCAAAGAAGAATATTTTCCTTTCACCAAATGAAAACAAATCAAAATGGTGATTCTTGCAAAGACTTAATTTTTGAAGTGCAATAATAAATTGCAATACATACACCAAAATAACTAGATAATCATCGAAGTTAAAATGATATACACCAGGGTTCGAAAAACCGCCCGTCCACCCGCCCTCGGCGGTCATAAATTCCCCGCGGACAATGAATCTTTTGAATCCGACGTCCGTGCGGACGGCCATTTTCCCGTTAATGTTCGTGATACATTTTCAATTTTTATTATCTTACAAGAGTCTAGCGCCTCACTTCTAAAATGACCCTCTAATCTAGCAATACAGCAGCATACTGTGCATGGTGGAATTGATGTTTTCTCTGTCTGGGAGTACTGCAACGGTTGAAAGAGGCTTTTCAGCAATGAACTTACAAAAAAACACAATACGTATTGGTCTTAAACAAGAAGCGTTAAACGCAATTATGAACATCTACCTAAATGGTAAACCCCTTCAGATTTCTGTGCCAAAACCTCTATAAATCATTGGCTTGATTGTGGAACTGGCAAACGTCATATTTGATTCATTTAAAAAACGCAGTACCCTCGTATATATTGATCTTTGTCATTTAAATTATTTCATAAAAAAAATACTAGGTTACTACTAGTAACCAAGTATTTCATTTATTACTGTATATTGTAATTCTAGTATTTGTAATCCTAGTAACTACTAATTCATTGTGCAATTTATATAAATGTTTGTAATAAATAAGTGAAAATTATATTTTTATTTATTTAGAAGCTACGGATTAGTTTCAAAGGAGGACGGGTACATTGCTGGAGAAGCTGTCCTCGGGGACGGGTAAAATTTCTGAGTTTTTTCGAGCCCTGATATACACATACATTGTTATCCACATATTGTATACAATTATGAAATTTTATAAACTACTATACATATACATAACTGCCAACTGTTCCTATTAAATCGTATTTGTTCCGAACTTTTAGCTTTGTTCCAAAAATATGTTTTAAATCAAAATGTTCCGAGTTTTTGATATTCTAGCACCTTTTCACTTCTTATGCCAATTTTCTTTCAACTCAGGAAAGGTCTAAAACCTAGAAGGAGGGCATGTGATTTTTCCGCAAATTTTGCAGATTTCCGCGTATCTCAAGACCATTGGTTAGCAGTGAATCAAAAATTCATTATCCGACAAAATTTTGAAACTTTAGCTAAATCATGCCAATGATACATTTATAATTCATACGCCAATTTGATTCCTTTGATTTGGTTTATTTTTGCCATTTTAAATATTAGGAACTCCGTCAGAATCTGCTAATATCGCAATTCTTATTCACACGATTTTAATATCAATCTTCAATTTTGGTATTTAGCTCATTTAAAATATATGCGATTTAAAAATTCAATATCGCAATTTGTACTTTCTTATTTTAAAAATCCAATATAGCGAAACCTATTCACGCGATTTTAAAATCCGATATTGCTATTCTTGTAAGAAGTAAGTTTTTTTTAAATTAGTTGCGATAAAGTTGTGATGTTCTTCATTAATAAGTAATTTAATTATAACTGTTAACTCAAAAATTATGTTATATGAAACGTGGATGGTTTATAAATTGATATTTTGCGACTGATATTATGATTTTTGATATTTTGTTTTACTCTTTGTGTCATTATTTCCCCTGATTGGCTTATCATGCTTAGTGTTCCTATATTTGCTTTTAATATGTTGGCAGCTATGCATTTATATTAAAATTCATAAACTAAATTTCATAATTCAATTGTTAAAAGCACATAAACATACACAGAAAATTAAAATATTACTAGAAAACAGAAAAAAAATTAAAGGGAGATAAAATTAATAGAGATAAAAAATTATAATCAATATTTTTCTATATTTTATAATGAATATATTCTATATGTTTAGAAACATATTAATAGGAAAATTTACCAATCTGGTCGCTCCAATTTTGTAAGAAGAACCCATAGCTAAGACTTCAGTTGTAACATTGAATTTAAGAGCTGTGATTTCTGTAGTTAAATTTTTTATAACTTTTACTGGACTTGGAGAAGATGTATTTAATGTTGCACAATCATAAATATTCACAATTCCAGAATCTGACCTGCAATAATTTGAGTTTTTATTTTAGATGAATAGTTTAAAAGTAGAAATAAATGAATAATCATAAGCACAAAATGTTAAGTATTAATTATGAATTATTTTAAAGGTCAGTTATTTTATTACATTAGGTTGATTAACTACAATTAACGATAAATTATGATGATGATTTTATATATACACTTAAAATCATTTTATATGCTATAATATACACTTTTCATAAAATTATTTCATACTTAAAAAAGAATATTCTGTATAAATTCATATATACATATATAAAAAATAGAAAGAAATTAAAAGTTAACTAAAATATATCTACATCTTTGTTTTCCTTAATTTTAAATATAAATTTTGCAGAATTATATATGTTAATAAAATTCTTTAAAATGAAGAATTGAAATATTTATAAAAACTCTAAAACATTTATTATTTTTTAAAGTGAAATAAGTTCATTTTGAGCTAAAGTTATTTTTTCTTTTACAGTTTTAATATTATACATATATTTCGCTTTAGGCAGTATATTTTACAAGTGTGATGAAAAGAAAGAAATGAGAAAACAAATCAATGAGCATAGAAATTAAAAAATAATGCAATGTAATAAAAAAAATTAAACTAGAATTTAAATACACATTGGAAGGAATATTGAAAGGTTCTAAACAATTCAAATTTCACACAAATGCATTGACGTATTTAGAAGGAAAAAAATTATTAAAGCAAATACATTTTATATGCATATGCAACAAAACTTTAATGAATGTTATATAGATAAAAATCCATACCCTGTAGCTAAGAACTGATTGTTAGGGGAAATATTAATAGCTGTTCCAGTAATGCAACCTTCATCTGTAAATTTGAGAATACATTTTCTTGTATTTAAATCCCAAATGTAAACTTCACCACAATCTGAAATTAAACATAGTAAAATAATGATAAATTAATTGAACTCTTACTTACATTATGTATAAACTAGAATGAATAAGGTATTTCAATTTTATTGCCAGAAGAATAGTAAGTTATGTTCAGTATTTTGATATTATTTATATTTTGTGCATTCAATCTACATGCTAAATCGAACAATTTCTGTTGATCTGCCAGTATAACTTTAGCATGATTCATATTAACACACAACACTTTTTTAAATTCATTTGAATAAGAGGCTGATTAAGTGCAACCAAAAAATCGTTAATTGTAATTTAAATATAATTGTTTTGACACCAACAGTGCATTTTAAGACAGTGGGTAAATATTGTTAAGTATTATAAGAGGAAGTTTTTTAAGAGTTAAAACAAGCAGTATTTGCATTCTTCTGGATTTTATTTTTACATAACCTGTTTCCTGGATGATGATTTTTAGTAAAAATGGCTGCTCCTAAGCAGAATAATGCTATATGCTTAGAACAGAAATTAAAAATTTTGAAAGAAGTGGATAGAAAAATTACTTCAAAACAACAAATTCCTTAAAATATTCAAAATCCTAGGAAGCACTTTGCTTACAACGATTAAAAATCATGATGAACTTTTGAAGACAGGAGAACAAAATGTTCAATTTTTCACAATATAATTTTTGTTAAAAAAAATTTCGAAACCTAGAACAAGCCCTGATTGACCATCTAAAAATTATGCATGGCATGAAAAGTTGTCATCTGAAAAAAAAATATTTATAACCGTTGAAGAATTATATTNCGATAGAAAAATCTCCGGAATTTCCGGAGATGCTCCGGAAATTCCGGGGTTGTTACCGGGTATGAATTTGGGAACCATTAGTTAAATTGCCCGCATAGCGGATATAGTGAACTTCCGGTTATAGTGAACCAAAATTTCGGTCCCTTGAAGGTTCACTATAGCGGGGTTTGACTATATTTCTAAAAATAAGTCTAGCATTTAGAATTATAAGTAAATATTTGCTCTATTTTTTGTCTTCACTATATAGTAACCTCACATTATAATGACTGTTTTTGTCTGACCAAAGGAGTCTTTATATCGAGTATCGATAATCTTTATAAGGAGCATCGTATATATATATATATACTATTTTTCTTACATGAAAAAGATTCATACTATATTACTGTTTTTGTACAGTGCATTACTTTTTTTGTGAACCCAATGAATTGAAACATTAAAAAATGTATACATTCCGGAATGACAGTAACACTTACCTCCATGAGAATACAGCTTTGATCCATCGTTGCTGAATGTAATTGCTACAACTTCTCCATTCATTTTTAAACTTCCAATCCACTCTTTTGTCTGTAATGAGTAAAATTAAACAGAAATTAGGCTTTTTAAAAGATATTAAGTAACGCAACATCATTTTTAAAAATAATAATTTAAATTTTTTACATAACTTAGTTGAACACATTTACTCAGTTGAATACATTTATGACAAAAAGTGAAGGAAAGCAATATTTGCTTGTTACTAGCAAGAAACTGGTTCATGAAAAAATCATAAAAGTTCATACATACTTTCATAATTATAAATATAGTATTCATTTATTTATTTTTTGAATGGTATGAAAGAATGTAGTTAATTTTTTTAAACTTTCTTAATTTCTGTTTGATGTGTTATTGTTCTAGGAATGAGACAAATAGACAAGACAATGAAAAATAAATAACAATAGTAATAAAGTACTAACAATAATAAAGTACTAAAGTAATAAAGTACTAATAAAGACAATAATAACAAAGTACTAACATAAAAATTATGAATTAGTCAGAAATGGTTCATTCATATGGGCATAAGGTGACTTGACCTCTTCCCGAAAAAAAAGCTAGCTTTCCCAGTATTAGGTAAATAAACTTAAAATGCGTGGAATAAGTTTTTTTAGGGGGAGGGGTCATTGAAACATGTTATTCAAAAAAAAGTTTTTGAAACCCTAAAAATTTCCGAAAGAAAAACTGAGAAATTACTGAGAGAATGAAAAGTTAATAAAAGAAGAAAAGAATAAACTGTTGCAACAAAATTAAAGTGACAATTCAATTTGTTTATTTGTGTTATTATTAAAATACTTTGTATATTGAAAAACATGTTTCAAATTTCAAGAAACACCAAGGTGAAAGGAAAATCAAGGCATTTGTATTCATTTTCATTAAACTTGACAGCACAAATATAGCCAAAGAGTTGAAAAATCTATGCCAATATTTCTTTTTCCCATTCCTTTTTAAATTATTCATAAATGTCTCTTATTATTTTACTCACCTTAAAAAGAATACATTATCTCTATGTTGCCATCGTTTTAAATAGATATGATCATTCAGTTCAGCAGAAATGAAGTTTGTTATTTTTTGTGACCCTTTAGTTTAAGTGTCACCAACAACTTGCAAGCATTAATTTTAAGATCTGATGAATACTATGTATAATGTTAATATAGAAAATCAAAACTTAAAAATTATGTTATCTTATAATAAAGTATCATTATTAACCTAATTAAAGCCATTATCTATATTAATAACATTTATCACTAGCAAATTATGCAATTAGCCACTATAAAATCTTATAAAATTACTTTTGTTGTAACTAAATGAATATTTCCATAACGTCCATGAATAGCAATATATTTCCCATCAGGAGACATCTGGAATCGGCGAATATTTTGTTGTTCCATTCCTGAAAAGTTATGTATGATAATGAGAATTGGTTATTTAAATATGTATGCAACATTAATTATATTTATATGCAAATTTTAATACCAGAAATTCATTTAAAACATTTTAGTGCAGTTAGGTTACAATTACTGTCAGAAATTCATACCCTCCAACTACTATTTAATTTTCCTAGGTTTAAAAAATAATGGTAAAAAAGGGTACTGTATTGATATTTTATTAACTAGAATCAAAAGAATTATTCACCACCACTACATGAGAATAATTTAAACAGATATACTAAAGGTCAGGTAAAAAATTGGATATGAGGGTGTGCTTAAAAATTTTAATAAAGGTCTTAAAAAATTATTTAAAGCACCTAAACATGTAATAGCAAAATACATGTAATAGTAAATCTTAGTACATCTATTAAAACAGCTGTCAAAAATCAGAGTAGATTTTATAAAACATAAAATACAATATAATAAATAAATAAATAAAAAGTGCAATAACTTGAGCAAAAAAAAGGTATATGGTGTATTTGGTTGTGTTGAAGAGTAATTCTTTTATTTTATGGTATTATATATATATACAGAGAGAGAGGGGGGAAAAAATAAGGGAAATAATAAATATTAATGAAAAGAGAAGAAAATTTATTAAAATAAAGTGTTTTTATAATTAGAGATTATAGAGAAAGACTATTAAAAAGAAATTAAAGTGGATGAACTGACATGTAGCCTCGTAAGAGGGGCATTACCACGCAGTCAGAGTGGGAGCAAATTCAGCAGTTGGAGGTAAATTAGCTCTAACAATCAACAAAATTTTCAAAAATTTATTTCCTGATTTGCTATTACATGTTAATAGTTTTAGGTTTTTTCCAGCTGTGTTGATCCTTTTAGTTCTATAATGAGGTAATACATTATTTTATTTCATCTTAAAATATTTTTCTTCAAATATACGTAGATATATTAACTTTAAAATAAGTAATGCAACAAGATTGAAAATTGAGAAGTAAAAGAAATAAAACAGATACAGTGCTTCTAGTTCCATCTTTGTCGGGTTTTTTTTAATCTTACTTGTGGATATTTTTTCTTTTGTGTTATGTTTAGATGCAGATTGGAGTATTTATGATTTTTCGTCATTGCTGCTGTTTGGATTATTCTTACTTTTATGTTAGCTAAAGAATTCATGCCAGGTAATTAAATATATTTACTAAATTACATATATTCTTCAAATATATATTTACACACATTATTCAACAATAATGGAAGGGACACTTTCAGTTCTTGACAAATTTCTCAAATACTTAAAGTATTATATTATAAATTTAGAGGTGTTTAGTTCATGTGATTTCTCATACTTATCGAAAAAGTTTAAAACTATAAAAGGTTTGAGAGACTTGCTATAAACTACAAATAAAAATAAGTATTCCTGAACACCCTATTCCAGAAAATATAAAAATAAACTTGTAATGATTACTTTGGTTGCTATTTATGATAATTGCATAAAATTTCATAAACCTGGCTTAAATACTTATGGAGATATGATACATTTAAATAGACAATTTTATAAAATAAAAAAAAAACAATCCTTGTTTCTTTGCTATTATTTTAAAATTTTCAATAAAATTAAACAAATTAAACATAGTGTGCATGGTTCAATAAAAAAGTTCATAATGATTAAAGTTTATAATTTTCATATCGAATGGAAAAAGCCCATGCTAAATATCCTGAAAATTTAAAAAGTTTCAAGCAAATTTTTAACGCAGTTTTTGCACTTTTTAAAAGAAAGCTTTAAATAAAAGGTTTCCCACAATTTTCATTTTGTATTATAAAACAAAATTTAATAAAAAATAATAACACATTACAATAATCGCCCATACACAAAATATGAAGGTATAAGGAAAGGAATCATGTCAAAGAAAACAGTTTTATGAGGCATGATCTCCCACAATGCTGGTGTCCATAGTCAGATAATATAGATGTGCGAGCGCACGCTGTGTGCAGATACATTGGTGGTGGTTCTCCAATTTTGCAGATACTTTTTTTTAGTATTTATTGTAACATAAAAAAAGTATCCGTTCAGACAAAGAAAAAAATTGCAGCGGAGAGGAAAGAAAATAAGAAACAGACGACATAATCATGATTTAATCAAGGTAGAAGAAAGTCAGTGTTTAATTGTATACATGCTGCTCCCAAAGAGAAAAGATATGACTGCCACTTTAGCCCAAAGATTAGCGATCCCACAGTTAGCAGTCGAGCATACAATCAGCTAGCTTTTTACAGCTTAACTCGGAGCAAGTATCGATTTACAATGAAAATAAACGATTGCGGCGACAGTAGGAAATCTATTAATTAAATTTTGTTTGGAGCAAAATTACTGATATTACTTGAAATGATAATGATTGCAATTCTTAAAAAATTTTCTATTTATGTATAACTATTAATATTAATCTTTCTCTAATTGTTCTTAATGTTAGTGTGCAAGTATATATAGATATTTTTCTTGTCAAGAGTAAATAAAAATTTTAAATTGTTAACTATTTTCGTATATTTAGTAAAATTATTCTATTATCAAAAACTATTATGAGCTTGCAGATTCTTTTGGATTGTGTGTGCATATTCTTTACGTTTTTATCTTACTATGTCAGTGTCATTTTTAATAAATCTTGCTTAATAGCACTAAATAAAATTTGTCTTTCATTCAATTATCATTCAAAGAATTTTTTTTTAAAATTACAAAAACTATCTAGAAAATTGCTACAAACTTTCAAAATTTTCAAGATATTCAAATCACTTTCTCATTAGTTATTAAAACAATTCAGAACAAAATGAGGGAATTTTTCTTACATTTTTACCCTGGCACGCGATTTTATAAGCGAACTTAAAATGGTTAGATCCTGTGCAATTTTAAATTCATTTTTTTTAAATAATAAATTTGTAATTCATTAAAAGTTGCTTTTTAAGTTTTGTTGAATTTTGTTGAATATTTTTGAAGTTATGGCAAAATAAATATACGGAGAAAAAAAGTTCGTTTTTAAAAAAAATGTCTAAATTTTCATAAATATTTAGCTAAAATAACGAAATTCCATGCAATTATTACGAATAACAGTCATAGTAATCAATGCAAGTTACAAGATTATTGCAATATTTTATGACAAAGAGTTTTAAAAAATACTTGTTTTCGTTCATAATTTCTCACCAATCCACCACATCTCTGAAAGCTTTAAAATTTATTAATAAGAATGAAAAATAGCATGAAGTAAACACCTCTAAAGTTATAAGTCTTTCTTGACATATAATCTTATATATTTATATATAATCTATTTTATCTTAGAGGTAAGCTTAATTTGGAATCAGAGCAATATTCTAAANACATCTCTGAAAGCTTTAAAATTTATTAATAAGAATGAAAAATAGCACGAAGTAAACACCTCTAAAGTTATAAGTCTTTCTTGATATATAATCTTATATATTTCTATATAATCTTATATATTTATATATAATCTATTTTATCTTAGAGGTAAGCTTAATTTGGAATCAGAGCAATATTCTAAAAGTTTTTATATAATTTTCAAACATCAAGATATTGACAATATGACTTAAACAAATGAGTGGGTAAAAAAGATTGAAAATACATATGTTTTTTAAAAAATTGTTCTTTAAAGTATTTAAATTCAAAATATGTAATTCTTAAAGTACTATGAACAATGCAAGTAACAACGCAATTTTCCAAGTATGCATATGCATTAAGTTTCCTTATTTCAAACTTTTATATTTTAATCTAACCAAACAAAATTTTATTTCATAAGAGTGATTAATTATGTACGTCTAATGTGCATCAAATTGATAGATTTATTTCTTTTTATAAAAAAGCATAAAATCTTAATCGAACACAGTTTTTTTTTTTTTAAATATTAATATCACATGCATGCCATATGAGATTACAGTGTTATAATTTACTAATTCATATGCCAAAAATTATTTATTAATAACATAAAAAAATATATTTCATTTAACTTTTATAACTAATGGAACAGTAATTTAAACACTTGATTTAATAATTCATGAATAATAATACATATTTGTTAAATTAGGTAAAATACAAACCTTTTTGGTTAGGAATTCTCACTACTTTTCCCAAGTACATGTCATATGAATAAAAGAAACCATACATATTAGACCCAGCAATAATTTCATTACCATCTGTAGTAAAGTGAGCAGTATGAATCGGAAATGATTCCAAATAAATTGACTGTATTTTGGAGTTGAGTTTTCCATCAACCTAAAATCACAATAACCAGATATTTTAGTTTATACAAATATTACAGGCCTAGACAAATTGATAAAAAAATTTAGCTTACTGCATCAGAAAAAATATTTATTTCAAGGATGATAAAAAACTTTTTCAGAGTTATATGAATATTTCAAAAATAGAGATAACAATATCCATTTTCAAAAATAGATATCAATATCTATCTAATAAATCAATAATTTTTCAATATCAATATTTATCTAATATAAAAATAATTTTTCTGAGTTTTATGAATATCTCAAAATTTAGAAAGTTATGCTTTTTCACAATCAATATTTCAGCTTCTTAGCTTTGAGCTTACAAGGTTTTTACTTAAAAATGAACAACTACAACCATACATGTACAAACATTTTTGAGTCTGTTAAATATGCATTCAGTGTGCATTGTTCTGAATTAATATATGCTCTTAACTGTTTTACATGGTGTAGTTTAATATTCTTGATGAATAAATCAATTGCAAGTCATTTAATTGCATATAATTTGGTAAAATAATCATGAAATGAAAATAAATTAACAGTGAAACACCCAACTTTTGAGTCAGTCTGGACTATTTTATTAAAACATAAATAATAGCCCCTTTAACATAACAATAAAGTTTGAGTACAATTATCTTAGGTTAAATATAATAATTGAGTTACAATTAAAATATTAATTGATCATTAAACATTAATAAGGAAAATTGATTTTAAAACTTTTTGAGGTTTCCAGTTTTGTTATACTAAAAACCTAAAACATTAATTGCAAAGATTATACCATTTATTGCTTACATTATTGAAAATATGCCATTTGATGATTAAAAAACAAAAAGGTATATTAAAAAAAATACAAAGGGTTTTTCTTTCTTTTTTTGTAAAACTATTTTTAAATTATGTAATTGTTGCAGGTAGTTTCAGACAACATATTACGCACTTTTTTTTATATAAAAACAAAACAACATATCACAGTGAAAAAACTAAAAGTGTTTTATTTTTTAAGAAGTTTTTTTTTTTTTAAATTCTTGAATGGTTGAATTTTTTCCATTTTAAAAATAAAATTCCTTAAGCAAACTTTTATTTTCCAAGAAAATGATGCTTTTCAATTGACTATCATAGAAAAAAGGTAGTTNTTATATAAAAATAAAACAACATATCACAGTGAAAAAACTACTGACTGTAGAAAAAAGTAAAAGTGTTTTATTTTTTCAGAAGTTTTTTTTATTTAAAATTCTTGAATGGTTGAATTTTTTCCATTTTAAAAATAAAATTCCTTAAGCAAACTTTTATTTTCCAAGAAAATGATGCTTTTCAATTGACTATCATAGAAAAAAGGTAGTTTATTAAAAGGAAAAATTTCAAGCCTTGTTTAGTGGCTATATTAGCACAGTTAAATGACTATATTAAAATGTAACATTAATAAGCAAAAAATAATAATAATAATTGTAATTGACGAAATATAAAACTTTTAATCCTAATAATTCAATGAAATTACTGGTTGTGGTGAGAAAATTAAATTTTTTTCATCTTTTCTGTTAGGCAAAAATTCTATATCATTCATTAAAGGGGGTATTTTTCCACAATGAAATAAACTTACCAATTACAAATTGCACAAAAAATATGTAATGGATAAATTAAATAAAAACAAAGCAAAGGAATAACAAAAATTAACAAAATGGCGGACAAAGCAGGAAGTAAAACCTTATTAAGAAAAATAAAACATACCTGGAACAAGTTTGCAATTCCATTTGTACCAGTAACTAAAGCAACTCTGGAAGAAGGATGAAACTCAACACTTTTTACAATTGCCTAGAAGTTCAAAGATTTGGTTATTATTAAAAAAAAATTGTAAAGGTAATATCCATATAATTATAAGTATTTTGATGCACTTAATATTTTATTTTATGAATTTAGACATAAGTTTTGATTGTGTGAGATCAGTAATGCCTATCTATAATGATAATAGTAGTCAGAGATAAGATATTTTCCAGTAATAACTGAAGCAATTTTTTGCAGTAAAATAATTTATGAAAAAATTAATAATGCATTCACAGAATTTCAGGGGGGAAACTGTTACTAATGTTGGTTAAATTGTCTTGTCACTCACAATAATGGCTAAGCAAAAAGTCATGAATTTGATTAGTATCCATTGAACAGCACTAAATAAAGTTCTCAAGATTTTTTTTCTGTTTGTATGACTTTAGAAAGCAGTTATACACACGCATATGTAAAAATATTATTGGATTTAACTTGCTGATCCAAGTTTTCAATTGCAAGGAAAAACTAGACCTGGGAATAACCATTCGCAACTTGCCACATGGCAAAGGTAACAAAAGAAAAAGTGGAGAGTTAAATTTATCAAACAACCAGTCAATTTTTTTTAAAAAATTTTTATTGTGTTTACAAATTTTTCAATATGTTTAATATATGTCTATATGTTTAGCTATGTCAACTATATGTTTTCCTTTGTCAATATGTAAAGCTAAATTTTGTCATGTATTTACATTATTTTTATTACGGGATTAACCTTTCATAGAAATAGATTATTTCTAATGTGAATTATTTTTAAAAAAATATAATTAAATTCACGCAAAAAATGATTATTAAAGGAAATATAATTGGTCACCAACTCATTAGGTTTGGGGAAAGAGTGGCTAGTAATTCATTAGTCTACCGGCCACTAAATGGAAATTTAAATTTTCAGGTCTCTGAAAAACTATAAGAAAGGTAAGAAATTTGATTCATGTATCTTTTTGGACTTTTACTGCAGATAAATATCTTATTATTTAATGGATTTCGTTTCATGAAAGGTGAAGAATTACATTGCAAAAAGTTCCTAAAATAAATAAAAAATATTAAACATTAAAATTTATCATTCTTTTATGTAATATTTAAAAATAACTAAAAACCGTTAACTTTTACTGCAGATAAATATCTTATTATTAAATGAATTTTGTTTCATGAAAGGTGAAGAAATACAATGCAAAAAGTTCCTAAAATAAATAAAAAATACTAAACATTAAAATTTATCATTCTTTTACGTAATAATTAAAAATAACTAAAAACCGTTAATTAAGTTTAATTAATTGTATTTTTCAAAAAAAAAAATATTTTTTTTGCATTTATGAGTTAATTTTTTTAAAACTACATATTTCTAAGTAAAAATTCCATTTTCTGCCATTATCAAAAACTTAGGTCTCAGGTGGTTCAGAGAATTTTATTCACTTTAAATCTTAACAATCTTTAAATAATATATTAGCTAGGCTAAAAAACAATTTTATTCTTGAATTATTTATAAACAATAGTTCAACAAAAGTATACTTACACCTTTCATGCTATCATGTGTAAGGCTAGTGCATTTGCGGATATTTATAAAATCTTTAGATAAATTTTCAGATTGTTTTATAAAGTTTCCAGTTTTTTTTAGAAGCTCATCTTCACTTTCTCCTACATAATTAAGAGAAAACAAAATAATTCAAAAAGAAATGTTTAACAAATTTTATACTAAAAACTGTCACAGGAAAATTTATAGTTACCATCAGACTCTAAAATCTTTCGTCCCAGTTCAGCCCACTCTGGGTCTCCATATACTTTTTTAAACCTTAAATATTAGCAAGAGTGATAAAAGAAGTAACAAAAAAGTAGTATCAATATATTTAAAAAGAATCTTATCATAAGAAAGTTACAACTTTTCAATTTATAAAATATAAGATCATAAATTTATGAAATCTAAAACAGTAAAAGATAACAAAAAAGATTAACATATTAGTTTAACTTTTAAAGAACTTTTTTATAAACCTTATATATTATTGCTTACACATTAATTGGATGAATATTATTAGTTGTAAAACAATACAAGTATGCTAAGTATAAAATATTAGTTGATTTCTTGAGATAAAAACAAATTTACAAATACAAAATATTACTAATATTAAATTTACAAATATTACATTTACAAATACAAATTTACAAAACAATATAAAAACAAATTTACTTCAATATTGTTTTCATTTTGCTTTGGTCTACGATTAAAAAAGCATAATTTGAAACTCAATATTTATCATCTAACAAAAATGTAGTATTCAAAATTTTAAAACAAAAATTACAAAATAATATTCACAGCCTTACAGTGATCTTCAATTTTACGTACATTTCACTTACATCCATTTAAAAAAAATGAAATTTAAAAAAAAAAAAAAAAAAAAGAATTCTTATAAACGTTGAGAATGACTATTATGGAAACTTAGTTAAATAATTCAGTTATTTCATTTTGATTTGAAAACCGAAATGTGAAATGCTATTGCAATTTCTTTTTTTTAATAAATGCACGTCCTTTTCATAATTGTTGTTAGAAAAATTATGCATTTTTTAAAAAAAAAGTTTCATTTTTCTCTTTTTGGCATATTACGTTAAATATAAATTCATAAAGACAATCTGAATAATAACCAAATAATGGATTGTAGATTGGATTTAAATATAACTATAGATTTCAAAAAGTTGAAAAAAAAAAACTGTNAGAATCGACTTATAAAAATATGTGTGAAATTATTACATACAAAAATTTAATCATTTTACAAAAACTAACTACGAATCTGTTGGGGAGAGGGAAGTTAGGCAGCCTGAGACAGTTTCAGACTTCCACAAAGTCCTCCATGTTTTCTATATATTTTTATCAGGGTGCCATTCATTCAAAATATTAATATTTTAAACTGCCACTATTCAAAATTAAATATTTTTTATGGATTTATTAAATGGGATTTAACTGCCCCAGCTGGAATGTTTATTAGGATTATTAAATACGAATTGATAAATGTAGGCTGTCAATATAGAAAAAAATAAACCTTAAATGAATCTTAATATTAATAAAAGTTTAAAATTTCATTTTTTTAATTGAACTTTTAATTGGCATTAATTCTAATTAAAAGTCAACTGAAGATACAATACTATCTTATGTATATTATTTAAGAGAAAAATTCATTTAAGAATGATCCCTTACTAGGCCACCATTTTGAAAATGTTTTGATTGTTATTTGGATTAAAATAACAAAACAATGAATTTAAGCAGATTTGATTTATTACTGCATCTTTTAAAAATAAAAAATAGGTGAATGGCCCTGAAATTCATCCATAATAAATTTTATGATTTGGAAGTTTAATATGTGCGGTTTTATTAGTTTCATAAAGTTTTTTAGTTTTAGTTAAAGTTTACTCTACAGTTTTAAATAATTCAAGAAGAATGGAATAGAATCCACCAGTTCAGCATGTTAAAATTTTGTTATTTTAGAATTATTAATTAGGTCTTCATTTTAAATCAAATGAATAAGACTACAATCATGTACGATATAACACTGTAACATAATATTTTTAGGGAATTAAAAGACTTTTAAATAAAAATTAGAAGATAACTATATAAATCTAGCAACTATGCAATAACAACCTTAACCCCCCCCCCAAAAAAAAATTTAATGTAACTGAAATCTGTTGTGTGGATGATAACAGATACCCCAGATTTCAATAGAAATTTCTTGCATATATCTGTGATAAAATCTTAAATTTTGTAGTTAGAAAAAAATTATGATAGGTAGATAAAATTGTTACAAAAAGAATTATGCAGATAAGTTTACCAATTAACAATTTTAAAAGTGTAGGAACGTACAAAGAAATTTTGAGAATCTGAAAAATATTTTTTCAAAATAATAACAAACGCCAGGCAATTGTAGTAAAAATATGAAAATAAAGTCAGGCCAAAGCTGAACAATCTGTTGCTTAGTGCGTCTTACAACAAAGCACATGCCGCAGAAGATAACCATATCGAATAGGGAATAAAAAAAATATAAGTAAAGGGTGCTTACATAAACTTGTTTATGTAAAATGCCAATGACAAGGAATTACAAAATTTAAAAAATACTTTTTTTTCAATAACAATCTATTGAGAAATTTATAAAAAGGATATGCACTTCTAAAAAAAATTATTTTAGTATTTCTCATCGAGCTTCAAGAATAAAGAAAAAAGTTCAACTAAGTTCTAACTAAATTCAAGAATAAAGAAATAAGTTTCTCAGATATCTACTCTCAATGATTATAAAAATTTAAAAAAGAAAGAAAACATAATACAGCTTGTCTTATAATATATTTTTTGCATATGTATATATATATACACCAAAAACAAGTGCAGAATATTTAATAATTCATTCTTTACATTAAACATTTTCAAAATAATAAGTCTCACTTTTTTTTTATTGCTGTACTCGCAGCTGCTAATGGACTTTTATAATGCTTTTACAATGCTCAATATTTTGGTTTTCATAGAGGAAAAAATTGGGAACTGCTGTATTATTACATGTAGACTATTTTTGCAATAATTATTCTACTTCTGAACACAGTATTGAAAATAATCCTTTAAAATAGAATGAATTTTAAGCAAAAGACAACAGTTAAAATATCTAATGGCCAAAGTAATGAATTTATCCAAAGTACTCAAAATGCCAAACAAATCCATGTAAAGATTAATTTTTTTTTCAGGCAAAAATGCATAACATAATTGTTTTAATTATAAAAATTAAATCTAATTTAGAAACAACTGAAAAAGAAAAAACTAAATAAAAAAAATAGAAAATCTTAGATAGAACTTATAAACTATCAAACAACTAACATTAAACTAATTATTATCAACAAATCATAAACTAACCACTATTTAACTCGTGTTATCTAGATTTTGAGAATAATTCTTTTTGATGTATAATGGTCTACAGCAATAACAAATTTTAAAAAATTAATTTTTTGTTTACAAAACATCCCTCTTTAAACATACAACACACAAATATATCCTTATTTTTAGGAATTATACAGTAAATTAAACATACAGAAATTGCTCATCATCTTCATCTTCCCAAGCAGGTTTTCTTTTAACCTCTTCAACTTCTAATTCCTAAAATTAAAATTGTTTAAGAATCAGCAAGTGCGTAAACATAAGATAGAAAATAAGCTTATGCAATATAAGGTTGACAAAAACAATTCAAGGTATAAAAAATTACTTCAATATTGGATTTATCCTCATAATCTTCAAAAGTTCCAAAATCACCACCAAAAACAGCATTTTCCAATTCAACTTCTTCTTCATCTGGCTCTCTGGTTTTTCCTAGTATATCGTGCAAACTTTTTAGCTGAGATACCTGAAAAATCATAAACAATCTAAGAGAAAAATACTTAAATGCTTGATAATAAATTTTCAGAACCTAAAACAATAGTGTGGTCAATGCTTTTTGATATGACACATAATTTTAGTGACCCTGCCACTGTACACCGATATATAAAATCTGTTTCAATTCAAATGACAAAATATTATATTAGTCCGTATAATTGGAAGGTCTGCACTAAAGCATTCAATCCAGTATAGTGATCGAGAATTAGTTTTTTTTTCTTCATAAGAAAACCATTATGAAAATATATGTCAAATATTTTCTTTCTTTCAAAATAATGCGCTTTAATCCTTTTCCTAAATGGTTCACTCTAGTATCCTTTAATTATGAATAAATATTTATGATATTGTGTACTCACAATATACAACCCCACCTTATATTATTCGTTTTTTATTTAGATAATAACAGTCATAGTATTGAGCCTCAACTGTAACATTATTAAAAGTTTTATAGCTTATTAATAGTTGCAAGCAATATGAACATTTATTTGATAACCAAAATTAGTATTAGAACCATTTTACAAAATAATTCTAATTTTCTTCTAATTTCAGTTAACTCAGAAAAAATTGCGTAAAATCACAATATTTTTTTCAATTTAATTATAATTTAAGTTTAAACAATATTCAAATCTTAATTAGAACTTCATTATATATTTAAAACAATACACAAAAGTTCTTATGAAAAAAAAATGAATTTCTAAGAAAAGGATAACACAATAAAAAATGAAAAATTAACATAAATGCTTCACAATAGAATAATGAAACAAACAATACCATGAAGACAAAGAGATTAATATAATTCTTTTTTAAATTTCAGGTTTTCATAGTTTTTAACACAAAAATTAAATGCAAAAAAAAAGTGTTTTTTCATTTTCAAAATATTCATCTAAATTTTCTATTATTTTCCTGATAGTTGCAACTTCAGGTTGTTTTTTTTTTTTCATTAAAAAAAAACTCTAATGTAAAATGACAAAAAAAAATCCATCTTCAGCATTTAAGCATTTCTTTTAAAATAATGAACATAAATTTTATGATCAAGACTTGGATAATAAAAAGGATAATAAATATCTATATTCAAGCTTTTTTTAAGAAATTTTTTTTAATGCAGATAAGTTTAGATGTCAGCATCCTTTTATGAAATTGCATAAGCAACTAACTAAAATGATGCATCATTTAAAATCATTCTTACTTCCTCTACAACAAAATATATCATTGATATCAAACCTTAACTTTTCTAGTATAAAAATAGTAGCATAAAGTTTTATTAAAATGGTAAAAAGTAAAACAAAAAAAGAGTACATTATTACTCTGAAATTAAATTAACCATTTAACAGGAACTGCTTGAAAAAAATTAAATATGCAACAAAGTATTAAAAATACTAATAATTCTCAGTTGTAAATTTTAAGTACAATATTTGTTTTTGCCTTAGATATCTTTCACTGAGAAAAGTAACTTGAGCTAAATATTTCAAGATGACGGAAAAAAAAGGTTGGAAAAAAAGTAAATAATCATTATCTTATTATGTAGTTTTAAATACATTTAGATTATTTTTAATAATTTTTTATAGGAATATTAGTCTGCTTTTTCTTTGGCAAAATAGGCATATCCACATAAGAAACAAAAGTAAAAATTACCAAATCAAATTAAAACTTTATCAATAGAATCCAACATAAATCTGTGTAAAAAAAAATCCATAAAATGAACAAAAAAGAGAACAAATAGCTTACAATTTTCTTCTTTTCTCTATGCAATTTTTTAGGCCTTAACTGGACAATTTCTTCATGCTTACGTTTCTTTCTAAAATTTACAAAATAATTTCATTAAAATTCAATGCCAATATCAAAATATGTCATAAACAGAATTAGTCTAATAAATACTGCATACACATGCCTGATAGTAAAATTCAATAACTATTTAAATTTCATAAAAAATAAAAAAACAAATACATAAGCAAATGAAAAATTTGCTTGTGATTAGATTAGCAATTTATAAATATTTATATTGTAAATTAAGTATCATAGTTTATATTTTTTAAAAAATACAGCATAAAAATATTTAGTTTATTTAAAACATTACTATTCAGGTGAAAAAGCTAAAGTAAGTGAAGCACAAATACTACTACATAATTTCACAAAGACATAATATAGTTTTGGTTTCAGAACATTCCCAGTGTCTAGGAAAAAGAACTGAAACTACAGTTTCAGTATGACAGCGCTTACAATGTTAATTGTGCTTTATTCACATAATTTAGCTTTATTATAAATAATGCAAAGTATCCTCATTTGAATAAGTTAGTCATTCATGGATTCAAATTAATTTCAAAAATTATTTAATTCACAAAGAACAAAGATTTAGCAAAAAGCAGAACAAAATCTGTGGTAGGATGCAATAACTAATAAGATAAGTACCTATGAACTATAAAGAATAAGATGTATGTTACGATTTATAATAACAAAAATGATGCGAATTTGTAGGGGGAAAAATTACGTTGATATAATCATAAAGAATAATGTGACACTTACTGATCCTCTAAATTTTCTTCCTCTTGTTTATTTGAATTTTTCTCTTCAGTTTCCTAAAAAAATTTATATGAATAAAAATGAATTAGACATTAAAGAGACAAGCCAAAAATAAAAAAAAATTACTACATCTGTGAAATGGTAAACCAATAAATACAAATTTAAGTAATAATGTAATGTTACCATTCATGTTTGTTTTTTTTTTTTAAATTTCCAGATCAACCGGTTTCTGTTCTGCTTTTCTAGGATTTCTTCATTACAAATTTTATGGAATGACTTGATACGCAAGATTTTACTTAAACAGTTGTTAATAAAAACTTGAAGTTTTTTCATGTTATTTTTATTGCAGAGACTGATCCATATAGGACAGATTTAATATAAGTATTGAAAATTCTAATTTTTGTTGAGTTTTTTGTGTTCTTGGAATTTATTAAGAATATCATAACTGCCTTTGGCTTTGTTTAATCTACTTAGTGTATCTTCATCAGTTCCTTCTTTGTTGTTAATTATACTTCCAAGATACATAAAACTGCTCACCTCCTCTAGTTTATTATTTCCTAAGAATATATCATTTAATTGCTTAAAATTAATTTTCAAAATTTTAGTTTTATTTTGGTTGATAATAAGCCCAATTTTCTTTGCATCTATGTTTAAAATGAGTGTGTTTGTTTGCATGTTTTAAAGGATGCTGGTCAGTAAGTTGTCTATGAAATCAATATCAGAAAGGTATTCAGCAAGGTTTCAACTTATACCCCTTTTATTCTCCAATACTCTCTTCATAATCCAATAAATTGCAATTAAAAAGATCGTTGGAGAAAATATAGAACCCTGTCTAACACCTGAATCACCTCAGCATTATAATAACAAGTTAATTAGCAGCTGTGGTTTGGAAAAAAAATTATTTAAAGTGATTAATGAAATATTAAAATTATGAGTTTTTTTTGGGGGGGTGTATACATATGTTGAAAAATAATAAAATAAGCTGGATTACGATTTTCAAAATACAACCATTATAAACGTTGAGAAAGTTATCAGTAAAATATAATTCTTTATTTCGTTTATTTTATTATATAAATTAAAAGCTTTATGAAAAATGCATACGGAACATATGCATTATTTATTCTAGATATCATTAATAAAAAATATTTTTTTAAAATGATGCAATTCTTTCTCATTGGAATTAAGTAATTTTATATAAAAACTAAAATATTAAATAAAGAGTGGATTATAGACTTGATATAAAAATAATTATTAGTAATTTAAAAAATTCTTATTTCCTGGAACCCTTGTGATTCCTCTGCATAACACCTTTTAGGAACCTCTGCCGCCTAGAACAGATTACTCTTCTTTTAGAAAAACACCGTAAATGAGCTCATTAAAGCCAGTTAGTTTGTCTCAGATATTAAGGGATCTTGAATTTGATAAAAAAAGTTTTCACAACAGCGCGAGAATCACGCATATTTTTTCCTTTTCTTGCAATAAAAATGATTAACGCGAGAAGTTCGCACACTCTATTAATCAATTTCAAATTTAGGGAATTTTGGAAAAAATTTCGTCTTTTACCATTTTGAATAAAATCCGTTTAACTTTTCTTCCTTGAACTTTCATTGTTTTGAACATTGGTCCTTGTTTTCTAGCTTCCCTATTTACCAGTATTGTTCAGAACCGGTGCACACAGCAGAACACCACAACCCCGAACCACGGAGCCCCTTTCAGAACACATTTCTCGGCAACCACATGTTCACCGTAGGTAAGGTTTCTTCATGTAAGACGTTTACATTTTTTGTGAATGAATGTAAGATGGACAAATACCTTGTTAAGGTGACATCTTATACTCTGTAACGGACAAATGAAAATGAAACAAATGTCGGTAGAAACGGTCAAAACGAAACAAATACGAATATTTTTCAGGCAAATAAATATAATAGCTGATGAAAAAGTACTTAGATATCAAACGATTTCCATATGATGATGCAGCAAAAATATTCAATCAGAAGATGTTAAAAATGTATTATAATTAAAAAGATAATTTTTTTCCAAGTCTATTCGTGCTTTTTTAATTTTTAGAAATCTCACGTAACTTTTTGAAATCTCACCCTGTTTTTGAGAAAGGGTGAGAAATTCTCTCCCATTTTTTTTTTAATGAAAACACTGACTTAGCAATAAGAAACAGCAAACCTATAGTTTACTTTCTTCCAATAGATAACAAAAAATCAACAACAACCTTCAAAAGATACAAAAAATAAGTATTTACCATAAAATATCTGCTTTTCTTTTTGGCTTTCATCTTTTGTGATGTATCAACACTCATCTTTAATGTTTTCTTCCTAATTAAAAATAAGTAACAACATAAGTAAGTATAAATTTTAAAAATAAGATGAATGGAAACACTACATAACACAGTATGAACAATATTAATCAAATAACGATATATAAACACAGTAAAATACTATCTGTACTAAGAAAAGTTTTTTTGTTCACAAATTTTAAATCTTACTAACTCTTTAAAACTGTTGACTACTACGGCATGAAAAGTAGCCTTAAATTGCATACTTACCAATTATATTGCGTTAAGTAAGTCTCTAAACATTAATCCCATCAATCACGCCTTAAATTTATCCCCAACCCAAACTAATATTCCTTTGAATGAGTTTTGAAATAATAAAATCTTCTCAAAGAGGCAGATTAGAGAAGTAAAGCAAAGCTCAGAATTTTTCCTTTTCGATACCTTATAAGTAATTCAGATATTTATTCATTATTGGTAACATTAGATAAAAAGTACTTTTATTATTATATTGGGTACCAACTTCCCCAGACTCAATTATAAACATAATTGATTATGCATTGAAGAATTCGATGATAGAATGGTAATTTTTAATGTCCTATCAAAAGTAGCATAAATTCTTAATTTAAGTCTTTATAACAGCATTTGCCATTACCTAGACGAAAAGTGTTATGAACAACATTAGACATTGGTAGAACTATATTGTAATTTTTAAATTACAAAAAAGTAGTTAAAACAGGACAATTAGTTATACAAATAAAAGATATTAAGCATCATAATAAGGTTAAAAAAAAACCTAGATGTGAAGGAGAAAGGACAATAAACTAGAAGTCTTATACTAAAGCACAATATTAAAATATGAGTCATGTATAATGTAAAAAATGTTTGTTGCAAAGAAACAGAATGTAGCTAATCTTGAGGATATTTCTATATCGTGATCTGCCACACCAACTACCAGACTAATTTAACAAAAAGTAGTAAAAGCCTTGTTTTTCAAAAAACATGGAATCGAATACATTATATAGTAAACAAGATTATCATTTTTTAATTAGAAATAAAATATAAATGTATTATTCAATTACTTTAAATTTATTACAATATAAAATTTATTTGTAGAATGTATTTTTCGTCGCGCATGGATTTGTTTACTTGTTTGGATTAAAGCATTTAAAGCGATTCCGGCTGCTTATGTTGACCCGATTGTGAAACTTGAATAAATTACTCTTGTAAACAAGCTCGTCGCATTAATACATAAAATCAGAGATCTTTTTGATTTGGCAGAAATAGTCAGCCAAACATTCATTTACGTTAAGTATTTTATTTTAGAGAAGCTTCAAAGATTTTTCAATCTTTCACTCTTTGGAAAAATTATTTATCTTAAATCTAATGCTTATTTTAATATAAAATTCACCCACTATTCATCAGTTGTAGTAGTTTTATGAAATTATGGGTGCATTAGTTAAAACTAAAGATGCTTTTTCCTCTGCTAACTTACTTTTGACCGTTTGTGCTGCGTCTTTACTTGTATATGTATCCTGGGAGCTCCTCCAAAGTGATTTTTCTTTTGTTGATTTATTTTCTTTTATAATTTTAGATCTTTTATTGATTTGTATTTCATAATTTCTTAATATTTAATTTAAATCTTGAAATCAACATTTCTCTTTTCCACATCTCCAGTGCCATTGCTTACAATCCTGATGCATTCTATGCTTACTAACTACATACTGTGTTTACTAACTACATATTAAGCATAGTATATTTTCTTAAGATATCAACAATTTGTTTTTATTAATAGCAATAACTTGGATTATCAAAATGAGATTGGTATAAAAATAGTGCTTATTTATTTGATTAATTGAGTTATCAAATTACTTGAATTAATCAAATTAGAAATATCAGTCGACATGTTTCAAACGCTCCAAAACTGGCGCTCATTTTCAATACTAGCCAGATATGAATGGGAAGAAACAAAAGGGATTTGAAATGTGGATGTTGGACTGCATGTGAATAATTACAAGCTTCCTAATACCGAAATAAATTTAGCCCTCTTTTTATGCTATGCTTACGAGGGGATGTGTAAACAGGCTTAATATTCTAGGACGTTTTATTAATGCCATAAATTTACACATAATTTTACCATTTATTGGAGTTTTCTAAAATTTATATTATTTAACAGATCATGAGTCTAAAAATAATTCAACAAAATTAATATTACAGTATAAATAAAATGTTATGCTGGTGGTATTTTGAGAGTTATTCATTATTTTGCTATATTTGTGTAAAACTGCACATTTGTTATTTTTTGGGTTGCATCGTAGCAAACTTGCGGAGTCTTCTGAATTCAGTTGTTGAAATTTTTATTTAAAGAAAGCATTATATTGGAAACACTGCAAGTATAACAATATTGGATATGCATTTTTTCAAGCTTGGGCGTAAAAATCAGTCACATGTAGTAACTCAGAAGTCTTACGATAAATTTTATCCCCTAACACCATAAAATGTAAAGTTGCCAACGAAAAAATAAAAGTAAGAAACAAAGCTAGAAAAACCACAGTAGCCGAAAGAGGAAAACAAGCAAGAAAAAAAAATGGCCAAGAAAGGTGAATCAGGCTAAAATCCAAGTGTATGTTCCAAGCACTTTGGAAGCACTTTTCCGTGGCACATGGAAATTTATACATTATATTATTCCATGGCACATGGAAATGTATATTATGCCAATTTGTCACTCTTGACCATTGTGGTTTTACTAGTTTGGTTTCTCATCTTTTTTTTTGTCTCAGCTATTGTGATTTTTTTTACTTTCGTTTTCCAACTTTTTTTTTTCGTTTGCATCTTTATGTTTTATATTTCAAATCACTTCTGTTTCTTCTCACTCACATTTGGCAAATCTTGAAAATGAGTACCTGTTTCTGAGTACTTGAAATATGTTGACTGGTATTTCCAATTTGTATATTTTCAAAGCTAATGATGTTTTTAAACATCATCATATCATGATTATGATATGATCGATCATATATCAGGTCAATAACTGAATAGTAATATCTTACTGCTTCAGTTTCTTGGGATTATTTATATCACACTTATCTGCTTAAGGGCCATAAAATTTGCCAAACTATTATTGATGCTGGTGTTACTTAATTAGTTACGTTAATATGTATTATTGAAGTTTTCCTGACTGAAACAGATAAATATTATAAAAACTAATACTAGACATTTTTATGTTTTCTTTCTTATAATCAATAAGTTAAGCAACTACTTGTTGAACTAAAGTATCAGAAAAGTGTTCTTCCTTTTTTTAAATTAATTTTTCTCTTGCTAATTTTTATTAACTATTATTTTATTTTAGGCTCTTTATTTCAAATCCTAAAGAGTGTATTTGGAGGTATTTTACTTGTCTACTACTCATGGGAAATTATATATTTTGATAGCATGATGCCAGGAATCCAACCAGCCTCTCCACTATCACCTTCACCAATTAAGTGTGTTTTTATTTTTTGTAATTTTTTTATTGTTTTAAAAAAACTGTATTATATAGAACTTTTGTCTAAATTTTCTCTTTCTTAAGAACTTGCTATGACAAATTGAATTTTTTCAGTCTTTCTGTAAGAAACCTTGCTATCACAAATATCTTTCTACAAGATATTTTTAATACTGATAATTATGAATATGCACGTAGACCAGTTTATTATAGCAGAAGTACTTTGTATTTATGAAAAAAGGTTTGCACGTATAGAATGAAACCATAGGTAAACTTTAAAAAAAAAAAAAAAATTGTACATCTTAGGCCTAAATTGTTCTTGGAAATAATCTTTTTAACTGAAAAATTAATAAAATGATTTGTCAGGTGAATGAATCAATATGAAAGTTGAACATCACATATTATAAAATATTTTTCTTAATAATTTTAAGTATGTTAAACATTTGGCTTATGTATTTTCTTTGTTTACTAGTTTGGAAATTAGAATCTTTTCAGAAACTATCAAACTTATCAGTCTTTTGTTCATGAGAAAACACAAAAAGTGTATTGAATAATCGGAGTTGAAGGTTACAGACAATCGTTTATTACACTTCCGGCATACAAGGAAAGCTATCTTTTAATAATAATTCTGCACGGGAATAAAAAGTCTTTTGAAAAATTCTGCAAAACTTGGGCTGAAAAAATAAATAAAAATTTTTTGCTGGATGAAAAATCTTTCTGTGAGTAGTACTCTGTAATGTTCTGTAACAGTATATCTGAAATTCGGTCACTGGGATATTCGTTTTGATAAAAAAAATATTCATAAATTTTTTTTTACTCATAACCGATGAATCTTACAAAAAAAAATTTGTATGTTGTACTAAATACTAGTGTATTGAATTAATTATAGTGCATTGAATATTAGGGTAAAAAATATTAGAGTATTGAAATGCTAAATAATAATGAAAAATTATTTACGCTAATATAGCTAAGAACTTCATTAATTTTTTTCTGTGAAAGGATGAAAACTGTGTGGACATTTTGTCATGTTTAGCATACTTGGAAAACAGATAACTTTTGTATCTTTGTTTTGAATTTCATTAGTAGTTCTTATGGTAATATAACCATTATTCCTTTTTATTCTATGTGAAGGTTAGAAGGACAAAAATAAATTTCTAATGTTAAGCCTGTAAAATATTTACTTTACTCTGAGTTAGATTATGATACATGAATTTGCTTAGTTGATTATTACAGCAGTTTCTTTCCAAGTATAAAATCACTATTAAAACTTTTGCCCCTGTGGAATGCTCAAGTGCCTAAATATCTCATCTATCATCTAACTGTCCCGCAGTGGACTGATCGTTAAGACACGGTTCCCAGCAGATCACCGAAGTCAAGCATCACTGGCTGCGGTCAGTGTGCGGGTGTGTGACCACTTGGATCAGTCTGCGTAGGGACCGAGGGTGTGCGGTATTAGTCCTCATTAAACTGTTCTACCGTAAAGTGCTCAACTTCGCGTGCATGTTGTTGGGCTACCGAAGCGGGGGTACCATCCCCTCTGCAGAGGATCAAAATTGTGATGGCTTGTCTTCGGATCATCCTCAGGGATGTTTCCCAGACCGTCGCCAATATCCCATTGTGCAGCTCTAGTGTGACGTAAATTAACTACAACAACAACAACTATCATCTAATTTTTAGAAAAAATGTCTCAATTTTTTCTCGTAACTTACAATTATGAAGTTTTTTTTAATAAAAACAACATATTTATATTTTTTAAAAGTTTGCAGTTTTTTGGCCATTTGAGTTAAGAGGACTAAATTAATTATAATTTTTGTGTTGATTTTTTATATAATTTTTTAATTTTCATAAATTTAGTCTAAATTTTCACAAAATAGGTACCTCTCAGAGAAACCTACACAGACCCCTGAGATTATTTTTTTTTTTTTAAATATCTGTTTCTACGTTATACATTTGGCTTAATCTTTACAACTGCTTTTCAACCACCAAGGGAATGCAATTAAAATATTTTTTAATTTTTTTGCTTGTTATTTAACACTCAGTTTTCTGAAAAATTGTGTTCAACTATCTGTCCAACTTGGTCTTTAAAATAACAAAAGCATGAAATAAAAATAGAAATACTCTGTTGAAATATTTCTCAATTTAACTTATGCATTCTTTGTGTTTGAAAAATTAGATTAATACTATAGTTCTTTATTTACAGAAAAATATCTGGTCCCACTTTGCATCTGAATTACACATTAGCTGTAGTGATTGGAGTATTTTTTACTCTCTTTATCAACTGGTACACCTGAATTCCAACAACAACAAAAATGTCCTTTTTACCAAATTATTTACCAAAGTTCTTTGGCTATTTTTTTATAATTTTATAACTGAATCAGCCTCTTTAGTGTTATTAATATCAGTATTGTAAAGAAATCTCACTTTCCTACATATCAATAACTATATTGTTTTTATGCACAGAAATGATACATATCTTTTTATTGTTTTGTTGTTTGAATTATTAAGTTTTATTTTAATCCATCATTATATCTTGTGATACTGTGCCTTCATATGATTGAAAAATTATTTGTAAGATACAAAGTTCTCCCTAGCAGGGCAGGGTGCTTCTTCTCAGAAAAGGGCAATTTGAGTTTCGAAAAGCACACCGTAAAAATGTGTAGTGTAGTGTAATAACTGAGTTTTATCCTCAACGATTTTTAAATTACTCTATTAATTTATGGGCCTATTTCAAAAAATAATGCTCTTTCATTATCAAATTAAGAGAAAAATTTATAGTTTTCAAAAAAAGTATAATTAAAGTCATCTTAAAAGACAATGACTGTGCACAAATTTTTTCAAAAAAAGTAAACTGAGGAAAATGATTAATTGATTAACAACTTGAATGCTTTTTCTATAATTTAAATTGAAAATTATGAGAAAATAAACATTCAAAAGTGCATTTAAGAAAAAAAAAGATATTTATTTGAAAAATTTGACATCACTTAAAAAAAATCCTCCCGAAAAAAGAGATACTTATAAAAAAAAAATTTAAAAAAAGCAGTTGGAAATTATCCTAACAAAATAAATGCTTGTAATTCTAATTAGAATTAAACCTATAAACACAAATAATTTCACCATTGTGTAATTATTATTTAAGCAGTGAATTAATTTTTATCAAAATAGAAGGCTTTGTTTTAAAGGGATGGCGGCTTATATTTACAAAAAGGTCAAAGAGGGTGTATTTATAAGGATTACATGACAGGTAGACAGAGAACACTCTAAGATAAATCATAAATTTTGCTTTACCAAAAAAGTTTTGAATTGTAATTGTGATCATGATTTGAAATTCTTTTTAATCTGCATGTTTGTTTTAGAAATGTTGAGAATGGTTTTTTTTTTTTTTTTTATAAGAGGTTAGGCATAATTTTCATGTACTAGTTTTAAGAAAACATTCTGATGTAATGCATCTATAAAAATGTGGAATGAGGCTCTGAAAAAGATTTATTATTTATAGTAATAAAGTTTTTCAGTTTTCAAAAAAAGGAATGAATATAGGTTTTGACATTAAGTGTTTTCTCTTTCTTTTTTAAAAGAAACATTTCATTTTTTTTCATTTTTTTAACAATGTTTTCCAAAAGTTTTATCAAGTGATTTCTTTCCCCGCACTTTTGTAATCCAAAGATCATGTTTGCAGAAATCATTTTATTCACATTTGATGTATTGGATTGTTTGTTTTGCTTATCGATTTGTGAAAAGCTCTCTCTTTTTCTCACTCTCTCAATCACCATATTTTTGCTTTGGGTAATTTTTTTTTTTTTTTTTGATAATAATAATTTTTGGGGTTAAGGTCATTATTATTACTCTATTTCTGTAAACAAAATGTATTTTTTTTTTTTTTACTTGTTTTAGTTTAAAATTCGAATTAATAAATCAAAGAGAAATTGTATTAAATATTTATTAAATACTTTTTAAAAAAAATTGTAAATTGGTATTCTTAAATGTTATTATTTTTTATGATTGTAACTTGTCTAATGTATTCTGGTGTAACTTTTGATGTATTCTGGTTTTAGTACAAACACGAAATTTTAATTGATTTCTGAAATAATTTAATATGCTGAATCATTTTTAGTATAATATGGGAAAATTATCTATAAAGTTAGTAAATAACCTTTATTCCAAAAAAATTTGACATTTCAAGAAAGTAATGTTTTTTTTATGGTTATTTTGAATTTTTTTTTTTTTTTTTTTGTGCAAATGTTTACGCAATTTATTTAAACATTATTTTGTATTACAAATTAATGTTTGAGTGCCGTTTACAATTACTTATCTTTTTTTTAAATATCTATCTGTATTAATTGGTTTTATAATCAAATATTAGTTATAAGTACATATCTTTGTAAACATAGCTTAGAAAATGCTTTTATTATTTTCATAAATTTGTTATTTATTTTCTCAATCATTATCTAAATTATTACATTTTTATAAGTTTATTACAATTGTTTTTTTTTTTTAAATAATTAACACAATGTAAAGTAAAGATCTATATATTTTTGATAATTAAAAATCTATTTTTGACAATTTCATTTCATATTTATAAAATAATGACTCTTAAATTCATTTGTATATTTGCATCCCAAAGTATTTTTATATTGTTGAAAAATAAATTTGAAAAAGAAATTATTTTGTTTGAATTATTTGATGTTTTGTATTTCATTTCTGTTGTGAACCCTCTCATAGTTCTATAAGTGGGAGCATTCTGTAAAATAATCCTGAGTTTTCTATAATATAGTTCGCTCCGTGTGGGTGGGTGTAATAAATAAAGTGAAACCTCGGTTAAACAGACCCTCTTGGGAGCAATAAAATTGTTTGCTTACGAGAGTTGTCCATGTTTAGCCGCAGAGAGAAATGAATGTGAGAGTTTTATTCCATAAATTGTTTTTAGAATAATTTATAACTGTTCAGAATTTTTCGGATTTGTTCCTAATTTTTGACTCAAATCTGAAATTCTGATGTTTTTATTAAAATATCTGAATTTTCATGAAATTGCAGTATTTTTGCTTTTAAACCAATCCCTTGTATTGATCGCACCCTCTGCACTCTGCATTAACTCTGCTTAGATTCATGTGACAAGAAATAATTTTTTCGCTAATTACTTATCGAATTTCTTGATACTGCAATTACTTAAAATAATTATTGTTGGACATTAAAATGACAACACTAACTGTGGGATATCAAAAAGTTTTTCTTCAACAAAGATACATTTTTTTCCTTCCTTTTTTTTTAAATTTTTATATGTATTACTTGCTTGGTATTAAGCATTCTGGTTTATAACGGTTTTATTAAAGATTATTTAGTATTAACGAAACATAAGTGCCTCATTGACGTTTAGAAACAAAATAAGTGTGCCTAATGACGTTTAGAATAAAAAGATTTTTTATTCAACTTGTTAAAAAATATCATCTGTTGAGTTTAGCCCGGAGGAAGGGGTGTATCTTCAAAAAGCAATGGTTTGGAGGCGCACTTCTTAATTTATTAAGCATTCACATAAATAGCCTCTTGGACTAGTAAAATTTATAACTGTGTTCCTTTTATTTTTTCACCTAAGAGGATCCCTAGGACTTCATGATGTATTTGATAGCGAGGACAACCGGAGTAAGAAACAATAGAACAGTGTTCGTACACACTTGAAAACAAATTAAAAACAGTATTAACTTTGATAGAGCTAAAAATTTCTTAACATTAGCTCCCACTTTCGGATCTGCATATAAAGAAAATAAAATATTCTGGTATCTTCAAACATAATNTATATTGTTGAAAAATAAATTTGAAAAGGAAAAATTGTTTTGTTTCAATTATTTGATGTTCTGTATTTCATTTCAGTTGTGAACCCTCTCATAGTTCTATGAGTGGGAGCATTCTGTAAAAAAATGCTGAGTTTTCTATAATATAGTTCACTCTGTGTGTGTAATAAATAAAGTGAAACCTCGGTTAACCCTAGTGAAACCCTCTTGGGAGCAATAAAGTTGTTCGCTTACGAGAGTTGTCCATGTTTAGCCGTAGAGAGAAATAAATGTGAGAGTTTTATGCCATAAATTGTTTTTAGAATAATTTATAACTGCCAACTGTTCAGAATTTTTAAATCAAATCTGAAATTCTGATGATTTTATAAAAAATCTGAATTTTCATGAAATTGCAGTATTTTTGCTTTTAAACCAATCCCTTGTATTGATCGCACCCTCTGCACTCTGCTTAGATTCATGTGACAAGAAATAATTTTTTCGCTAATTACTTATCAAATTTCTTGAGACTACAATTACTTAAAATAATTATTATAGGACATTAAAACGACAACACTAACTGTGGGATATCAAAAAGTTTTTCTTCAATGAAAAAAGCTGCATTTTTTTCCTTCCTTTTTTTAAAATTCTTGTCAAACCCCGCTATAGTGAACATTCAAGGGACCGAAATTTCAGTTCACTATATCCGTTCCGTGAGCAATTTTAACTTATGGTTCCGAACTTCTTTTTATTATACATTATGAAAATAAATGACCAATAAAATGAATAACAAAAATGACCGAAAAATAATCTGTAGTAACAAAAAATGTGTTGACTTTCTTTTATTTTTTATCAATCTTCGTCTGTGAAGAAAAAAATTTAGTAATCTTTAGCTGATGCAAGGAAAAATTTGTCCATACATCTGCCTGGGTAGGCCATTGCTTAGGGAGAAAAAAGTAAGATTGTGTGAGTGAGATTGAGTGAAAGCAAACAAGAAAAAATGCTTAACTCTATAGATGGTTTTAAAAATAAGTATAAGTATTTACTTTGAAGTAGACATTTAAAAATTATTTGAAAAAAATGGAGAAAAAAAATCAGTCGAAGACAGAAAAAAGTTCATAATATCCAACTTCCTCACTTTTTTAGTTCACTATATCCACAAAAAATATCATTATACGTGTATAGCAAGGCACGGGACCTAACATTTGATTCACTATATCCGGGAGTTCACTATAAATCGGGTTCACTATAGCGGGGTTCGACTGTATATATATTACTTGCTTGGCATTAAGCATTCTGGTTTCTAACGCTTTTATTAAAGATTATTTAGAATTAACAAAACAAGTGCCTCATTGACGTTTAGAAACAAATAAATGTGCCTAATGACGTTTAGAATAAAAATATTTTTTATTCAACTTGTTGTTAAAAAATATTATCTGTTGAGTTTAGCCCGGAGGAAGGGGTGTATCATCAAAGAGCTATGCTTTGGCGGCGCACTTCTTAATTTATTAAGCATTCATATAAATAGCCTCTTGGACTAGTAAAATTTATAACTGTGTTCCTTTCATTTATTCGCCAAAGAGGATCCCTAGGACTTCCTGATATATTTGATAGCGAGGACAACCGGAGTAAGAAGAAATAGCAACTGTGTTCGTACGCACTTGAAAACAAATTAAAAACGGTATTAACTTTGATAGAGCTAAAAATTTCTTAACATTAGCTCCCACTTTCGGATCTGCATATAAAGAAAATAAAATATTCTGGTATCTTCAAACATACAATAATATATATATATATAAATATTGATATTACTACCACATTTTAATTTTTTCCATGCACGTATGAACATTAAGTGAAAGTTTAGTACCTAAAAACTTCGTTGAAACTTAGAAAAATGGATTTCGGCTACTTTTGTAAGTTTTCCTGGTGATAAACTATTCAAATTATTGGTGTTTGTATGATAATTAATCAATATTTGTAGAAAGTAAAGCAAAATGCACACTTTAACACAATAATATATATTTATTTAGAAAAATGTGTAAGGCAATGTTGTATATTCTTANCATCTCTTTGCGCTATTGCTGCTCAGTCCTGATCGACAATGTATACACTCGACTGCTAAAGGCAACACAGGAGCGACCACGACCGTGAACTTAATACAACTCTCACATTCAGCACTTAAAAAGCACGGTAATCTTAATACAGCTCTCCCGTCACAAAACAGCATTGAATCAACTAGTGGTATCCCATTGATCGAATTCTATCACAGATAAAATTCTGGTGGGGGAGTACTGTAGTGTGTCTACTACTACAAAATTACAATTCACTCCCCACAGATCCTTTGAGTGCTTGGGACCCCTGGGCACTAACTAAGTGCACCCATGCTTATAGACGGTACTGAGCACCGGCAAAGGGGACAGGTTATTTAAATGTTAACACTAGGGTGAAAAATAAAAGTGTCTGAGAAATAATTAGGCAGTCTAAAAAATGACTGCAATTTGATATTTTCAATTTGTTGAAGATTGATGAGTATAATTTCTATTTTATTTATTAATGTTAAATTGGATTGAGCCACTTTACTGCTTGTTTTCGATCTTAACACCAGCCTCAATTCGCGCAGGTAGGGAAAAAAAGATCGTTTGAACTTAGAGAGATCAGCGTTGTGTCTCTTCACGTCAAGTTAAAATTTTATAAAGCACTAAAAACTGTATGGTGAGTAGAGTTTTCGAGTATTCGTTTCACTCATACAATTTCGAAGCGTGAAGTCGAGCGGTCCTCTGTCTCTTCACAGGCTAAGGGACTAGCCACGCATCTAGTTGAATTTCTTTTATAAATTGGTTCATCAACATTTATTAAAATTTAATTTGAAAGAAAGTGCAAATTTTTGTTAAATACCCCGTGAGATTTTATTTGCATATCATAAAGGGCCATTCTTACTGAATGTGGCTCACGCAATTCCGATCACCGTTGAAGGAGAATGAAAACTTGATTGGTTCAAATATTTTTTCAAAAATATGAAATTTAATCTAAAGATGGGTAGAAGTAGGTAGTCAAAAGCGTTAGTTTTAAAAATAAGAAGAAAATTAAAAATAAATAACAATTGTGCTAATTCATTACTCGTTGGTTAAATATGATTGCAATATCTAGAATTTAGTAAATTGTGTTTTATTTTATATGCTTTATTGTTTGCCTTTTTTTATAGTTGAAAGAAGAAATGGTTATAATTTTTAATTGGTCTTCAAGTTTTATGTCATGATTTTACAATTTGCCTAACTAAATATGAACAATAGACAAACTTCTTTTAATGACAATGAACGTATTCGCCAGAAAGCAAATATACCAATTGCTCAATATTCTCCGAATGTTGCTTCTACTTATAACATGTGCCCACCTTATCGGCCTCATGAAAAGGTCAATCACGGGTCTATTACCAAGAGCAATAAACCTGAAGTTACAAGGTTTAATTCACAATATAATGAGCGATCTGAAAGACAGGCTTTTTGTGCAACAGTCAATTTTCCGCCGAACCAGGATGCGATTTATTCGCCTGGGTTAACTCATCAATCTTCAGTTCGTTCCTTTCAAATTTCTCAAAATATGCATAGAAGTAGACATGAGTCACAGATGACTGCTAGTGCTCCTAATTTCAACCGATTTTCTAAAATTCCATGTAATTTGGATAGTGTGCAGTCTTCTGATAGGAATGATAAAGCATATTCTTCTCCAATTTCAAGTTTTAGAATGCAATCGATAAATCACAATGATATTCCTCCTCAGCATATTGCTTACAGACATCCCCCTGCTTATCAAAATGAAATGACAAGGTCATCAAATTCAAATAACAATAACTTTATTCGTCAGCCTCCAGTTTCCAACATGCCTGACTTTATGAGACCGCCACTTCAGCCCAATTCCAATCCATCTACTTTAATAAGACCACCACAATTAGCTGCTAATGCTCCTGGTTTTCTAAGACCACCATTCTCACAAGGTTTTAACAACCCTGATGCTGTACCACAAGGTTTCAGCAATCCTGATGCTGTAAGTCATGCTATACTACTAGGTTTCAGCAATCCTGATGCTGTAATACACACTATCCCACAAGGTTTGGGCAATCCTGATGTGAGGCATCCTGGATGTTCTAGCAATCAGAACTCAATAATGCAACCACCCATATCAGGTTATGGTAATCCTAATTTGATAAGGCAACCGTCCTCATTCAATTCTAGCAATCTTGACTTTAATAAACAAACATCTATACAAGTTTCTGATAATCCTGCTTTAAGACAACCATCTCCATTAGATTTTAATAAGCCTGACGTTATAAGGCAAGCTCCGCCATTAAGTCCTTTAATGGGACCACCTCCAAATTTACCATCGAACAACAGTTATATGTCCAGTGGCAGTTTTGCTTTTCCAGCGCAAATACCACCATCACATCCTACTGGTTTAAATCCACCTTTTACTTCATTAAAGCAAGATTCAAATTTAAACTTTGAGTTTGGACCTAATCTTAGTATGCCGCCACCATCTGTCAATCAAGATTGGTTAGAAGAAAACAAAATTAATCAATTCCTCCAAAGGTTTACTTGCGAAGAAAAAAAGTCAGCAAAATGTGATTTAACTGTAAGTATATTTAAATTTAGAAACAAGTGCGTTAGTTGCAAAAGCACTATAGACTGATTCGTATCAAATTCCAGATTTCAAGCTTATTTGTTTATTGCAATATAGGCTTTATTAGAAATAATAAAACCATTTGGTTTTTAAAAAAATTCATTATGCTAGCTGAAAAAATTATTTCTTGACGAATTACCTAATAGTATTTTATTGAATGAATATTAAGTACATTGAGTAGATTTTTTTACTCAAAGTAAAAAATATTGCATGTTTATTTTTTTATTATAGTTGAGTCAAACCTCAATTACTAGCTGAAAGGAAGTTAAAATTTTGACCCTTAAAATCTTAATATTTTTTTTACATTTTAGTCAAAATAATGATTGCTTTAGCATTTTGTAAATTGTCTAGCATTTTTAAAGAGACAAACAATGACATGAATTTAATCATTACAAAATTAAATACATTATTTATAGGTACATGTGTGGTATAAATTTTGCTTGTGTAAAAATTTTAAATATTTCATCTGTACATAATATTACTAAGGTAATATTATGTAGGTTCTTGAACGTGTAAATATTTTCTAACCGAAAACTGCATAAATTTTTTTTCTAAATATGAGGAGATATTTTGACAAGGTTTCTGAATAATGAATTTATCTAAATTTTTTTTTCTCTTATTGAGATATTAATGGGAATGGAATTGAGAATTTTTTTTTTCCTTTTTGCAGCAAATTTTTTTTAATTTTAAAGCTTATTTTTTACTATGGTAGACTGTATTAAGTCATAAGAATGTTAGGAGTGTGCAACTTTTTTGAGTGAAAAACCACCTGCACCACAAGTTGACAAATGAAGATCCACATGTTTAATATTTAGACTTGTTAACAGCAATTGCAGTGTTTTCCCTAAGTGTATTTGAAAAGGTGGCTCACCCTGGCTGCCTTTTGATCCTTATAAATGCACACTTTTTGTAGAAATTAGCCACCATCCTTTAAAAACACTAACTTTTTATTTATATTCTATTTAAGAAAAATTGATTCACTGATTAAATAATAATTACACACTAATTAAATAAAATTATCTGTGTTTACTGGTGAAAAAAATTTAGACTTGCTCCCAAACAACGACACGTGGAAGGATTACGATTTTTTATTTATATACAAATTTGTAAATGCAAATTTTCTGTATTGAACATCAAAACATGTGAATAGTATGTTTAAAACAAAAAACATTTGACAATTATTTTAAAGTACAATTAACCTGATGCAGTAATATAATAAATATTGTATTGCAGTAAATGTATCCTCGAATAGTCAGGGCTCGGATAATCGGGACTCTACTGCAGTGTTTCCCAAAGTGTGGTACACATAACCCCAGGGGTACGGGAACAGTTTAGCAGGGGTATGCATTCTTATGCGAAATAATTTGCAACAAACAAAAATTTCAGAAAAATTTATTTAAAAACAAAGCTAACCATGAAAATTTATGATTACGTATTTTTCTATAGGCTATTTTTTGCAGAGTTGACAGTGGTGTTAACAGCCAGTTGTGATTTTAACTTTTGTGCATTTTTTTTATTGTAAAAATAAGCATATTTTTAAAAAAATACATTATTTTTTTGTTAGTGATACACAGCATTACGAAAAATTTAGAAAGGGTACACAAAAGTCAGTTTGGGAAACATTGCTCTACTGTATTGACATTTTTGAAATAATTTGGAATGTAAGGCAATTACTCCAGGAAAAAGAATGGTAAAATAGTTTGGACTTATGATGAAATCATCACAAATAAAGTATGGCAAAAGTGAATAGTAAAAAGCGCTATTTGAAACTTGCGTGCTACAATACTACCTAGTAATTAAAAATGTCTGAATTTTTAAGAACATCAGAGGAATTCATTTATAACTGCCAAAAACATTATCGAAAAGTCACGTGGATTAATGATAAAATAAAGAGCGTTCTTTTTTTTTTGTTTACAAGTATTTTAAACTTCTTAATTTATTTAGTTTTAATATTTTTTTGCAGGTAACAGAATTTCACAACAGATTAAGAGATGCTTTTGTAACAGTGAGAGAACTAATGGAATTAAAAGCAAGTTTGTCAAACTTACTTGATGCTAATGAAAATGAATGGAATGAAAAATTAAAAGAAGCTTCACATTGCAAGGTGAAGTATTTTTTGTGTTCAAATTTTATTAAGTTTGCAAATTATAGCTATATATTTTTTACATCCTTTAACAGTGTTTCTGTTTTTAAGTATTAAGTGCTACTTTATATATGTGGAACTAATTTTCTTTACATTCAATGTACCAAGTTGTCAATATATTGCATAGAAAAGAAAATTTTAAAATGGGGAAAATTTAATTCTTAAATAATTCGTCATACCTTAACTTAATATATACTAACTGCCTGGATAAAATAATTTTTTTCTCTCTTTAATAATCTAGGGAATTGATTTTTATAAAATAAGAGAAAAAAAATTAGAATTGCTTAAAAAAGAATATAGAAAAAAGTGCATATATTTGTTAATTGTTATGTGTATTATTTGATGGAATGTAATGCATGCAGGAGGTTTAGGCTATCAAGTTTTTATTGTGGTTCAAACAATTTTATTAATTGATAAAATGAAGAAGCAATAAATACCTAATCTTATCTATATAATTGTGTTAAAAATTTAAGAAAAAAATATTTCAGACTTTTTAATTTTTCTTAAATTATTGTAAATGTACTTGTACATCATTTTTACTGTCTTAGCTAAGAACTAAATGTTTTTTCTCAAAATGAAAAATTATTTATTTGTGTAAAATTCTGTATATAATAATACTTACATAATGATACAGCTTTTTCTCACATTGTAATGTTAATATTTTATTTTGACCTTATATAATGAAAAATCACTAACTAAATTGTTTATAAATGCCTGATGATTTAATTTAAGCTTTTTATATTTTAGGATAAACTTACCAAAGAATGTGACTTTTTATCAGAGCCTAAGGTCTTACTTAGCATTCAAGAAAGATTGAGGAATAGAAAAATAAAGAGAGTAAGGCAAAGAATATTCTCTAAGCTAGGGATTTATGTTTTAATAGTTGAACTTTGTAATTTGTATTATGCACATATATACAAATTATGTGTGTGCATTATCTGTGGACTATTAAACTTTGTATAAAATGTATACATTACTGTATCTATCATTGTTATTGTCGATTATATATTTGTTGAATAAGTTGACAATTGGTGAAATAAAAAAAACTGGGATGTATGATGCCACATGAAAAAGATTGTTATGTATGGCATTGTTTAGTTTCCTATTTTTTGTCACTAATATTCATATTTTGTGTTTATTTTACATAAATATTTAAAATTATTTTTAATATTTTCAGCAGTTTTTATTTAAAAAGTAAAATTTTTAGTTTAAAATAAGCCTAAGACAAACAAAAAATAATAATAATGAAACACATTTTCAAAAAAATTAATGCAATTTATTTTTATGGATGTTTTTGTTTTGATAATTGTTTTTTTTTTTCCTTTTATATTTTTATTATTTTTCATTGATCTAAAAAGTAGAAAATGTCCATTGCTACCACATCTAGTTTGTTTAACGAAATTTCCATGCATTCGGTTTTTATGAGGCAATTAAAAAAGCTCTCTTATTTTTACTTTAAAGCATTGATAGCTAAGCTATATAACCGCATATTTTTTGTTTTCATCAATAATTAATTGTGGTGATTCCATTTTTATTTGTGTACTTAGTATTAATCCGACTGATCAGTTGTTCAATTTTAAGTATGATTTACTTTTGTAGAACTTAAAATTTGTTTTAAAATCTTTAAAGAAAGTTCAGAGTTTGTATTCTGTATCCTAAGAATGTAATTTAAGATTCATAATGCTCAAAGATTTGAAGGTTAACCTTCAATTCTTGTCTATGGGCTTCGCATTTTAGTTACGATGTTTTCTGTTTTATTAATCCTACAAAGCCATAATTAACAAAGTTTTACGATATGTGTTGGTAATAATAATCTTCATGTTAGTTATCATCCTTGTATTAAGTTTCAAAATATTTAAAAAATTAAAATTATTATGAATAAAGGAAAATATAGAACAGAGCAAAAGAAAACTCAATTTTTTCGTATTTTCTGTTTATAGTACTGAATGTAGTAGCAAAAAGATCATTAATCTCTGTTATCTACATTATTTGTTCCCTTATATGTTTGTTTCCCTCATTTAGCTTTTTACTGATATTTCAGTTTTATTTTTTCAAAGGAGTTTAAAAAGAAGATTCGAGCAATTAAAATTGAAGAAAAAAGTAAGAAATTGGCAGTCCGAGAAGAGCTCCATCAAACAATTGACAAATGGCTAGAATCGTTAAAGGAAAAAAATTTAAAATTGAAAAGGGTATGTTTTATTTCTCAATTTATTCTGATTTCTTTAGTTAATGCATTTCCCCCCTTTTTATTTTGTGTAATTGTTTCAATGTGCACACTACACAAATACATTTTCTTAAAATTGTGTAAACATGTTTATTTTTTTAAAAATTATTAACTGTCTAAATTCTCACAAAATTGTGATGGCATGTCTTCAGATTATCCGCAGTGATGTTTCTCAAACCATCTCCAATAGCCCATTGTACAGTCTCTAGTGCGACGTAAATAGAGTGTCTACTTACCTACTGACTTGGCTGAGAAATAAAGGTGGTTTTCTGTACAGTGCTGACCACACAATTATCCGGTTGCTCCCAAAATTGTTGAATCTTAACAACCATGACTCCCCGGGCCTGCAAAAGAATTTTTTGGGAATGCTTCACTTGATATTTGCAATTTAAATTGGCAATACTGTCTAAATATTTTTTTTACTATTTTTTTTAAAATTTTCAAATACTGTTTTGTTTTTTCCCTGGTCGTAAGATGTTTTCTTGCTTTGGAATCCTTTATTCCAAAAAAGATGGTGCATACCCTTGCTAGAAATCACAAAAATTATCTAGTATAGAAGCTTGAACACTTTAAAATCTGTTAGAAGATCATTGGATTAGTCATTTTCTTTTCTAGAAAAGTAAAAAGTGGTATCAGGAAGCATTAAAGAATGGTGTAAACAGTGGTGTAGGTTGACCTGAGAAATTCTGCTACGAGAGATGTAGTCTATTTTTTAAACATAAAAGTAAATTTACAAAAATTATTAAAATATTTTCATTTAATGAGGATTATTCCTTTTATGAAAACATATGTAGTGTATCTTTCACTACAAAAATATAATTCCAATTCACTAGTATATAAGACATGTTAACTCTATTCTATGGTAGAGTACCTTTTCATGGATGAAGGCTGACATGGTCGATAATTACTCACTTCCCACATTGGTGACCCGGACGTTATGTGAACACGCCTACTTCGATGAATTGTCCACATTGAACACTTGACTTGTGACTGAGACATTGTCCTCCTCACGCTGTTGCTTCTCAGTCTCGATCACAGACAAAGTACAGCGTATTCACTCGACTGCTAAAGGCAACACAGAAGCGACCACGATCGTGAACTTAATACAGCTCTCACGATCAGCATTCAAAAAGTACGCTGATCTTAATACAGCTCTCCCAGTTTCTCACAAAACAGCATTGAATCAAATTTTAAAACTTTTCATAGATATTGTTATTTTAACTAACTATTTTTATGCATTATTCAATTATTTTTGTATTCATATTTAAAATTTCCTCAAGTTCTTTAATTTACAATAAAATGCTTTAATAAATAATCATAGGAAGCTGAAATGAAAAAAGAAGCCGACTCTATTTTGGCAGAGGTGAGGCGTAAAATCCATGAAGCCAAACGTACTATAGATAAATTAAAAGTTTTTGAAAAATTAAGAAGTGCAAGGCATGCTAATGCTGTTAAAAAAGGTAATTTTATTACGTTGTTTTGATTGCTAATGATATTTTTATTAGTTTTTAAATTTAATTTGGAGTAAGAGTTTTTCTTGAATGAATTCATAAGCAGTTTTAATATATTTGTTAATTAGTTGACAATCTTATAGTTTTTAAATTCACATTATACTTAATCAGCCTGGAAAAAGTTTTCTGACTTGTTACTAATCATAAATATTGATTTCCCCCCCCCCCCAAAAAAAAAACCAGGTTGAGTTTTGAAGTATCAATAAATGTCTATTTTTATAAATTTTTAATGTGAATAAATTGTAGAATCAGCTGCTTATTGCCATCAAATTAAGATTAAATTTTTTTTGTATGATAACATTGAATATTTTTTATTAGACTTATTAAAGTTGTTTGAATTTGAAGTTGATTTGTTACTACTGTATATTTCGGTGTATAAGTCGAACATTTATAAAAGTCAATCCCGCATTTTTGACTACGAGGTAGCAAACTTCTGGTATTTTGGGTTTATAAGTTGACTACTGAAAAATAACAAATATAGAATTTTTTTAATTAATTGTCGTGGAACGAATATGGTGGACGGAAGGGGAAAAAAATCTTGCAAAAATAAGAAATATCTTTGCGGCTTCTAAATACGTCATGTGTCAAATGATACTAAATACACGGATTCAAGTTATTGTAATTGTTCTTTTAAAAAGTTTTAAATGGGATGAAGATTTATTGTGAGACTGAGCAGATGAAGATGAAGTAGACTCCATTTCAGAGTGGGATCTGTATGTCGATGCTGTTAATATTATTGAATTAGACTCGGAGGATATTCTGGTTTCTTTAAATTTGTAGCTTTATAGTATGTTTTAAAACTTGCCATTGTGTCTTATTTTTTTGAAATGCTCTTGAATAAATTATCTTAAATTTTCTTATTCTTAATTTTTTTCTAGTCTTTATTTAAAATATTTTTAAAAAAAATAATTTGTATATGACTAAAATAATGCGAAACTAAATGCACAAAGAATAGTATATAACGTGTTAAAAATAGTTTTTGAAAGGGTTAAATTGATATAGAATTTTCTATGTCTACCTAATTATTTACAATGCATCGATATTTCACAAATGTCTGATTTTATTACCGGTGTATAAATTAACCCCTCGACTTTCCTGGGTTTGGGGATTTGAAAAGTCAACTTATACACCAGCACCAGGATATACAGTAATTGAAATTTTCTTAGAGCGAGATAGAGCCTTTGATTTTGAGGGTAAGCTGCAATATTTTGCATATGTTTTCTGAAAATCTATGCCAAGTTCATTTTCACATTCAAACTTAAATGTCCAATTATTTTTCCCCACTCTGGGGTGATGTAATGTGGGATTTATTAGAATCTGCTCTTTAGAGAGAAAAGTGGTTATTTTCTTTTAGCTTAAATAAAAAAAGACTTATGTTCTTTAATTTTATATCTGAACTGGTAAAAAACAAAAGAGTTTGGTCAATTTTTTTGTTTGATCAAGGCAAGTGATTTCAATTTCAGTAATTTCCACTTTAATCATGTAACAATTTTGAAAATTTCAAAAAAATATTATTAAAAAATATAATTGATTGCTATGTTTGCAGATGTAGTAAATAATTATTCTTTAACATTTATTGTATTTGCAAAATTTCTCATTTTTCTATCATAGTACAAAACTGTTTTGAAATAATTTTCACATTTTCTTCATAAATTTTTTTAATGTATATTTTATAATGAAAAAACTAAATAAAGATGTTGAATTAGCATAGGAACTGATTAATTTAATTAATAATACTCTTCTTTTTTTGTTTTAATATTTTTTTTTGTTATGAGGGAAATTTCAAAACCTTCTAAAATTTAAATTTATTTAAAGGGAATATCTTGTTGCATTTCTCTGTGCATTGTGTTTATAAATTTGCTTTTGGTAGAATTAAATTATGGTAATATTCTTTCACTGCAAAATAATAAGTTTTATTTCTTTCCTGGCTATAAACTTGTTTAAAATTGATTTTTTGCTGTATTAAGTTAATAATTTTGCCAATATTAAATCAAAGTATGAAAAATTTATTATTTTTATACAGGTCTTTTCCTACCTGATCATGACGAGAAGTTCCAAATTAGAATTTCAGAGTTGAAAGCCACATTATTCAAGCAACTTTCAGACTATGAAAGTGAGGAGAAGGCTTTAAAAGTTATGTTAGAGGCAGAACAGGAAGGTCAGTTAGAAGAGGAAGCATTATGGAGAATTAGGAAGCTGAAAACTGCACAACAAAGGAGACAGAAAAACATAATGGAATCTCTCTTTGGAAACAAAGGTTACAGAGAATTTAAGACATTGTTTTAATTGCAATTAATATTTGTGTTTGAGATATTGATTTATTTGTACAGCTTTTATTTCTTTCCTTGGAATTCACTTAAGGGAGTCCTGAAGTGGGAATCTATTTTTTCCTTCCCCCATGTTAAATTATGAAAAGTTTTATACCATTTCTTTTTATTTTAAATCACCAATAAGTATTTTTTCCCCATTTTATTCATTAAAATATCTATTTTAGAACATAGTTAACAAATTTCAATCTTTAATGTTTTAAGTTTTTTTTTTCTAAAAAAAAAAACTGTCAAACTTTACTAAAGCTATTAAAGAAGAAACTTCAAATATGTTTAAAAACCTTTAAAATTGAAATTTGTTTGTTCTTTAAAATACGTTTTGATTAATAAAATTAAACAAAAAAATATTCAAAAAATTATCATTAGTTAAACTTTTTATTTATACTTGCTTTTATTCATATAAAAATCTAGGATTTTTAGCAAAAAGTAATTGAAATTTAAATGACATATCAACAGGTGCTCAATGTATATATATATATATACATACTCTAGAGGATCTATGTAATGCGATTCCATTAACCACATGAACTTAGTGTGTGTAAACAATGAAAGTTGCAATTAAGAAATTTTGGTTATAAGGCAAGAACTATTAACTTTTGACGTTTTTTTTTAAATATTTGCTAAGATGTTACAAAATTCCAAAAGCTAATCTAAAAAAAAATTCATGAATTTTTTTTGTTATTAGTTGTAATACTCTAGAAAATTACAATTTTTTATGTAAATTACAAATACTTCAGACGCATTTGTGATTTTAAGTATTTGTGTTTAAAAATTTATTTTAATCATTTTGAGATTGATCTGTTCAAGACTAATATTGTCTTGTTTAGTTGATAAATTTAAAGATACATGTAATGATGTATAATTACACGAAATTCTTAAATTTGCAAAATTTTGAGTTTCAAAGTTTGCGTTATAATGTTCCACTGTTTATACACATACTAAAAGTTGACACAATTCTTCTAATTTTTCACTTAGCTTAATTTATCTTCCAAAATGTTATATTTTGGAATATCATGCTTAGTTTAAAATTGAAAAATATTATAAGAATATATCATCTACATTATTGTTTTCTTTGATTAACAAAATTGTTATTGTTTGCTCTGAAATTTAATTTTTATATAAAATAAGCATTATGAAAAACGTTTTATTTGGTTAAAACTATTTAGAAATTATGATTTATATACTGTGCAAAATCTGAAAATTAAATTTAACATTCCTTATGAGTTAAATTTAACATTTCTTGTGAGCATAGAATATTTTTATTCCTTAACTTAATGGGAAACAATCTTCATTTACTAATAAAAAAGTGCGGTTGGATTTTTGAAAGATTTTATTGTAGCATTTGTTTATGAAAAACAAGTAAGGTACAGTAGGATTAAATAAATAAAGAATAATAAACATCCAAAATATTTTTTCATCTTTCCAATGCCCACCTGTTTGACACCTGTCATTCAGGTATCAGTAGGGCATATTTTTTGGCCACTCTTATTAGGTCACTATATAAGGTGGGCCAACGTTGCTCCCACAGTAAGGATAGATTGTTTAGAAAATAAAAGAACATCCTTGCCTTGTTTGAGATTCAAACCCAGAACCTTTCTGATAGGTCAGCCTCAGCTCTCTGATCACTACACAGTCTGGTCGGCTTATTTAAATAATGTTTTATTACATAAGTTTATGCATTGAAAAATACATTTACTAAGACATTTTTGTGATTATATAATGAAAATACTCTGTTACATTTTATTTTTGGAATTAATATTATTATTTTTTTGGTTGTTACCTTTGCTTAATTTTTTAGTCATATAAATGATTTGTTTTGTATAACAATTTATTAACTCTTTTTTTTCTTTTTACAGAAGAGCCGACCGAAGAAGATCCCATATACCTCTTTCACCAGTTTCAGAATTCTGCAAATAAGAGCATAGAAAATCTAGTTCAAATTAGGTTATTAGCAATCATTAATGTTTTCCTTTTATTTCTTTTGTTTTATTAGCACACGTAAGTTATCTTAAATCATCTGCAGTGCACAAAAAAATTGAATACCCTGAAAAACGTTTGATTTAATGGTCAGATTTTTACATATTAGGACTCCATCTTAATGATACACAGGGGTGACCTCAAAAATGTTTATTAATTAGTGCAGACGATATTTCAAGTTACAAAATGAGACACAAAGACATATTTTCTCTGAATAAACACATTTATTTTCGGCAGATTTGGATTTCTGACTCTCAAATATAAGAGGTAGCTGAAATCTGGGAAAAATAGTCCCACTAAACTAAACTCAGTGGCGCACAGCCCATACAGGGCCAAGGCCTACTGTGCCCATCTCAGTTTTCTTGACCTTGGGCTCTGGGGTGCAGGAGCAGATGTTCCGGTCAGATGGTCAGCCGAACGCGGAACCCCCAGTGTTTAGTTCCCAAGCATGCTTGGTACTCATTTATCGACCCACTGAAGGGATGAAAGGCTGAGTCAACCTTGCCCGCCCTGAGGATCGAACCAGGAACCTGTGGCACGACACCGCGAAGCCACTGGGCGTCAACCACTAGTTTGGTCATAAGTGTGGTCGCAAGTTTAAACCCCTTACTGTTAATTTTTGTCTTATCTCGAGAAATTATTAAGCAAATTTTAAAAATTTTCTCTGTTATGAAACTAATTTATCCAAAGATAATTTTATTCTAAACGGATTTTTAATTCTTTATTATTTTATTTAATAATAAAGAATTTTGTAAAAATTTCGAATTGAAGCTATAGAAGTTTTCACATCACTTTAAAGATTGTAATATTATATGGCAAAATACAAAACTTGAATGAAATCGGTCGAATAGTTTCTGAGAAATCAAATTTTTAAAAAGTCACATGCTTAAAATTTGATTTCTCAGGAACTATTCAACCTATTTTGAGGTGATCCCCTTGAGGCAAGTTTGAGACTATGCCCTTGAACCTTTAAGATTGAATCTGAGTATGCGAAATTCCAATCGTTAGATCACAAAATTTATCATGTGTGCTCCATATTCTTTTTGCAATGTACATAATACTATTTTCCCTCTTATCTTTAACCAATGAAATATGTAGTGATAACATTTATGTTTAATAGGTTCGGATAAAAGTTTCAAATGATAACTCAAACATTTGAAGTATTGTTTATTTGAGAAATCTTTCTTCTTTTGGCATTTTTTGATATTTGTGATTTAAATTTTAATGTGTTTTACTTAAGATTTTTAAGCATTTTACGTTATAATGCTTTGTTCTAAAATATCACTTTCATTAAATAACTTAAACTAAACAAATGTGATGTTTTACCAATACAGAAAATAAAAATGTTTTTGGCAAGTTGAAAGATATGTGACTTTAATTCTCTTTAGCTCTTTATATTAATTTCTTACTTTTTATTTATTTATTTCAACAAAATTCTGTTCAGTGCTTTTATATGGCAGATTTAAAATTACTACTTGTTTTATATTTACAGTACATGATCCATTTATTGTCTTTTTGTATTAAATATTAAATTAAGAGATTACATTTCTGTTGCTATTTTTTCTCTCTATAAAACCAAAGGAAAATAAAAGTTTTGTTCTTTCAAATTTCAAAAGAAATTGAATTATTGTTTTGCTTTTCTGAATGATTGTTTTGCATTGGTGAAAATCCCCCCTTTTTTTCACTAATTACCTCAATTTGCTTTGTATAATTAATCACATTATGATCTCATAATATCATGTTGAGAAAAATTCTCTTAGTGTCTGCCATGAGTAGAAGTTTCAACTCTTTACAGAGTACCATGGTGGCTCAGGGGATAAAGCGTTTGCCTCCAAATGAGATGAGCCAGGTTCAAATCCTAACGGTGGCTGGTTGATGCGAATTCTGCTCCTAACTTGCACTGACCACCGTGCTGATGTAAAATATCTGCAATGGTAGATGGATTATTGATTGAAATTCCCTTGGAGAGTTTCAGTGCTTTTCCTCTCCATGTAACACAAATGCAGATTAGTTCCATCGAAAAGTCCACTATGCAAGATAGTTTGCCATGTTGCTGGATCCAGGAGCTCCTTTTTCTTCTGTCTTGGGTTCAAAATTACGAGGCTGCGGAGTTGAATATTAATAGTCTTAAACTCAGAATTGGGTAGGCTGTACAACACTTTACAGTCTCCTCGTTATGCATTCTTCAACTCCAAAAACACTTTAAACGTTATAACTTATTGCCTACACCGAACATGATCTGCCTGATTTTGTAAACTTTCCAAATTAAAATAATGTCGTATAATTAAATTAAATAAAAATAGGATCTTTTTCCAAGGAACTTCAATTTTTATTATAATCTAATGTCTTTATAAGTGTGTCCTTTTTTCTTTCAAGTTTTTCATATTCACCCATAATTTATTTTTAATTTTATCATATTTTGCTCACATATATTTAGGGTTTGTACAGATTCCTTACACTCCTTGGAAATAAAAAGGTCTCCAAGGTGTACTTGGAAAGACTTAGATTTCCAAATTAATCCTTAGAAACTCCTTAGATTATTGTGTTGCATAGATGAACTTACTAAGTCCGCTGATGAATTTGTTGTCCATGCAGGGAAGTGAAATGATATGACTTAGCTGTCAAAATCTAATAGTTTAAGAAAAACTTTAAAAAGAAAAAAAAATTTAATTGCAAGAGTTGGAAGAAAAAAATAACAGCAAATAATTTTAATTTTACATGTTACAAGCAAACTTAATTGATGATTTACTGTGATTTTTTTTATATAATTTTTTTTTAAATATATAAAATGCATTAGATTTTCTTATGACGCCCGGTGGGTGAGCGGTAGCGCTTCGCGCTGCTGTGCCACAGGTCCCTGGTTCGATCCCCGGGCCGGGCAAGGCTGACTCAGCTTTTCATACCTTCAGTGGGTCGATAAATGAGTACCAAGCATGCTTGGGAACTAAACACTGGGGGTTCCGCGTTCGGCTGACCACCTGACTGGAACATCTGCTCCTACACCCCAGAGCCCAAGGTCAAGAAAACTGAGATAGGCGCAGTAGGCCTTGGCCCTCTTTCGGCTGTCGTGCCGCTGAGTTTAGCTTTAGATTTTCTTATGAATTCAAATTTAAAAATATAAGATTGGTAGATTTTTATGTTAATCTTTAACATCTGTACTGTGTACTTTACCAAGATTTATTAAATTATTTGAAGCTGGAAAGAATATTTATGTGTGAAAGTGATAACTTTATTTATTTTTCTTGATGAAGTTTGACAAAGTCAAAATTTATTTCAAAAGGACTAGAAAAAAATATCTTATGCAAAATATTTTGGCAAGTTCTTTATAGTAATTGCTCTTTGATTAACAAAAAAAAAGAAGAAGAAAAAAACATCTTTTATGCAAAGTTTTTAAATTTTGGACTCCTTGCATACTCCTCGGATTTCTTCTTCTGACCTCTGTATGAACCCTGCATATATTCATAATTTTAAGTTTGCAAATATTTCTATCATAATTGTATTCCTTTTCATACTGTTTTCAAGTGTTTCATACCTTATTTTATTTACAGGCATCAGTGGGACTTACATCTTAGTGAAGATGGGGAAACTGTCCCCTCTCTGTGGGTAGTACCTGTTCCACCTGGCAGTGCAGCTTGGGAGGTTAGTTTTTTTTAAACTTTTTTTAGTCATTGAAAATGTTTGAAAATAATCTCTCAGCTGAAAATTTCCTCTTATGCACTTATCAAAATGTATGCAATTTAATCATGAACAGATTGATAAACTAATAGATTAATTAAACTAATAGAGTGACAAAGTGTTGTATTTATTAATTATGGTTAATATTTTGATTGTATAGATTTAAACTTAATTTACAACATAAAGGAAAGAAAAGATAAGTTGAGATTAATTTAATCTACCAAGTGAAAACTAGGATATTTAAGCTAAATAAAGATTTAACCTAAATAAAGATAACCTATGAGAAATATTAATTTTATAAAGAATTAATTAACAAAAGTTAATTCAGGCTAAAATCGATATTATCGATTATCTTCGTCTATATTATTACTGTTACTAAGTTTATTAATTGATAAAAAAGGATTTGGATTGCATGGTTTTGACAATCTAGTGAAAAGGTTTATGCACCTGGCAATTACCGAATAATCAAAACATGCATAATTTAAACATAATATAATTAAAAAACAAGGCACTTATGTGGTAAATTTGAGGGGTAAAAGAAATATTATATTTAAGAAAGATATGTATCCATTTCTGATATAGAAAATTTGATATGCACTATTTTTATACGCATATATAGAAAATTTGAAATGCACTCAAGCTTTCCTTCTTAAGGAAAACAATAAGTTTTCGACATATGAAACATAGAGCTGTTTTTTTTCTTCCTTTCTGTAAATTAGTGTGAATAATGAAAATTTTCCATTGTCTTGGAGGGCTTTTGCAAATGTTGGCAATGATTGTGGTTTTGTCCAATCTTCTTCATAATCTCTCTTCATAAATTCAAACTTGTCTGCAATCCTAACGCCATCAGACAGAGGCTATTATTTAAAAATTTGCGCTTAATCTAAAAAATTAACCCATCATAGGTAAAATAAATGTACCTAATTTTGAAAATCAGCATATGTAAGGTAGATAAAATACTAATGCAAAAAATTCTGCAAAATGCTGTTATTATATACAGTCTATAAACAAGTTTTAATATTTTTATATTCTTATAATTAAATGGGAATAATTTGAGATTTAAAAAATAAAAATAATCATATGGAGTCATTGAACAAGTTTAATATTTTTATGCACTTCTAATTGAATGGGAATAATTTGAGATTTAAAAAATGAAAATGATCTTATACAGTCTATAAACAAGTTTAATATTTTTATGCGCTTATAATTGAATGGGAATAATTTGAGATTTGAAAAATAAAAATAATGCAAGCAATTTGCACTTTTCAGAAATTAAGAATTTGTTTTCTAAATATTTCTTGCCTTTTAAATTATTATTTTTTTAAAAAAAATTTACTATTGAATAAGGAGCATTATTTGGAATTTTAAGAATAATCACTTTTCTTTAGCTTATATATCTGCAGATTGGCAAACAGTTTTTGTTAAGTAACTAAAGCAAACTGTAATTGAATAAATCCAGAACTAAATTTTTTTTCTGTTTCTTCTTTTAATAATTTTTAAGTTTGCTTTTTTTTAAAAAAATCTTAGAATGAAAAATAATTTGCTGATGTTGAGATAATTTTTAAAAGAATCTGATTCAAAAAGTAATCTGCAAATCCTGTGATAATTTTTTTAAAATCAGATTTTATAAATAATCTGACAATTTTTGTTAAGAAACTGAACCAAACAACAATAATTGAATACATTCAAAATTAGTTTTCTGTTTATCCTCTTTGTAATTTTTAAGCTCGCTTTTTTTAAATATGATAGGAAAAATAATCTGCAGATTTTAAGATATTTTTTTAAAAATCTTATTCAAGAAATAATCTGCAGATGCTGTGATATGTTTTTTTTTTTAATATGAGATTACATAAATAATCAGCAGATGCTGTGATATATGTTTTTTTTTTAAATATGAGATTTCATAAATAATCTGCAGATGCTGTGATATGTTTTTTTTTAATATGAGATAACATAAATAATCTGCAGATGCTGTGATATATGTTTTTTTTTTGAAATATGAGATTTCATAAATAATCTGCAGATGCTGTGATATGTTTTTTTTTATATGATATTTCATAAATAATCTGCAGATGTTGTGCTGGAAGGTTTCTGCCACAGAGGTGATAACTAACCTGTCTGCGTTGCAGTTCACTAGCACAATTTATAAAAATGTAGAGAAATACTTTATTGTATATTTTTTTTAACTTTAACTGATAGAAGTATTTTTGTTAATTTTCAGGTTGCACTAGAAAGTTGAAATGTGGGAAAGGTGTTCTCATTTTCTTCACATTTAAATAATGCTTTTTCCCATTTGTGGAATGACTCAAAGTATAATTCATCCATTAAACTTTAGATGAAATTTTGTCTAAACAAGAATTACAAGTAGTCTAAAATGACTAGATGTTTCAATACCATCTGAAATGTTTCTGTGATATTATGGGAAGCAGTTCTATCATTTTTGTAAATAATATACATTTCTTACAATATTATACTTATTAGCAAGTTTTAATTTGTTAATAATGCAATTAATTATGATGAATGAATTTCATCAGCGCTTTAATTATTTTTGTCGTATAAACTCTTCGCAGTGCTCGAAAAAACTCAGAAATTTTACCCGTCCACCTTTGAAACTAACCCGTAGCTTCTAAATAAATAAAAATATAATTTTCTCTTATTTATTACTAACATTTATATAAATTGCACAATTAGTAGTTACTAGGATTACATTATACTGTAATAAAAGAAATACTAGGTTACTAATAGTAACCTAGTATTTATTTTATGAAATAATTTAAATGACAAGGGTCAAGTTATCTGGAATGTCAATTTATCCGAGGGTGCTGCGTTTTTTAAATGAATCAAATATGACGTTTTCCTGTTCCACAATCAAGCCAATGATTTAAAGAGGTTTCTGCACAAAAATCTGAAAGGGGTTTACCATTTAGGTAGATGTTCATAATTGCGTTTAACGCTTCTTGTTTAAGACCAGTACGTAATGTGTTTTTTTGTAAGTTCATTGCTGAAAAACCCCTTTCAACCGCTGCAGTACTCCCAGACAGAGAAAACATCAATATATGCGCAGTATGTTGCTGTATTGTGGGTCATTTTGCTGCCTTGTAACTTACAAGGCTCTTGTAAGATAACAAAAATTGAAAATGTATCACGAACATTAACGGGAAAATGGCTGTCCGCGCGGACGTCGGATTCGAGGAATTCGTTGTCCACGGGGAATTTTTGACAGCCAAGGACAGGCGGTTTTTCGAGCACTGACTCTTTGTTTAGTTGAAATACTGAAAAAAAAAATTTAGTTTTGTGTAAAATTTTATTAGTTATAAACAGCTATGTTTTTATTCCTCTGAGCATGTTTCATAAATGCACAGGATGTATTTTTGACATTTTGTAAATATTGTTCAGAGTTAACCAGACAATGAAATTTCTATATTTGAAATAAAGTTGCATTTTATATACTTCTCTTGCCATTTTCTTATATAATGTGTAGTTCTTTTTTTTTTACTTTTTGATTGTGTGACACATTTTTATATAATTTAACTTTGAAATTATATAAAAATATTCTCTTTTAAAAAACACTTTTTATACCCTTTAACTCTGGAAAATATATTTGGAGAAAGAAAACCTAAGTTTTTTTTTGTTTAGACATTTCAAAAAAAGGAAATTTATTATTTTAATTTATAGTTAGGTGAAAAATATATTGGTGGTTTTCTAACAATTTACTTAACGCAGTTTTTTTAAAATTTTCTAACTTATTTGAAAAAATTAACAAAATTCAATATATTTTTTTTATTAAAATTGAAACTGGGTTTAAAAAATCAATTATTATTTTTCAAAATATGATAGCCTTTTGTTATAGTGTGCTCATTGTGGAGAACAAAAATAATTGAAAAATTGAACAAAAGTTATATCTTCAATGTCAGTACTCACAACCGTTTGCTAGTGGTCCTCAATCCCTATTTCTACCCCTAAAAAACCGTGATTTATTGTTCAGTTAATAGATACTATCCATTATTATTATACAGAATAATATCTATTTCTTTAAACTGAGTTAATTATCATTTTTCTTCAAAGATACTCCAATAATATATTAACAATTTTATATATATTGAATACCTTGAACTATATATATATATAAACAAAACTTTTCCAAGTTGCAGCACTATAGTTCTAGTGTGCTTGATTACAGTATACTATCTACTCTCTAAATATAATAAGTGTTTTTGTGTATAGGACAGTATTTCCCAAAGTGTGGTACGCGTACCCCCAGGGGTACGAGAACAGTTTAGATGGGGTATGCGTTCTTATGCGAAATATCTTGAAACAAAAAATTTTTTTTAAAAAATCAAAGCTATCCATGAAAATGTACGATTACGTATTTTTCTATTGGTTATTTTTTGCAGAGCTAACAATTAATAATTAGTGGTGTCAACAGCCAGTTGTGATTTTTAACTTTTGAGCAATTTTTTTATAGTAAAAAATACATCCATTATTTTATTAGTGGTACACAGCGTTAAGAAAAATTTAGAAAGTGTCACAAAAGTCATACGTTTGGGAAAGACTGGTATAGGACAATGATAAAGAATCTATGTTGGTTGGTTGGTTCTAATGCCACTTGCCACACTGGCAAGCCTGCTTGGTGAAACCGAGCAAATTTAAAGTAGAGTGTGCATTTCTTGTTTTCAGTGGCGCCATCTATGGCCAAGAATAGAATCTATGTGAGTAAGTAAAAAAAATATAAGTGCATCTAATACAACTCATAATAAGACAAGGAGGCTGTGCCACCTACTCGCCAACCTCTGTACTTGATTCTCGTTCATCATTGTTTACGTCTTAAATGTGAATATTTTACACAAAAATGCAGAACATGTTGGTTTCAAAATGTACAATTATTGAAGCTTTATGTGAGAACAATTTGTTAATCATAACGAAATAGCCGATTACCTAGAATTTGAAAAATAATCGCCATTTGTACTGACGAAAGATTTAACCTAAAGTATACACATTGAGAGATTCAATAAGAAGAAGTAAATGAGAAGTAGTTTTACTCTTTGAAGAGACTTATAACAATTCAAGTAGGGAACTATTTTTACCCGGTAAAAGCAGTTCAAATAGGGAGCTGTTTTTACCATTATTCATTGAGGTTTTTTTCCCCTTCAAATATTTTACTATGAATGTTAAGATTTACGTATGGCAACATGTATTCTCTCACTCTTTAATATATATATATATTTGCTCGTGCACGAGCTTTATAAACTAAAGAAATAAAGATCTTGAGAGGGAAAAATAAATTTTCTACAACATTAAAAAAATAGGGCCGGGATAGCCTGGTTGGTAGGGCGCTGTGCCCATGTCCGAGAGTTCGTGGATTCGAACTCCGCCGGCCAAAGACTCCCCGTGTAGTTAGTTGATGACTGATGCACGTTAAAATTCTGTTGAGCCGCAAAGTTCTCCATGTTCCCATAACAAATCAAAACCTATGGGGGTACTGGATTGGAGATCGATCTTTCTCTGATTTAGGTCAAAAATTACGATCTGTGGCTGTATGAATGGATCCGCCTTATAAACAGGTGTGTATTCTTGGCTATGGATGGCACCACTGAAAAACAAGAATCACACGCTCTGCCTTAAATTGCTCGATTTCACCAAGCAGGCTTGTCCGTGTGGCAAGTGGCATTAGAACCAACCAAATAAATAGTCAATATTTAAAGAAAAAAAAAAGCTGAAAGAAATCTCGAAAGAGTACTTAAATGTGCAATAACTTTCAAACAAATAAGAATTTCCGAAAAAAAAACCCGTGAAACAAATTGGTTCTATCTGGACGTTGAATTTCAACTCTGTAGTTACTTTTAAGTGGACAGTAGATCGCCCAACATATATATATTTTTTAAAAATTTTTTATTACAAGCTTAATAGTTAGTAATTCGCGAAACTAATTATCGAATCGTATTTTCGAATTGTATTTTATTCCATCGAATTCCTTGCCCATTGTTCTACATACCTTCGTAATTTCAAGTTTCTAATTCTTGAAGATTTTGAGCAGCAAAGCAAAATGTAATATAAGTGAAAAAAAATCGCAAAAAAAGCACTTTAAATTACAATAAATTTCAAATTAATATAGGACACTTAAAAAGAGAACTCTGTTTTAACTCTGTAAAAAAGAGAACTCTGTTTTAAGTTCATAAGCAAATGTGGCTCTTTTAGCATACCTAATTTCACCTCTGTAGTTGCATTCCTGAGGCCGGTATGGCATTTTTTACAACAACTTTAACAGTTTATAATTCTCGAATAAATTATTAAATGTTAATTTTTTTTATTTCACCGCAATCTCTCTACACTTTGCTACTCATGTCAGCAATTTCAAGTTTCTAGGTTCTATAGTTTTTGTGCAGCAAAACAATAGCTTTATGTTACCCAAAACAGCGACAGACAGCTCTTATAATTTTTTAATATAGAGAGAGACAATAATAATACTAGAAAAAATATAGGGAATTTACCATGCATATTCGAAAGGAATTGTGAATTTTAGTGAGATGAGTGAGCTTGCTACTTATTGCATAACTTTTCAAATCATGGATGCTTTATTGTAAAATTCAAAGTTAAGAGAAGAGTGAGATCAGGTAAACTTAGATTAAACCATGAAGTTTGAAATGTCGAAAAAATGTTTTCAAAATATTAAAATGCAAGCAAATTATTAGGAAATGCATTGCGTAATCCTAAGCCCAAAATTTGTTTGCATTTTTTTTTAAATTTTGAAAAAGCCGATAGTCCTGTGTAGGGGTCAGAATGGTTCTTGGTTCGAATCCCGAGCAAGTTATGGAAGTTCTTTCATTCTCTATACTATCTGTCCTTACTGTAGGAGCAACGTTGGCCCAACTAATATGGTGCCCCTGAAAGAGTGACCAACAAATCTGCCCTTCAGATAACTGTATGACGAAAGGTCATTCTCCAGGTGAGCATTGGAAAAAAAATATTTTGAAATTTTTTTTTTCAGCATTTGAAATTTCGTGGTGTACTCTAGAGCAATCTGAACTCCCTTTTTTCTTAAATTCGGTTGGAGGTGGAAATGAACTATGAAAAAAATTTGTTTTTCGCACTTCCCTCTCGAGTGCACTATGTAAAATTTTTTTTTAAAAACAATTTTTAGGATTGATGTTAAAAAAATTGCTCCTTGCAATTACTGTCCGAATTTCAAGTCCCTAGTTACAGCGTTCTGACTTATAAGATACTCAAACGCACAAACTTTCATTTATTATTTCAGATATTGCTTTTTTTAATGACCCTTAAATTTAAGGCTGTGGGAAGCATAATTTACATCAGAGCACCATTGCATTCAAGCTAAGCTCCGGTCAAAACAAACAAAATAAATATTAATATAATTACCTAAAACCTTCATGAATTCTTTTTTAGTTTGGAACTCTGTATGCAATGTCGTTTATTATTATCGGTTTTTAAGACTGCTCAAGAATTTGTTTGCTAAAACAATGAGTTTGTTTCGCCATGAACGAATCTGAAAAACCAGCTGAATCTGAAAAACAAAATGACGAAGAAGTCAATAATGATTATGCTAGAGATTCGATGATGTCGGAGTCCGTACAGTTATTAGCTAACGAAGAAAAAAATGATTCTGAGGATGATGAATCTAAACAGTTATTAGTTAATGAAGAAGGAAATGACGAAGAATCTTCGAAATTCCAATCTGACGAAAAAGTCAAAGATGATGGTAGATTGCCAGTAAAAGATGCTAGAGATGATGATGATGCTAGAGATTCGATGATGTCGGATTCCGTGCAGTTATTAGCTAACGAAGAAGAAAATGATGCTGAGGAGGAAGAGGATGAATCTAAGCAGTTATTAGTTAATGAAGAAGGAAATGACGAAGAATCTTCTAAATTCCAATCTGACGAAAAAGTCAAAGATGATGGTGGATTGTCAGAAAAAGATAAAACGCATGATCCACATTACATTTCGTTCAAAAATGAAAGAAAAATTCTCACCAAGCAAGAAGAAGCGCTTGAAGCGTTAAAAGATATTGAAAATGAAATACAAAGCCAATTTGGCGTGCATCCTTGCGAGAGTTGTGAATTTCTTGATCCTTTTAAAGAACTAAAAATTACTCTTTGCTGTGGCTTATGTACTCGAACATTTTCTCGATTTGGTGACATTCGAGAATTATGGATTGTGTCTGCTCCTGGAAATGAAACACCACATGATACTTTTCTTAAACTCATCGCCGTTACACAGGATAAGCGGTTATCAAAGAATTATAAGTTCCATATTCCCGATCTGAAGATAGGAACAATGGATGAACTCATTAAACTGATAGAAGAATTGTTTAACGGTGATAAATTTGGCGAAGAAACGTTGCAAAGTTTTATGAGATGCATGACCACAATTGTTGGTAGCAAACGCGGGGCGATGAAACATTTATTAGTAAATCAATTGGATTTGGCTACCTATTTAACAAGGTTTACATGGAATGGCGACAAATATCCTGTAGACCAATCTTTGAGAGACACATTTATAACGTTGTCGAAGATTGTGAGACAAACAGCTGCGGGCTTGAAAGCCAGAGATAACGAAGTGAGCTATATTGTAAAAATATTCGAGAAAATAAAACGAGATCGCGAATCAAGTCTTCTTACAAGACCTCTTGATAAATTCGTGAAAAAGAAAGACTTGGTAACTGGATCTACATACTTTATAACATTGCTGGTCGTCGTTGCAAAAGAGCAAGTGCAAAATTGGCTACAAACATATGAAACTCTAACAGAATGGGTTGTGCCCCAATCAAGCAAGAAGTTATTTTCTGATGAATCTTATTCTCTGTTTACTGTTGTCGTAATCAAGAAATTCGCTAATGATTTTGAATCAGCCGCTCGAGATAAAAAATTTAATGTTCGGCGCTTCAATGTCTCCCATGACGCAGATGAAGAGCTCGAGGATATATATATGAGAAAACTTAAACAAGTTAAGAAAGCTATTTTTGGTGCTTCGTATAGATGGGTGAAAACGAATTTTAGCGAATGCTTTGTAGCGTGGATTCACATTAAAGCTTTGAGGGTATTTACTGAGTCTGCTTTAAGATATGGCATACCTGTCAACTTTCAGGCTACACTAATGATACCCATTCATTCAAAAAAAGCCAAATTAGCAATTGATGGTCTGTATGTAGACCTCGAAGCTTACCGTGATTCTGAAATTTTGCAAGAGGAGATACCTGGTGTATTGAATCGATATGGAGTGAGTCAATATTTGCCTTACGTATTTGTGACAATAAACACTGACTTTTTAGGGGCAAAAGATGATTTATAAACACTAAATGAGAATAATTTGTATTTGATATTTACTAGTGATTTTTATTGTTCAAAGCTTCTGATGAAAGAGTAGACTAAAATTGATTACTATTAATAAATTTATTCTATAAATTTATTTTACCTTCTGATTTTTAAAGCTATTAATGTTGCACTTTTCAGAAATAAACTTTTGACTGATATTGCTATTTTAAAATAGAGTAGTATTATTCTTATTATTAAAAAATGTGCATTTATGAAAGAGTGGTTATGTTTATATTTAAATAAAGTTAATATTAGTTTCTTAAAGCTATTACTTTTTAATTGTTATAACGATGTCACGTGTATATTTTTATTTCATTAATAAATTTAAAACTCTTTGTTTCATTCTATAAAAACATTTACTCAGATGAAAATGTCATGAATTTTGTGAATAATTACTAATAATGAAGTAATTGCAAAAAAAAAAAACGTTATATTTTTATTTCATTTTTTTTTTTAAATCTGACAAATCTCGAGATTTACCACTTAAATAGTTAGTATCATATTTTTATTTTTTCGGTTATAGCACCACCTGTTGAGCGAAATACATTAACTTTTAACTCAAATAGGGTTACTTTTTTCTGGAGAATGCGAATCTGAAATAAAAAAATAGGGGTATGTTTAAGATTTTAAAGTGGGTCCCACCCCACCCCTAGGAGGATAAAAGATCCGATTTGGTATCATTAAATAGCTTTTTAAAAACAATGAATGTGTCTAGTTTGACTTTTTCTATCGGATGTATATTTAACAAGATATTTGACCGTTTCCAAACTTTTTTTACACCTTGTACACATAATAAGTTGCTACAGCTATAAAATGTAACTAGATAACTCTACGACAAACCGTATGGAGATGTTGAAATCAGGCAACTTTCAAAATAAAACATTAGTTTAAAACACAATTTTTTTCAACCAAAATTTTAGTTGTCTAGCATATGTACACGTTTTATTTTAACTACTTTGTCCTGAATTTTTAACATTAATATTTACTAAAAACTTAAGTTAATTCAGCCGTCACTTTGAGAGTCACTTCCGGAGTTACATGTTTAAAAAAAAGTGACATTTCGTACATACTTTCGAATTAATCATACGAAGGGGTGAACAAAAAAATTTTAAATCAGATTTACTTAACCAAGAATCGAAACATAAATTCTACTACCACTAGTAAAATATTACAGAAGAAGCGGAGTAAATTGACACCCCAAGGTAACCAAATTCCAGAAAAATTTTAAAATTTTTATAAGAATATCGAAGCAATTAAATATTTTAAATTAATTACTATCGACAAAAAATATTTGTAAATTTAAAAAAAAATGTGTTGCAGATAATCTACTAAAATCCTAATATTGATATGATATTAAAGCCTATAAAATTTATGACAACTTAATTAAACATTTGTCACTATTTTTTTAAATTTTTCCAGTATTTGACATCCTGCATACCATTTAAAGTTTTTATTCACCGTTTCGTTCTAAATGTGCATTAATCTGCACCGCTTTTTTTTAAAACTCTGTTTTTGATTAATTGTTCATTAAAATTCACAAGAGTACGTAGAATCTAATGCTCATTATAACCATTTGGATTATTACCCAAGATTTTGTTTTTGTATTTAATATGGTAGCAATTTTTCCCCCTTCGTGCTTGATTCCTGTTTTTAAAAAAATTTGATTAAATGTAATTTTACTTACAATTATATTTAAATAGTTTATATTTAATGTTTTTGATTAATTGTTCATTCAAAATCACAAGAATACGTAGAATTGAATGCTCGTTATAATCATTTGGATTATTACCGAAGATTTTGTTTTTGTATTTAATGTGGTAGAACTTTTTTTTCCCCTTCGTACTTGATTCCTGTTTTTAAAAAAATCTTATAAAATGTAATTTTACTTACAATTATATTTAAATAGTTTATATTTAATGTTTTTGATTAATTGTTCATTCAAAATCACAAGAATACGTAGAATTGAATGCTCGTTATAACCATTTGGATTACTACCGAAGATTTTGTTTTTGTATTTAATGTGGTAGAACTTTTTTTTCCCCTTCGTGCTTGATTCCTGTTTTTAAAAAAATCTTTTTAAATGTAATTTTACTTACAATTATATTTAAATAATTTATATTTAATGTTTTTGATTAATTGTTCATTCAAAATCACAAGAATACGTAGAATTGAATGCTCGTTATAACCATTTGGATTATTACCGAAGATTTTGTTTTTGTATTTAATGTGGTAGAACTTTTTTTCCCCTTCGTGCTTAATTCCTATTTTTAAAAAAAATTTGATTAAATTTAATTTTACTTACCATTATATTTAAATAGTTTAAACATACTTAAAGAAGATTGTCTAGTTATATTATTGTTTAAGTGGTAGTGAAAAATGAATTAAGTATATATTTACAGTTAATATGCTTCAAGCCCTCAAAAACAGGCACCCATTTTCAAGACTTTCTAGACGTCAATGAGAAGAAACAAAAGTTATTTGAAATGTAAAACGAAAAGTTGCCAACGAAAAATTTAAAAATAAAGGTGAGAAACAGAAGTGAAAAAAAAAAAAAAAAAACACTGTATCGGAAGAGAAAAAAGAAATTTTTTCGACTATTATTTCCTTTTTGCATATTTTTGAAGCGAATGATATTTTTAATTTAATCAGGTAAATATCTCATCGCTTTAGTTTCTTGGGATTATTTAAGTAATATATTTACTGTACCACCTTAATAAACATATCATTACAACTTTTTTGAAGAGCGATGTTTCTTTATTATTTTCATCAATGATGCTATTTCGAAAGAGTGTCATGAAACATTCCATGCATTCAATTTAATTGTGCATAACCAGCTCACAAAAACCCACTTTCCGCTGTCAAAATTCTGACGAAGTATTTCAAAACTTAACTGCCCAAGAATAAAGACCGTTTACATTCACTGAAATCTATTAAGTCAGCATTAAATTTATTGTTTTTTAAAATCACTGGACACGAGCGAAAATGGGGATTAGGATGTTGCAAAACAACTTTTTCATATCGCTGCCATCAAAGGTGAAACTGATAACTAGCTTTCGACTTTTTTATCTTTTAGTCTTTCGGCAATTTGTCGCTAAGTTAAGAGGCGCGTGAAAAGATGGCTCTAAATTTGGTGTGTTTGTTTATCTTATGTTTTGTTTGTGCCAATGCCCAGTATGGTGGATTTTTGTCACCCCCAAGAAGTGGACCCAAGAAAGCGACTTGTGTGGTAAACAACACTGAAGTGCAAGGCGTTATTACTTTATTTCAAGGGGTAAGTGATGTACTTTTAAATTCATATAGATCAGAATATAGTTTTAATAAACATATGGCGAAATTTTAATATCATATTCAGAATATACTTTTGAATAAAAAAAATTCCTAAATTTTAGAATACAATTTTAAAAACCATATTCTAAATATTTCGAATTGTATTTAGAATATGGTCTTGAAGATAATATTGAGAACACCCGTTTTAGATAGAACTCATAAATGGTAGATATCTAATTTTAAAAATCATATTCTGCAATTTTAACACCATATTCAGAATATGGTTTTCAAGATAGTAAACAGAATATAGTTTTTGTTACATTTCATATGCGTCAGAGCCTAATTTTAAAAACTGTATTCTGAAATTTTAAGATTATGTTCAGAGTATGGTTTTTAAGATTATATTTAGAACTTGGTATTTTGATTGGATTCCTAAATGAATGTCAGAATATATATTTAAAATCCATTATTTTAAACTTTAAATTCATGTTTAGAATAGGGTTTTTAAAATAACATTCTAAAATTTGTAATACGTGTATTAGTTAATTCCAAATTATGAAACAAATTTTGAAGAAAAGAAAATTTTTAAATTCATATTTTAAACATTGCTTAAAACATATTCCGAAATACATATTCCGTACATTGATTACTGACTAAAATTTGTATCGTGTAGAGTTATAATTTCCAGACGGATACGATTTTGTAAATTTGTTGCAGAAATAAGCTTTTCAATTGAATAGCCCAGCTGGTAGACCAGCCAACTGCTTCCTATACCAGAGCTGGTAATTTTAGTTTTACTCGGAGGATTGTATTGGTCAGCTTTAACATCCAAAAAATATTTTCTTTAATTTATAATTATAATTTTTTTCCTTTTTTTGGAATATAGGAATCATTTAAAATAGTTTGTTTCCTTGAAGTATTCGTCCCACAGTGGTCTGATCTTTACGTTTTCCAGTAGATCACCGAAGTCAAACATTACTGGCTACAGTCAGTGTGCGGATGATTGACCACTTTGATCACCATGCAAAGAGACCGATGGTGTGCGGTATTGGTCCTAGTTAAATTGTTCTACCGTGATGTGCTCGATTTCGCGCTACCGGGACAGGGGACCATCTCCTCTGCAGATGATCAAAATTGAGATGGTTGATCATCCTCAGGGATGTTTCCCTGACCGTTGCTAAAAACCCATTGTAGCCCATGTAGCTCTTGTGTGACGTAAACCAAAAACAACAACAAGAACCTTGAAGTATTCTATGAAGTATGTTAAGATAGAAAAGCAGGGATATCGAGTTGTTAAAATGTACAGTGAGCAAAAAGGAAAAAAAAAAGGACTAACTTGAATAACTTTTGATTTTATGATCGGATCTTCACGATCTAGGGCTCAACCTTAATGGTTCAAAAGGGTGACCTCAAATATGCTAATTAAATAACGCAGACGATATTTTAAGTTAAATAAAGAATGTACAAAATCGTGCTTTTTCTGAAACCATTTTTTTCCGAAGGATTCAAGTATAGGGAGTGGTAGCAGTTTGGGGAACATGGTCCTAATAAATTGATGAGACTTGTTCGAAAAATGAAGCATCTTAATGCTAATTTTACGTTTTGTGTTTTTCGACATTGCTCAGGAACTTTTTAAATAGTTCGAAAGATGTTAGCGAACAATTATGAAATTCGTTTATCGAAAGATAATTTCGTGAAAAAAATTTTTTTAGTAAATATTATCATTTTTTATTATTTAACTTATTAATAGTCAAAAAATTTTTAAATTTTAAGGAATATAATTTTACACGTCATTTTCAAGAATATATAAGAAGTTTGGGTGAATAGTCTCTAGTAAACTAAATTTTCAAAAATTTGAAAGTTTAAAATACTATTTCTAAGGAACTATTTGACTGATTTAACTCAAAAATTGTAATTTGCGATGGATGTAAAATTTCATTCCTTAAAATACTATGAAAAGTGAATACTTTACAGTTGACAATTTTTTTGGAGATTATTAAGTAAAGTAATAAATAATTACTAAATGTGTGTGTGTGTGCTATTCTTTGCATGGAATTATTTTTGGATAAATGAATTTTATATCTGTGTGCAAAAATTTTTTCAATTCGCTTAAAAAAGTTCTCGGTGAAATACGCAAAAAAGTAAAATTAACAATAAGGAGTCCAAAGTTTGTACCACTTTCCTGACTGAACTATTGGGACCATATTTCCCAGATTGCGCCTCCCCTCCATATTTTGGGGATCAGAAATGCGAGTCATAAAGGTATGTTGATTCAGAGAAAGTACGTTTGTGTGTTTGATTTCATGTCTTAAAATATCGTCTGCACTAATTAATTAGTATATTTGAATCCACCTTCTCGAACTATTAATATTGAGTCCTAAAACGTGAAGATACGATCATTAGATCAAAAGTTAATCAAGGTAGTCCGTTTATTTTTCCGCACTGTACGTATACATTAATTTTTTATCGTTTTCTGTTTTTCTTCGAGAAAATGTCTTTAAGATTACATCTAACTAAATATGCAGAATTATTTATTCAAAGTTTTACTAAACGGATGTGGCAATTTATGAATATTATATCCAATAGTGCAGCACAACTGAGATTTTATGGCAAACCTATGGCAAATTTAAGGGGCATTTTTGTGTTATTTTGTTTTAAAGGTTTACAGAATTATCTTCTTTATAAAGTAAGTGCAAAGAGTTAACGTTTATCTTCATTAGTTTAACGTTTATCTATCCGGTATTTATTAAAAAAGAATAAATTTTTTATTCGTGTATTAATTTGTGCAGAAAGTTAATTAATTTGAATTTAGTATGGTTTGTATGAGGCAGGGCTCAAATAATTACAAGAAAAATTTATATAGCAATGGATGATCTGCAAAAGGATTTATAATAGAGGTAATATTTAATTTGTTTTAAATGGTTGTCTTAAATAAACTGTTATTTTTTTTAAAAAATAAGTTCAACGGCATTTATTAAGTAAGAATAAATTTTTATTCATATATTAATTAGTGGAGAAAGTGAATTCACCAATTTGTTTAATATTTTTTACTGAAGCATTTTTATAGGTATAATTATTTTTTTAAAAATCTAAAATTGTAATTAACAGAAAAAGACAGCGTTTTCTATAGGTGTTTTATCACTAATAAGCTAATTATCACTTTATTAGTAGGAGTACTTTTTTTGCATCACTCTAGAATGAAAATTTGGGCGCGAATGGGTTAACCTAATTAAAAGTGGTTAAAATAAGAAAAAAAGGAAATAAATTTAATGAATCATAAATTTATCACTATTTTTCCTTGGAGGACTATATGCACCCTGTGTTAAAAGCGGAACTAAAAACGGTTCATCGCATTTACTTGAGTTATGTTTATTAAAATGTTTCAGAGTGTCTATCTAAACATGTCAACTAAAAGAAAGAAAAAAAATTTTTTAAACGCGTTTGAATTTTCCACAGCAATTTTTATTGACAGTATTTTTTTTTATAAGCTTAACTTATGTCTGCGTCCATTTAACACCAGTTTAGTTTAAATTTTAGTTAATAATTTCGTTTATTCATTAATTTGCCCATTCAATGATCAGTTGATTCACCAATACTCCGATTCACAGCCTGATTCCCTTATTCACTGATTCACCAATACTCTCACTTTCGTTTCTTTTCTTCACTTATTCTTTCGATTCGTAACGGTTGCTCTCATAGCAAAGCATTTTTTGTAAAAATATTTAAAACAATCGCCATGAAATGATAATAGCTAAAGTCGTCATTTACTTTTCTCTGATTTAACATAGGTTTATAAAACTGTGAAATATGTAATTTTATGTTGTTCTTTTTTTATATTTTCGTGTATTTTTTCAGAATCTACAAGAAAACTCTACATTTAAATGTTCCATTAGAAATAAGTTTAAATTATCCTTTAAAGTTTTTACAATTTTTAATCTATTGCTGTAGAATTATTCGTAACCGCATGAAGTGTTATTATATAATTTTTTTAAAGTAATTTAATTTGAGAACCAAAACCCATATTTTTCTGAGAATGATTCCACAAATGGCATCGTTTTCTGATTTTTAATTTTAAACTTTTGTTGATGAACAAATTAAAACGTATTAAGGCGTTCGCAAATTGTTTTACCGCAGTATTAATTTTAACATACTGAACATTTAAATTCAAGACAAAAATGAGAATTTCCTATTTTTAATATTGAAAGAAAACAAAGCTTGTTTGCAAGCAAAGAAGCTTTTAATCTATTTAAAGGAAATGGAGAAAAAAAGAAGAGAAATTAAGAAAAAGCTTACATTTCCTTAAAAAGAAGTCCAGGTAATTAGTCTAGAAAACAGGGAAACGAGCACAAAATTTAAATAAAGACATTCGCGTTCCTTTCTTTCGTTTTTTCTTTTTCAGTTTAGTAGACATTATTTTATTTATTTAATTTCGATCATGTTCAAAACAATCAGAAATATCTATTGACTCTTTTGTTGTTTTTAAACAGTATTATACAGAGTAACTGAAACTAAAGAGTATAAAAAGATTACAGTGTACTGTTTTTCCTATTTTTGGAAGGAAAAAAATGAAAAAGAAAAATATATCCTGTTTTGACTAATGTGGTTTTTTAAAAGTTTTTGAATCTATTCATCTCAAAAACATCATTCACTTCTTATGATTAATTGGTTTTTAAAAAAACTTAATTATTATTTCATCGCCTCCTGCTCCCTACAGCTCGCCAACACCCACGATTGATTTGCAATCATAATATATTCAATCACAATGCATTGATTTGTAATCGATAAATTTCTTGACGATAAACAGATTTATAAATTAAAACTGAAAAATTATTCAACAAAAAGATCCTATTATTTAATTACTTATTATATTTTTAACGCAGATTTGGTTTTTGATTCTCTTGGAATAAAATCTAAGCCTATTTAGTTTGCTTGGCTATCATCATTAGAACTTCATCTAGTAACTAGCAAATTTTCGAATACCACGTATACTGATTAAAAGTTTTTCGAATTATTCTAACTTTCTAATTCAGGGACACCACTTTCGTTATTTAGGTGTAAAGGGGTGCATATAATTCTAGTTTTTATCTGATATTCAATACATTTGTTTAAATTATTTATTTGTAGTGGTGGACATTATTCTGGTCTTTTATCTGATCTTCAATACATTTGTTTCAATTATTTCTGTGTAGTGGTGGACATAATTCTTTTTATTCTGATTTATAAAAATATTCACCGATTGCTTTTGCTACCAGCGGAAAAAAATATTTTTAAACTACGAAAATTACGAAGTAGTTGGAGGGTAGTTGCATAGAACTGTTATTATTAGATCTCAGATATTATCAGATCTCATGATACGGTAATGAATCTTAATTTCATTTTAATTACTATTTTTGATAAAAAAAAGAGATTAAATGATTACGTACTAGAATTTAAAAAAAAATTTAGAGATTAAAAATTTTTAGATAATAAGAAACATAATTTTAAGACTTTTGATACTTAATTTTCCTAAACGAGGAAAAATAAGTAAGAAAAAAATCAAACAAATGTGTTCCTAATGCTAAGTAGCACAGCGCATAGTAACATGTGTTAAAAGTTTTTTCAACTCTAAATAAAAAAGTAAATTTTCTATTTGTTTCTAGTCGAAAATAGTTTTTTTTAAATGGCAAATTTTTTTTCTCCGGCAATTGTGTTCTAAAAGATCGTGCGACAGCTGTGTTATTTACGCAACTATAGGAAAGCATTTTAGAAGTTTTATGAACTCTAGGAAAACGAGCTGATTTTTTCTACTTGTTTGTGAGCGAAACAAATTTCTTATGAATATGCAAATTTATTGTAAGTCATTGCTCTAAGGCGAAAAGATAGAAAGTATGTTTTTACAATTTCGCCAACATTCCATTTTCAATTCGTCACGCTAAGTCTACCATCCTTGATGAAACTACAGAACACGTTCTGACCTCTTTTTTCACTTACCCACATAATCGAACTTTTCCTCTTGGCCAAGGCCACCTAGCAATAACATGTTAACAAAATATCTTTGACACCTCAGACGATAGTTAAACAAAACAAAAAAAATTTCTTTTTCATTATCTTTTTTTATCGTTTGTTTGTATCTGAATAAATATCCGATGTGACGTCATGTATTTTGGCCATCACATGGCGGCAATTAAGTTCCGGATGTGTCTCTATCAGACTAAATGAAAAATTGAAAATTTGTGTTTGCATCTGGTCAAGTTTACAATTTTCTTTTAAAATAATGAATTTTCCGATCGTTTTCTTGGCGACCTTGGTGGTAGTTTTGAATCTGGCTGACGCAGCTCAACCTATTGAACGTGCCAATCGTGGTATTGAATGTGACGTTTATAGTGCCATTTGTCGAATACACAATGGCACTGTTAGTGGAATAATTCGCTTAAGACGCCAAAGATCAGTAAGTCATGATCAAAAATAGATTTAGTGTTTCCTTTTTGTAGTCGTTAGTTTTAATTTGATGTAAAAAGCGTTTATTAGAGAAGTTTGAAAATATTTAATGCTAAACCAGGGTTAAAGTATTTATATACCCTGGGAATCCTTGCCCCTTCAATGTTTCTGACGAATAAAGAAACTTTTCATGAATTATCATCGATTTAAATGGTTTTAACATCGAAAGGTAAAATCAAGAAAGAGATTATTCTTTTTGCGGATGCTTAGAAAATTGAAGAATATTTTATGCGTGGAATTTAAAAAACCAGTGTGATTGTGTATTCTAGTTTAGTCCCCCTCAAATAATTGGACTACAGCGACTCTCATTTTATATATCAAGACGACAACGAGTAAGAAAATACTTTAATTTTAGCTTATTTTCGGGATGTGTAAAATACCATGACTAACAAACTTTTTTTTTAACAGTTATACCATGTTTGTAGGACTGCTTTATACCAGCGAGTAAATTCAAAGTGATGAACAGTTAAAGTTAAAAACAGTTTAGCATATTTTACACCTCACAAAAACCAATTATAATTGAAACGGTTTTACTACCAGTTATGTCTCGTTTTCGGTTTCACTTTCAAGCCTGCAAATAACTCTACGATAAAAAGGGGTGATTTTTAAATAAGTTTTAATTATTAAAACTAACGTTGTAAATTTCGATATTTTTGTTTAATTTGTTAGTTTTTGCCGTAAGTCATATCAGGCGTGGAATATTTTGCTTTATGTCTGTAGTCAAAAAGCAAGTAACGAAAACAATTCTATTTTAATAATGCAAAACTAATATTTTTTAAAACTTACGTTATATCAGCTATATTTATGGATTCATTTGACATAATTTAATAACAGTTATTGAGGGTAAACTTATCTTAATATAATGAAATACAATGCTAATGAATTACAACAGCTAATGAAACTTACCAAGGTAACTAGTATGTTGTTACAAATTTGTGTACAAACAATGATAAATTTATTTAAAAAAATTCCTAATTGTCAGTGAAGATATGATTTTTAGTATTTTTCTATTCATCACTGTAAAATAGTTTTTATTTTAACTAAATTAGTCGATCAAAATGCAAGTGCTTATTATCGGTATAAAATTTATTAATCTTACTGTGTAAGCTTTTATTGCGAGGCAGCAATGCATTATTTTTCGATATTTTTGTGTTTTTTAAAAATCAAAAAAAGGGAGCAAAATTAAAAAAAATTATTATTAGTTTTTAGTGTGGTAAGTATAAAATATTTTTAGTAAAGGAGCTTCGAGTCGTAATTGTAAAAAAACGAAGATTTATGGCTTCTTTATAAATCTTTGATATCTTTCTTACCGGACGTAGAAAAATTGAAGTGATATCTAAAAAAAATTTTTTTAAATTGCAGAAATCTACCACAACTTTTTTTAAGAAATAATTCATTGGAATTTTTATTAATAATCATCCTAAACCAGGGATGGCCAACCTGCTGTTCGCGAGCCACATGCGGCTCTCGATAAATGTACCTTCCCTTTTCATATTGGTGCTATTATATTTTAAAAAATTATTATCGTTCCGTATGTGTTTCAAAATGTCTTTCAAATTACTGAGAACAAATATGAAAGACTAAGTGCTACGTTGTTGAATTCAAGGTGAGTTTCCCCTTTCCAATATAATTATGAAACAAAAAGCATCGGGAGAATTAGAATTAATAGAGATGCAAAAAGATCAAGCTCTACAGTTAAAATATAAGTCAACGTCGATTACTGAATTTTGGAAATTTTTACCAGAATCGAAGTATCCTGAATGAAAAAGGGCTGCTTGTCGAATTATTTAAGTATTCGGGACAACGTACTTATGTGAATCATTTTATTCTTCTTTAAAATTCGTGAAATCCAAACACCGATCAGTATTAACTAACCACCATCGCAAAGAATTACTGAAAAGGGCTGTCACCAATTATTTACTAAATTTTAAAGAATTATCAAAAGAAGTAAAATAAATGTGTTTAACATTTAAATTCAGTACACATATTTTGTACTTTTACTTATGTCTTCAATAAATATAATTTATGTAAAAAAAAAAATATTTGATACATTTTTTGCATACCTTTTAAATACGTATTTAATTGCGACTCGCGAAAAATTTCAAGTTTTGAAAAATGGCTCGACTATCAAGGAGTTCTAAACTATAATTAAAATCTAAGCGAAGTTGCCAACTCTCTATGTTTACTTAGAAAATAACTTATACAGTTAAAAGTTTGTGTTTAAGTATGATGGTGTGTGTAGTATATATGATTAGTAGTTATTTTTTCATCCACTACGTATGAATGATTCAAAAGTTAAGCTACTTTATTCCAGTTTTATGCGTTGATGTTTTTAAAATGCTGGCAGAACCAATCAAAATTTTGAAAACTTTAATTTGGATTCACTTCTTGCTGTCAGTCCATATGGAGAAAATTGCTTGCTTAGATGTTTTCTATCACCCCTTAAACTTTTGCTCATGAGTTTGAAACATCCAATATATGTTAATTTATTTTATATTAAATTATTGTATTCTGTTGCGGTGCTTGAAGTTTCATTCTAATAGATTTAATAAACTAAAGAATAGTTATTAAATATGCATTTTACATTCATGAAAAAAAATCTTCTTGTTGGCGGATATGAGTATAGGAAAAATATAAAAACTTTGCTATCATAAGCAATAGCAATAATATCACAAAAAGATGTAGATCACAAAAACATCTTTCACAATACCCACAGAACGTGTATCTCTGCTATTAAACACACATTAAAATTCTAAGCCTGAATGACCATTTTCCTAACACATGTTTTTCTTTTACTCAAATTTCCTACTGACATAGCTGTAAAGAGATGGTCTGTCGCAACTCCTTATCTAGAATTCAACATCGAGTTGTTAGCTTGGGAATTGCCCATAGATAAAGTTGAAGTACGGAAGCACCATGCAGTTCGGAATTATGGTTAATTCGAACCAATATTAATTTTCAGAAATAATAAATGAAATCCAACAAAATCTATAGAATTTTTGTAAAAAGATTCTTGAATAACTTTGAAAAAAAAAAAAAAAAAAAAAAAAAAAAAAAAAAAAAAAACGCTTTGTCAAATTCTACAGTACAAAACACGAAATATGGATTTCAGTGAAGACGAGGATGAAACGGAAGCAGACGGTTAAATAAGTTTAATTTTTGTTTTGTTTTTTGAGATAAGTTGATTTAATGAATTAATCCAAAAATATATATTAATTGTATTGCTCGTGTGAGAACAAACATAACTCAGGTGTAAGGTATTATTTAAATTATATAACTTAAGGTGAGATTCATGTTATTACGAATCACGACAAATCATATGAAAAGTATGACTAACATGCGTGTTTGCAATTAGTTTATCATCTAAATAAGACATGCAATAACATAGATTTGCGTGTGGCCCAATATTGAAACGCTATAATTTAAATATGAAATTCACAATTTGTGTGAAGGCGGATCACGACAAATCATTTCATGAAAAGTATGACTAACATGCGTGTTTGCAATTAGTTTATCATCTAAATAAGACATGTAATAACATAGATCTGAGCGTGATCTAATATTGAAACGCTATAATTTAAATATGAAATTCACAATTTGTGTGAAGGCGAATCACGACAAATCATTTCATGAAAAGTATGTCTAGCATGCGTGTTTTCAATTAGTTTATCATCTAAATAAGACATGCAATAACACAGATCTGAGCGTGATCTAATATTGAAATGCTATAATTTAAATACAAATCATGCTAAAATTATGATAACTGAAAAGGCAATAAATCTTAACTAAGTTTAAAATAGCCGAAATTATTTACTTAAAAAATATAACTTTGCTGAAATACATACGTAGCATTAGAGAGTAATTTCTGAAAACTATAGCGATTTTCCCCAACAAAATGGATGAAAATCGTTATTGCGATTTTTTTTTTTTGATGAGAATAAGGAAATATGTCAGAGAAAAAAAGTCTTAAGAATACTAAAAGCAAAATGGTGTCCGTCTGTATTGCTAAAAATACATCTATCAATGCAAATAAATTTCATCCATAATAGTAGTTTAAGAGGATGTGCTTTCAAATTGTCCTTTAAATGAAAAGAAATAAAGCTTCGAACTATCTTCTGTAAACAATTGCTGAAAATTTGAAGAAGTAAAGTGTGTTTGTCATTGAGTTGAATGCTTCATTGAGTGCTTTTCTGATTTTTATGCTTTGTTTTCCTCTTATTCAATAATGATTCTTCATGACTATGTGATTGAAAGATAAGTTTTGTTTTTATTTGGATAGAAAATGAAAAATGTCGATTTTCGATTGTTTTGCTACTTAAAATAACTATTCGGATCTCGATTCGGTTTTAACTATTACGATTCTCGTTTATATTGTTTTTCCTTTCTAAGTTCTAAAAAAATAAACGAATTGCGAATGATTTATAGACTATTGTCGAAACTTTGAATTTTAAACTCATTATTTATAAGTATCATAGCTGTCAACTTTTGCGAATATTTCTGAATAATTTTTCATGTGATAAACTAAATAAAACTTATTGTTACATAAAACTAATATTTGTTACGCTACCGCAAAAACATTTTTAAATTGCTCAAAAATAGACTTGGCAGATGTGAATGAGAAGAAACAAAAATGAATGGAAATATAAAACGGTTTTATACAAAAATTATTTGAAATATAAAAAGTTTGATACAATTATTTCAAATAACTTTTCCTTCTCATTCACAAGTCTTGAAAAATTGACAAATCAATATAATAAGAACACTACTATATATTTTAGAGTGTAACTGCACCTGTAACTGTGACTGGAGAAATCAGTGGTTTAACTGCAGGACAGCACGGCTTTCATGTTCATGAATACGGTGATCTTTCTAATGGTAGGTGAATTAAAATATAATCATAATTAAAGAACGCAGCATTGCAATTTATGCATATTTTTAGCGCTCATCTTTCATAGCGGTAACAGAGATTCAAATCCCATTGATCATTGATTACTGATCAATTCAAAATTGGATTGCATGGGCTACATTGTTGACGACACTGTTTACAGTTTTCTTTACGTCGGAATTAGTGAATGTGAATTAGTTTAACTTAAAAGGTCCTTCACGAATTTGAATGCATAAACCAAGAGTTTATTAGTCTTCTGCATTGGATTCCAAATTACAAGGCAATGGAGATGAATATTGTTAGGCTCAAATCCAATTATAAGATTTCATTTAAAATGCAATTTATCACAATGCTTGATCGTTCGTCCTCTGGGTTGTATTCAAAATTAATAGGTCTTGGATTTGAATGCTGTTAACCTTCAATCTGGTACGGACTGCCTGTTCAACGAAGGTGATAACAATTAGACACAAATTAAGTGCTGGGATTAGGATTTTTATGTTCAAAATAATTAGTATGATTCTCCCATTAAAGATCTTGGGGAAATACTGTGAAACCTGATAAGCTGACCATCTTTGTATTGAAATTTCACTGAATTGGTAAAATAGCATTAAAAATTAACCTTATTTTTTTTGAGGAGTTGGGAGGATATAATTAAAAAAAATAAATTGCTTTGTTTGATGAGGGTCACAAATTTGTTTTATATTTATAACAAAATAAAAGATAGAAAAAAAAATATCGCCTAGAATAACAATAGTTTGAAGAATCCGCGTAGCAGTAGCGCGGCTTTTTCTTACACCCTAAGCAATGAGTTCCACTTATAGCGCTAAAATTAAAAGAAAAGAGGATGAGATATCTCGTCGCTAGCTCATAGGGATTTCCCATGGAAGACGATATATCTCGTCCTTAGGATGAAAGTGTTAATTAGTTAACACTAATTAATATTTGTAGCCAACTCTTTGGATTAAGATTGGCACTTAGTACGTGAAAATACGATCATCGGAAGTTACGTGCGATATTTAAAAGAGATATATTTATTTTTACCTACAGTACCAAATATTCTTTAATAATTTGCTTGGACTTTTTCAGGTTGTAGAAGTGCTGGTGGCCACTACAATCCTTACGGAAAAAATCATGGTGCACCAGCTGATGAAGAAAGGTATGTATGACATATATTATGTTTTATTACGGGACGTTACATAATTCATATTTAAAACGTCCTGAATTCGGATAATGTGCCATTTTTCCTTACAATCTGACTTTCCAACAAACTGTTATCGATTAAAATTTGATTTGTTTATTATTAGTAAGGCTGCTAGGGCCATTTTGGTCACTCTTGTTTTTTATTACGCCGTAATTCAAAAAATAACTTACTAAAAGTAATGAGTATTTTTGACTTTTCATAATTTGAACCTATTTAAGTGCATATTTTATTATTTATGTGTTAGCCTTATAATACCTGATACCTAGTATATCTAGAATCATTCCTAAAATAACGAGAGGGGGGGGGCAGAGTGGCTCCTGAAGAATTTTGGTTGGTACTCCGTCACCCCAGGTAGGTTTGTGTATAAGATACACTTTAGTAGGTATAAAGAACCCCAGCTTCATAGAAAAAGAGTGTTTTAACACACTTTAACTATTGTTTATAGAAAAAAGGAAGCACAACTATCTAAGAAACTATTAAATAAGTATAAAATATAAAAGTCAAAGTTCCGTTTAATCAAATCGAATAATTTTGAGACCATAGAATTTTGATGATGGAGTCTCTAATACATTTCTTATTAAAGTAATTATGATTATATTTTAAGATTTTAGATGTCTAATTGATCTACGCATAAACAATTTGGGAATAACCAGACTGGCTCCTTCAGATTTTCTAAGTATACTGCAATATTCAGTAGTTCTAGTATTAATGTTTTAAAATTGGTCGTCAGTTATGACCTCTACTTTAAAACCTCCGAACAACGATCCCTTGTTACACTGTGCCTATGTGACCGGTGTTCAGCGCAGATCGTTATTCGAAATTATCGGTGAATAAGTTATCACTAAATACTGATCTAAAAAAATCACGAACTGTAGATTTAATCGACTAAATTACAGATCTAATAATGATCATTTTTTATTATAAATTTAACTCTCTCAGCTCCAGAGAGTGAGAGAGAGAGAGATAGAGCAAATCTATAACAGCTAAATTATATTTTGTGGAAAAGTTGCTGGTGCGTAATGTGTCAGTAATATCTAGTATTTTTAACTTCGGGAATAATAATAAATTTTATCTTTGGTAAGCAAAAGGCAACAGCTACAGAATAATTTAATTGTCGAATCTTGCCCATGCAAATGGAAAATTATTAGATGCTTTCATTATAATTTTTAAATTTTTAATATTTAGAAATAATAACGATCTATTGTACATTTTAGACACGTAGGTGATTTAGGCAATATAGTAGCAGGAAGCGACGGTAAAGCTCAAGTCAACATCGCTGATTCCCAGCTGAAGCTTTGTGGTCCTCATTCTATCCTTGGACGAGCCATCGTGGTAAGGAACAAAGATATATATA